GTATGTCGCCATGATGCTGTCTCCCACTCTCGCCTCCCATCTCTCTGGCTCGCTAGGCGCGCGCACGACGCTGCGATGCGCCGCCCCGATAGCAGCTACCCCACCTCATCCCGGGTCTCGTTGTCGCCCGCACAACCACTGGTAAACACGGCTGACAAGGTGGACTGCTAGGTTTCTGCTGTGAAGCAGAGGATCTCCGACGAGAAGGGCTGGGACCCCAAGTCCCAGAAGCTCATCTACTCCGGTACGTGCTAGCTGGTGCCTCGCCTCGCCTCACCTTGCCCTGCCCCACCACCAGGCCAGGCCGTGTGTTGCATGTCTCTAACCCTCGGCGACAGGCAAGATCTTGAAGGATGAGGACACGATCGAGACGTACAAGATTGAGGAGAAGGGCTTCGTCGTCTGCATGGTGAACAAGGTACGTCTTCCAACTGGCTCTCCCGTCCGTGGCCTGGACCCGCGGCGAAGCAACATGCTCTGCCGCCGACCCGACCTGCTGCTGACTCCCATCTAGCCCAAGCCCGCACCTGCTGCCGCCGCCTCCAGTTCTGCCAATGTTCCTCAGACACCCGCTGCCGCACGAACGACCGCGACCCCCGCCGCTCCTCCGGCCCCGGCACACAGCTCTACCGCTCCTGCCGCGCCCGCAACCCCCACCCCGGCCGGCACCGGTGCCGCTGCCCCTGCTGCGAGCAACCTGAACGACCCCAATGCCATGGCCATGGGCGCCGACAGAGAGGGCATCATTGCCAATATGGAAGCCATGGGATTCGAGCGTGCCCAGATTGACGCCGCCATGCGCGCCGCCTTCTTCAACCCCGACCGGGCCGTCGAGTACCTGCTGAACGTAAGCTCTCCCTTGCGCACCATCTCTCGGGGATCACTGACTAACACACATATGATGAAACAGGGCATTCCCGAGAGCGCGCGTCAACCCGCCCAACCCCAAGGCGGAGCACCTGCTGCTCAGGCCCCTGCAGCTTCCGCCCAGACCGCCGCTGCCCCTGCCGAGGGCGGTGATGATGGCAGCGTCAACCTCTTCGACCTCGCCGCACAACAAGGCCGCGGTGGATCTCGCGGCGCTGGCGGCAACACGGGCGGTGCCGGTGCTGCCGCTGCCGCCGCCGCAGCAGCTGGTGCCGCTGGACAGGGTGGTCTTGGCAACCTCGAGTTCTTGCGCGGCAACGCTCAGTTCCAGCAGCTCCGCCAGGTTGTACAGCAACAGCCTCAGATGTTGGAGCCGATCCTGCAGCAGCTCGGCGCTGGCAACCCCCAGCTTGCTCAGCTGATCTCCGCCAACCCGGAACAGTTCCTGAACCTGCTGGGCGAGGAGACAGACGACGACGCTGCCCTTCCCCCGGGCGTCCAGGCCATTAGTGTAACCGAGGAAGAGAGGGAAGCTATCGAGAGAGTAAGTCGTGGCCGCATTTCCTGTCTGGAATCAATGAGCGTGTGAATGCTGACAACTTCGCAGTTATGTCGGCTGGGCTTTGACAGAGATCAGGCTATCCAGGCTTACTTCGCATGCGACAAGAACGAGGAGCTTGCTGCCAACTTCCTGTTCGACCAGGGTGACCTCGACGACCCGGCCGACAACTGAAGGGCCTGAGAGTCCGTCAGAGTTCCCCCCCCCTCGCGCGTCCTTTGTACGACGGTTCGGCGACCACAGTGATATCCCCTGCTACGTCCATTCTCACGCTTTTTCTTTCGTCACGCATAGGCAACATAGCATGTTCCACGATTCGGGAGGGGTCGCTATCTTGATGCGAGGGTTTGAGGTTGTGCCGAGGCAGGAGAGGCACGATGCCCATCGCTGCATGGTGGGAGACGAGCCCATCTTTGCCGTTGTGTTTCATCCCACGGGATCGGGGCGACGGAGAAGCACTCCTCACCGGGCAGAGTGTTCTCTTCTCCATGCCAGTGGAAAAGTCGACAGGCATACGAAAAAAAAGGGACAATATAGCTCAGCTAGTGTGCTTCTCACTTGATGATAAAGAAAGATGATCACCATGCCCCCTAGAATTCCGACGTGTCATGTACAGAGGGTTTCACCTCGACTAATCATTGGTCATTTTTGTCCTGTAGTGACCACGGGAGAGGTGGGTTCTTTCAGGATTCCTTCACGACCTGCTTCCTATTAGACCTCGTGCGTAATCTGTACAAGTGAGTACCAAAGTGTTCGGATAAGTCGTCAGCTACATACAGAGTCACCCAGCATCACATTCACAGACAGATACGGCAAATCGTTGATCGAGGGACGTGTCTTGACAAAAAATGGGTTTTCATTTCTCGCTCGTATCCATTCCCAAAAAAGAATTCCTCGTCTATTCGTGACATAATTCATACATATCTCACCCTCGCCCCCAGGCGACCTGGCACCAGCTCGCGCCAAAGCTGCCGCCATCTTCCCGGCCCCCAAGACGGCTCTTGAAAGGCCGCGGATCTGTGCCGTGTCTGTGTGCTCTTGCGCGCGCGCGCGCTCTCTCTCTTTCTGAGTGGCATGCAGCAAGGACGATGGTCTATGCATGTTCTAGGACATGCTGCTGTGGGAAAGGGAGGTGAGGCAAGAGGAGGAGGACACCGAGACCGGGCCGCGATTCGGGACGCGCGACGGGCGGGCTCGCAAGCGTGCTAAGGAAATGGGGTATCTAGACAAACACGCTTGCGGGCTGCCATCGCGGTGGAATCAATGGCTGGACCATACGAGGCCATGAGCTTTTCTCGGCTGACGGGACACGCGGTATCGGGCTAGGCGGCGATCATCTCGGCCGCACCGCCAACGTCGGCATCGTCCTCTATGATCTCCTCTTCCTCCTGACCCTCCTCGCCATCGCCGTCGACCACCTGCTCGCCCTCGGGCTTCTCGTCGGTGGCAGTGGCGGGCTTGTCGTCCAGCAGACCGAGGTCGCGGCGCTCCTGCCTCTTGACCTCGAGCTCGCGCTCCTGCTCCTTGCGCAGCTGCTCCGTCTCGGCCAGGAACTTATCCTGGGTGATCCAGGTGTCGTCTGCGGCGGAGGCGGCGCGGTTGGCCTTGTAGTCGTCGAGGTCGATGGCGACCTTCTTCTGGGAGCGGGCCATGATGGCGGCGTTGATGCGGTTGGGGCGGGCCTTCTCCTCGCGGTTGAACTTGAGCTTGACCTGGCGGCGGTTCTTGCCCGGGAACACGTGGCTGATGGTCTCGAAGTCGGTGCCGAACATGGTCAGGTAGTGGTAGAAGCGCTCCGTCTCCTCGTCGCTCCAGTGGTTCGAGCCCATGGCGCGCGACGGGCGCATGTACGAGGCCGACGTCGTCAGGTGCGTGAACTCGTCCTCCTCGACCGTCTCCATCTCGATCTGGCCCTCGGCGGCGTGCTGGTTGATGACGAGCGAGTTCTGGTTGATGATGATCTGGCCGTCCACAATGTCGAAATCTATACCCTGGCCACGGTTGACATTGGCGGGTTCGGCGGCCGCGGCCGCGGCAGGTGTCCCCGCGCGCGAGGCCGCCTCGCTGGCCGCGTCCCCGGGTGCAAGGAGGCCCATGGCGCGCTTCTGCTTCTCGAGCTTTCTCATCTTGGCCTCGTGGCGGGCTTGCCGTGCGCGCTCGGCAATCAGGTCGGCATGCTTGAACGCCTTTCCGATACCCAGGTCCCTGGTCAAGTCGGCCAGTTTGGTCGTTGCATGGTTCGGCTTTCCGTCCTCGTCATGTTCCGGGGTCGGCTCGCGCTGGCGGCGGCGGTAGCGTTTCGGTGCCGATGCTGCTGCTGCCTCTCCGTCCGTAGTCACCTCACCACCGCCTTGTCCATTGGCTTCCGGGGCTTTGCGCTTCCTCTGGCGCTTTGGTTTGGGCGCTGCAGTTGCGCCCTCCCCATTCGAGGCACCTTCCCCATCTTCTGGCTGCGGGCGTCTTTGATATCGTCGCTTCGGCTTAGGAGCTGCAGCTGGGGGGCCTGTCTCGCCCGAACTGTTGGCCTGGGACTGGTCCGGGGTGGGCGCCGCGTTGATGGTGTCCGAGACGGGAAAGGGAGATGGAGACAAGAGTGATCGTCCCGGTGCTGCAGACGTGCGGCTTATCGCTGTGACGGCAGGGCTCGGCAAACCTGGCGCAGAAGGTGCGGGTGCGGGGGCCGTTGGCGCTACTTTCGGGGCAGCGGGTAGAGCCGACTGTGGGATTGCGGGTGATGATTCGGGGAGCGGACGTCGTGATGCGGGCTCGGAGGCCCCCGTGCCGGAGGTCGATGACTGGGTAGGCGGCGGACTGCTGGCTGGGGTTGACACGCTCTCCTGTATCCTGGTGGCGGAACTTGCGGGTATACTGGCAGCTGGCGCCTGTCGCTCTGAGGATGCTGACTGGACGGCTGGTAAAGTAGGCGGAGGTGTAGGAGCCGGTGCGGTGGGTTGAGGCGGCCGTGTGGTTGCAGCGGGTGGCTTGTCAAATCTTGCGCTCTGGACATCCTGCTGGGGTTCTGCAGAAGGCTGTTTCTCCTGCTGCCGGGGAACTTGTGTTTCGCTGGCGACAACAGGAGCGGAAGCTGAGGAAGAAGCAGGAGGCGTAGGCGCCGGAGCGGGAGCAGCGGCGGGTGCTGGTGTAGACGTGGCCGAATGGGCAGCTGGCTCAGTGGTCGGGGCCCGCGAGGTGGTCTGGGACGGAGCGGGCTGCGAGGCAGAGGCAGCTCCGGGGCGGCGGCCGGCCTTGGGCTTGAAGGACAGGCCACCGGTCTTCTTCAGCATGGAACTCATGTCGGCGGTTTGGCGTGGTGGTCGTCGATGGGCGGTGTCAGTCCGCAGTTGAGTCACAGACGACCGACATGCATGGCGGGGGAGTGGTGTTCCTGATCAGCGAGGGACGGCTCGAGCTGTTGGTTCCTCGTGGTCGAGTACGGGATGGATGGTGACAATGGCGAGCAACCAACGAATGCGAAATGTCTGATTTCCGTGTGTGTCGCTTGTACTAGCCGAGGGAGGAATAGAGTCGACTGCAGGCGTGGGCGGGATGCGAGGGCGGGAGAGAGAGCGATTGTTGGAGTGTATGTATGTAGATAGAGAGATTAGGTAGACAATCAATCCCACGGCCGCCCGTGATCTTTTTTTCGAGGCGGGGCGGGGGGGTAAGTCACTTTTTTTTGGCCGATTAGCGCACAGGCCAATGCACTGATAAACCTGGCCTGGTCCCTTCGCACTACCTAGTCAGTAGATCTGCCCACTGACCCGCCCAACTCTCTAAGTTAGGTAGGGATTCAGTCCGTCCTTTGGTCCTGGGCTGGGGGTCTTGGGCTGCATACGAGTTTGGCCAGCGGCCGTCTGCCCTGGGCTGGGAGGAGAGCATTTCCAGCCTTCCAGCCTTCCAGCCTTCCAGCCCAGCAAGCCCCCCCCCCAAGCAGCCCTTCCCCCCAGCCCAGCCCAGCCCAGCGTGCAGCGCGCGTTGAATCATCAAAAGGACGCATCGTTCTAGCCCTGTTCCGGCCTAGCGCGGCCAGTCTCTCGCGTTGGAAACGGGTCGACAGCCGGATTCAACTCTGGTCAAGTTTTCATCGACGTCGAACCTCCTGGCAGACAGGCTCTCGCACGCAACACACGCCAATCTCCCTTCCCCTTCTCCCCATCCTCATCCTCATCCTCTCTCCCGTGCCGTGCACACGACTCTCCCAGGCCTGCAACCACGCTCGTCCGACTGCGGTTCCGCCTGCGATCCTGGCCCTGCGAGTCTCTCTGCATTGAACTTCGCCGCCGCCGCCCACGCGGTCACGGGGACACACAGCTTACGTCTCTTCTCTCCTCTGCATTCCTCCTGGCCTGCGTCGCATCTTGACCACCTCAATCAACCCTATCTTGGCCCCAAACCCATCTTTTCATCACCCCGTCTCCCGTCTCGCGTCTCCCGTCTCGGTCACCTCGCTCGGCTGGTTCCCCCCTCCTTCTCTCCTCGCCAATCCGCCAACCGGGTCCCGACGATACGGGCTGTCGCTTCTTCATGCCTCTATCCACCACCAAGTCCTCCGCGCCACTGTCCCCCCTCGTCAAAATGGAGGACCGCAAGAGACCGGCCATCACCGCCACCGATGAGCCCCCCAGCAAGCGCCAGCATCTCAATGGCGGCGCCAATGCCGCCAAGGACGACGACGTGAAGGAAGATGCCTGGATCGAGGTAGGTCGAGCCCGACTTTTTGCGCAATCCACCTCCATCCCCACAGCCTCGTCCTCTCCCTCTCCCTCTCCCTCTCCCTCTCCCTCTCCAGCCCGACGTCCACCTCCCCTCCTCCACGTGCACCGCCGAGAGCATCGTGGCCACGGCCATTTGCTCTCCCCTTCCCGACCACCGGCGCGGGCTCTCTAGTGTGCTGCCTCCACGGCCCATACGCCTGCGCCACTGCTCTTTCGCGGAATTATACTCACCATTTCAGTGATGATGCCCAGCCTCGCTGCCATCAGCTCTGCTTGAAACTGAGATCCTGCCATCCTCCTGCATGCCTCTCTACCTACCGAAATGCCTCGTCATCACATCACGTATGAAAAGCTACACGACGGGAACGCGAGGAACCAAGGATTCGCTGACAGTGCTGGTGCGACTAGGAATACACAAAGGGTGCCATATACCGCCAGATGCAAGAATACAAGCGCACGTGCAGCACCCTCGAGACCCGGCTCGAGGAGATGGAGCGCCGCTCCCTCCACCACGATGACCATATCCGCATCGTCGACGCCTGGTGGATCCAGGTGAGATGGACCCTTGCCGTCGTGTCTTGGGCGGGTCGTAATGCTGACCGTTCTCTAGCTATTACAAGAGCTCAAGGTCTTCGCCGAGGAGACTATCCCCTTCCAACCTGGCTCTGGCGAGCAGGCTTTCCCCACGCACACCACATTCAAGGATATCGAGGAGCTGGAATCGCACCTCGCCAGCAAGGGCTCGACCATCAGGGATCTGGCCCAGTCAGTCTTCAAGCATCTCTCGTCTGGCCGACCCAAGGCGGAGCCAGATGTCGCCAAACTGGAAGCGCAGGTCAACAACCTGCTCGCTGCTCAGAAGGAGTTCCTGGTCAAGATCGATCGGCTGTCGTCCGAGAAGGAGTCCGTCTCGGACCAGCTCAATACGGCCACGCTGCGGTACATGAAGGCAGAACGCAAAATGGACCGGCTCAGGAGCAACCAGGTTCAGAAGCTCGAGCAACAGGCTCTGGCGAATTCCACCCCGCGCCCTGCCGGTGGCGAGCAAGAGAACGGCGCTGGTGAATCCAATGGCAACACCGGTGAGCTGCAGCTGAAGCTGAGAGAGACCACCGCCGTCAGCAACAAACAGAAGGAACAGCTCGAAGCCGCGCTCTCAGAGGCAAAGGCCGCCCGCGAAGAGCTGACCGCTGCGCAGGCCAAGCTCGCTAACCTGTCCGATGAGGACTACTCCCGCACAGAAATCTACAGATTATTCAAAACCAGGCAGGAGGAATTGATCAAGAAGTTGAACACGTTGGAGGCAAAAAGCAAGAGGCTCGAGGATGAGAACGCCAAGTACGCAGCCGAACGCACCGTGTACAAGAAGAAACTGGAGGCCGAGGCGCAGCAACTTACCATCGAACTGGAGGAACAGCTGCAACAGTCCGACACAAACTTGGTGCGTATCAGAGCTGCACGCGACGAGCTATACAACGAGATCACGAAGCTGCAAGGGAGCAAGGAGCAGGAGCGGACGGCCTTGGACGAGATGAAGGCGCTTGTCAACGCCAAGGAGGATCACATAAACGCATTAGAACTCGAGGTGAAGCGGCTGACACCCGATGAGGACGTGGACATGACGCCACGCCCGGACATTGAAGCCATGACCACCGAGGAGCTCCGCGAGAAATACAAGAAGCTGCAGTCGGACTTTGACAGCATCAACAATGAGCTGCCTGCCATGACGGCTGCGGTCAAGAAGTACCAGGCGGCCGCGAACAAGAAGATTGCCGACTTCGCCGCGGTGGAGGAACGGTTGGCCATGGCCATTGCCGAGAAAGGCAAAGCGAACCAAAAGTACTTTGACGCGCGCAGGAACCACGATGCCCTGTCTGAGGAGATCAAGAAAGTGCGATTGCACACATCTAAGAGTACCGAGATCATCTCTCAGCTAAAGGACAGCGAGGGCCAAAGCCGCACGACAGCAAGCAACCTAGAGAAGCAACTTGCCGACCTTAGGCAAGCCAATGCCACCACGGTAGCAGAGAGCAAACGTCTCGAATCGAGCAACAACGAACTGGCGCGAAAATACGAAGCGTTGAAGACACAGGTCACCGAACTGGGCAACCTCGCCAAGGCCAAGGACTCGGCCACCATGTCAGCGAGGGAGCGCACAATGAATCTGGAGACGGAGAGCGAGAAGTTGAAAGTACGACTGGACAGCACATCCAAGGACCGTGACAAGTGGAAGTCCAAATCCCTCAGCAATTCGTCGGAAGAAGAGGAGATGCTTCGCGTAAGTTTTCGTCCCGTGGTCTTCAGGGGCGTTCTGACTAACGGCTTGACAGAAACTTGCCACCTGCTCAGTGTGTCACAACAACTTCAAGGATACGGCACTCAAGACTTGTGGTCACATTTTCTGCCGATCATGCGTAGATGACCGCATCGCCAACCGCATGAGAAAATGCCCCAACTGCAGCAAGATGTTTGACAAGTTGGACGTCATGACTGTCCACCTCTAAGAACACCCTCGAGTTTCACCATGGTGAAAGCAGCGAGGGAGCTTCTGCACTATACGCCGACGGAGAAAGGCTGCGACTCGATTAATGCGTGAGACGACTGACCGATTTATTTGGGCATATCCGGCCTTCGAGAACCGCCTTTTCCCATGCTGGCTTCCGCCAATTTCTTCGCTGAGCAGGACTCAATTTTACCCGACATGCCACCGCTACGAGGAAGTAGACGTTTGAAAACAAAGTGCCTGGGCTCACTGGGCATTAGTTCCTGGCGCAGATACCCCTTTCGTTTCAAATTCTAGGCGCCAGAAGCATTCTGCCTTGCAGCTACATCGATTACTATCGGAGACGTGTCCTGATGCGTTGCCGCTTTCAGGCTAGACGCCCCCACGACGCCAGCACCATGCAAGGACTCGCATATGACCAGCGGATGCCGCTGACGATGCGAAGTGCCAAGGATCCTGCCGCGAGGGAAGACTTGTACACTACGGAAGGGTGAACGGCGCTTTGAGATAGAGTAGGCTGAGGGCTGTAACGGATATTGTATACTTTAGTAGAGTTTTTGGTAGGATGGGTACCACCACTCGGTACAGGATCACGTCGCAGAGGGATGGGCTCACCGAGGAGATGCTCTTTTCGAGTTCTATCATAGCCTCCAGACCGACACGCGACGCATTTATCCAATTTCTGGATCAGCAACAAAAGGCATATGCGCCTGGTCGCACTCACAGCAGGTCGTCGGTCTATAGGCTCGGCACTGCCGGGCATACTACTCCTCTATACGGAGCCCGTGTCGACGAGACCGATCATCGCGGTGGACGATGTTACGATACATCAATGAACACAACCCAAAGAGCGTGCCGCGAGGCTTTCTTTTCTTTTGATCTGTGAAATTCCGTATTCCGAGTGCATGTTGTTTGGCTGGTTGAGCGGTGGTTTGTACCGGCCTAGAGGTCACCTTGGCGATTAAAGGGGATCCAAGCCACAGTATATCAATCTAGAGACCAGGGGTTCGAAGCGCTGTCTTTGCGTTGCGGATACAGCGTTGCAGTTGGCATCGGGAATTAAAACGATTGACAAGTGAATAAAGACCCTCAGCGACAAAGGCCGTCCCGAATACAGCCTTGCAACCAATGCCAGATTTACCACAGCGTGAACATGAGGCCTACTTCGTACCACTCGTAAAGATTTAGACTAACCGTAGATGATGTTAAAATTGTATAAGGGAGAACTCGACTTCCATTCATGAGCCTAGCAATAAATACCGGGAGAACGAACGTGTAATCGGCAAGAGCATTCTTCGCCATGGGTACCATGCACCTATCAGTAATCTCCCAACCACCCACCACCCATCCCATACGTGTGCTGTTGTGTTCCACTAGTGGCCCATCCATCATCCATTCTGATATCTCCACCAACCTGCCGGCGGCGGAGCCTCCGTACGAAGACTTCTCCTTACCGTCGACTGGTCCCGCCAAAGCCCGTGCTCTCGTGTCTGGCGCCGCTGCTCGATCCCGAGCTCGACGACCCGGCGCTGCTGCCGCCCCAGCCGCCGCTGCTCCCGCCTCCCCAACCACTGCCGTAGTCCTGCTGGCGCGGCTGCTGTCGGCTGCCCCGCTGGCCCGCAAAGTACCCGGCCGCCGCCCCGCTCGCCGCCCCCGACCAGAAGCCAGGCCGCCAGCCCTCCTGCTGTCGCGACGACGATGACGGCTTGGAGCCGCTGCCGGGGTACGGCGGCGGCGGGTCGTCGTCTCCCCACGGGCCTCCTCCACCACCGCCGCCACCAGGTCCCCAGCCCCCGGTTCCGCCACCGTTGCGTGGCCTCCGTGTCGCTGGCCGGCGGTTAGGGCCGTTCCCACCCGCCGCCACGCAGGCTCCGTACACGATCCAGGCGAGCACCGCGACGAAGACAATCATGAAGAGCACGCCGCTCCAGTCGGTCTCCCCGGCGCCGGAGCCAGAGCCGGCCGCGGGCTTCTGCTTCTTCTTGCCACCGCCACCCCAGCCCCAGCCGCCGCCGTTGGCGATCTCGGGGTAGCGGCGCTCGCCCTCGTCGGTCAGGATGAGGCGGTACTCGACGCCGCAGCTGCCCTTGAGGACGTAGGGGTCGTCGGGGGAGGCGTAGCCCTCGCAGACGACGTCGGTGGCGCCGAGCTTGAGCTCGGGCGGCAGCGACGCCGTGCACGACCACTGGATGTCCTCGGCCGCGTAGCCCGCGCCCTGGTTGACGCACCGCATCGTGTCGACGGCGTGCAGCGCGCACACGGGGCCCGCCGACACGCACTTGAGCTGCGGCGCCGCCGCCACGCGCCGGTGGCTCGTCGCCTGCCCCGCCCGCAGCGTCAGCGACTGCACCTGCGACAGCAGGATCGCGTTCTTGGGCTGCGCGGCGTGGGCGCCCGGCGCGGCGGCGAGGCTGAGCAGCGCGAGCAGCGCCGATGCGAACGGGAGCGGAAACTGTGTGCGCACCATTGTGGGTAGTTCCTGGGGAGAAGAAGAAAAAAAAAAGGAAAAATGAACAGAATTGAGTACCGGTGAGGCTTATGTGAGCTGTTGCATGTGTCTGAGATGGGTGCTCCGCGCGATGCTGCGGTTGCTTGTGGTATAAATCGTGGCCTCTAGTACGACGAGCGGAAGGTTCAGCTCATCTTTTCAGCCACCCAATCTCCTGCAAATTTGGTTCCTGTTGCCACTCTGATCGAGTCTCCGGCTTGGGCAGCTTGTCGAATACTCGAGTCGTGATGAAGTCAAAAATCGGCGTGAATGTAGGCGATGAATGAGAGGACAGTTGGCATCTTGAAGACAGTGGACAAGCGTGTTGTCTGCCTGGCGTACTGAATGCACGTAATACGTCACTTTTGCCGCAAGGCTGAGGAAAATGGAGTGAATGGAGGGAGCTTTTGCCTGCCGCGTCTGTCGATGAACAGCGAACGAATCGGCAGGGGCCGCGCCCAGCCGCGGCGCCTTACTTTAGGTAATCATCACTTACAACGACAGAGCTTCAGTGACAAGTCTTGATAGGAGTGAATCGACACTGAGTTACCTAGGGAGAGACATCCTGTGATATCATATACCTAATGCGAAGAAGTCGTTCTTTGATTGACAGTCTGGAAACGCCGATGCGTCCTTGGTTGCAGCCCTGCGAATGTTCGCGACCGAGCAATGACTTCTGACAGCGAGCATGTCTTTGGGCCAGACTTACCTCCAGACCTGGGTCTTGCCTGTATGTAAGTGTATCAAGCGAGAGAGAGCCTGTTTGGGTAGGGTGGCGTGTCAATATTCCGAGTCATAGACAACATCTGCTCGCATTTCCAAGGCCAATGGCAAGGTGGCGTTCCCCAAAGCGCGGACTCGGTGCGAATGCGAGCTGCAAGACAGTTATAGTTATGCACATGCGCCGTTTCGCTTATGCAGCGCCGCCGTGTGGACGCTAACCAGTAAGGAAGTTGACCACCTCGCCAATTCCGCATCTTTGCCATTCCCAAACGAGGACGCGAATACACCTTCGTGCCTTTGAGAACTTCTCCTACCAGGTAAAATCTGATACAGTCGTCGCATCGATATACAAGAATTGATCCCATCAGCGCAAAATCGACACGAGTACTTACAAGTAACGAACTGTTATCCCAATTCGAACTCGCTCCAGCGGCTAGGTGGAGTTCAGTAGCTCGGCCACTTGAAGACTCCGAAGTCCGCTATCGAGCAGGATTGCCCCCGGGGCCATGCTGGCCTTGTCAGTCAAACGTTGTCGCTAGCCCCCAATCGGCATCGCCTGTCCCCCGAGGCCAGGGGTCTGCCATCCGTAGAAGGATTCCAGAAGCAAACCTGTGAAGGCCGTTGTGTGACCAGGGGATTCTCACCAAATCTTTTGGTGAGACGGCGATGAGTCGTAAGATCGCGGGTCAGATTAGTTCATGATGGTGCACCGAGTTTCTTTCCGGCGACATTGTGCCACACTCTGTTCTTGTTGCCTGGCACTAGGGCTGACGAGTTTGTGGGAGTCAGAATTGCGGCGTGACGCTGAATGATAAGCTTTGTCGGATCCAGAAATGCAGACGAGATACGACACTGCAACGTTCTTGTGAAACGGACCCATAGCAAATCAAAACTGCTGATCGACCTGGGGTTTGGCCCAATGTTCTAGCCTGATCCTAAGATCCGAACCCTGGGAACCCTGGTTGCTCGGCCCGCACCTGGTTACAGATTGGCATTCTCGCTTCCTTGTGTCCAAAAGAGTCAAGACACCAGTTGACCAGAACTACAAAGTACCGTATCTAGACGGCAATTGGGAGTCATAGTGCGCCATATCGACCGTGGTTCAACGAGTCGGTTGGATGGCTCGGCATGTCTCACTGTAGCACACGAGAGCGCCATGTAGGATCGAGGGGTGACAAGCTTCTTTGCTTACGGTTTCGTGCTTCAAGAATTGCCCGAGCCTATGGTACCTACAGCGTATACATCTCATCCTCCACGTGGGTTGTACATAAGACGGATGGACATTGACTCGCTTGTATCAATGCCACCGCCGCTATGGATCCCGAAAGAGTCACGCCGTCACCACTATGGTACGAACTATGCAAGATGGCGGTTCGCCTTCTTCCCGCAGCGATGGCCCCCCAAAACATTGCAATTGGCCGCGCCGCTTACCTCGCCCAGTGGTAACGTAGCCGGGCCCACAGCGGTCATCTCTGGTGGATGGAGTCCGAGGTGCGCATATCTAGCGGACGGAATCCCTGAACTCCGTGCACAAAATCGCACCCCCAGTGCTTCCCGACCGAGCTCTAGTTTACTTTCCGCGACGGGCAGGCGACCGGCTTGAAGTACTGAAAAAGGGTTGCGCCGCGCCCAGGTGCATTCCAACTCGGATATCCTTCCCCCCCACAAGCCTTTCGCTTTTCTCTTCGGGCGCTTCCTGGACTTGACGTCGATCTTTTGTAAACAGTCTTGATGTAATATACCACCGACCGTCTGTCGTTCTTCTAACGTTGTCGGACTGTGACAAAAAGGTGTCCCGCGGAAACCAGGACCTCGCATACTCCCCCCCACACCCAAGCCGAGCACCCTTGCCGCCACCCCGACCAGATAAACACCGGACCAAGGCCCAGCAAATTTCCCGACTTGCAGGCTGTCGCGATAGAGTTCACATCACCAACGTCTTTGCGGGGACCTTGGACGTCTCGCGCGCGACGTCAACCCATTCCGGCTGCTCTTGCGCTTGCGTGACGAGAAGAAGGTTTGGCGCCATGGCTCCCGATCCCGAACTGTCGGAAAAGGCTCCGGAGGCCGCGCCCTCGAGAGCCTCGAGTCCCGAGACCTCGACGGACGCTACACCGGCCGGCGAGAAAAACGCGCCCAACTCGACGGCATTGGCCAAGGCAGACTCCAAAGTGGTGCCAGCAGCCAAGGAGCAGGATGACGACCCGTTCAGGAACCTGCCGGCCCACGAGGCCGACATCCTCAGGAAACAGGTCGATACTCCAAATGTCAAGACCGGCGTGGCCATCCTGTACCGATATGCGTCGAGAAACGACCTTCTCATCATGGCCGTCAGCGCTCTATGCGCAATCGCGGGAGGTGCCGCACTCCCGTTGATGACGGTCATCTTTGGTAATCTACAAGGCACTTTCCAGTCATACTTTATGAAACAGACGGGCTACGACGCCTTCATGGCCGAAATGACGCATCTTGTTTTGTACTTCGTTTACCTGGCCATTGGCGAGTTCGTCACCATCTACGTTGCAACTGTCGGTTTCATCTATACTGGCGAGCATATAAGCGCCAAGATCCGAGAACACTATCTTGAGAGCTGCATGCGACAAAACATTGGTTTCTTCGATAAGCTGGGTGCCGGAGAGGTGACCACCCGCATCACGGCCGACACCAACTTGATTCAGGATGGTATCTCTGAGAAGGTTGGGTTAACACTCACGGCGGTCGCCACCTTCATTTCAGCTTTTGTTATTGGCTTTGTCATGTATTGGAAGCTGACGCTGATCCTGATATCTACCGTCGTCGCCATCGTGTTGGTCATGGGCACTGCCTCGTCGTTCATGATCAAGTACAACAAGCACTCGATCGAAGCTTACGCGCTAGGAGGCAGTGTTGCCGAGGAGGTCATCTCTTCCATCCGGAATGCGGTTGCCTTCGGTACCCAGGACCGTCTGGCCAAGCAGTACGATGCTCACCTTGCTCGTGCTGAGAAGTTTGGCTTCCGTGTCAAGGCCCTCATTGGCTGCATGGTTGCTGGCATGATGTTGATCTTGTACCTGAACTATGGTCTGTCATTCTGGATGGGAAGCACGTACCTTCTTGACGGAAGTGTTCCGCTCTCCAAGATTCTTACCATTATGATGTCTGTCATGATCGGTGCCTTCAACCTGGGTAACGTCGCACCCAATGTGCAGGCTTTTGCTACAGCCATTGCTGCCGCGGCCAAGATTTACAATACCATTGACCGCGTGTCCCCTCTGGACCCGACCAACGATGCTGGCGAGAAGCCGGAGCACGTGGAGGGCACCATTCGTTTGGAAAACGTGAAGCACATCTACCCTTCCCGACCCGATGTGGTAGTTATGAAGGACGTCTCGCTCGAGATTCCAGCCGGCAAGACTACCGCGCTTGTCGGTGCATCTGGAAGTGGAAAGAGTACAATTGTCGGCCTCGTCGAGCGTTTCTATGATCCCGTTGGTGGCAAGGTCTACCTCGATGGACGCGACATCAGCACGCTGAACTTGAGGTGGCTTCGTCAACACATTTCCTTGGTCAGCCAGGAACCGACACTCTTCGGCACCACCATTTTTGGCAACATTAAGTATGGTCTGATTGGTACTGCATTCGAGAATGAGAGCGAGGAGAAGCAGCGCGAGCTAGTCATTGAGGCAGCAAAGAAAGCCAACGCTCACGACTTCATTTCTGGCCTCCCTGAAGGTTACGAAACTCACGTTGGTGAACGCGGTTTTCTCCTTTCTGGTGGACAGAAGCAACGTATTGCCATTGCTCGAGCCATTGTGTCTGATCCCAAAAGTATGTGCTTGAGGAAGATATTTGGTGGGAATACTCTGCTAACTGATTCACAGTTCTGTTGCTGGACGAAGCTACCAGTGCCCTCGATACCAAATCCGAAGGTGTTGTCCAAGCTGCTCTGGAGGTTGCTGCTGCCGGTCGCACAACCATTACGATTGCCCATCGTCTATCGACCATCAAGGATGCTCACAACATTGTTGTCATGACGCAGGGCTCGATTGTAGAGCAGGGAACTCACGACGCCCTACTCGAGAAGCGCGGTGCTTACTACAACTTGGTTACTGCTCAAAATATCGCAGCTGTGAATGAGCTTACCGTCGAGGAACAAGAGGCGATCGACAGTGAAGAGGAGAAACTGATCCGAAAGGCGAGCGCAAAGGATGGTGGCCCAGCTTACATCGAGGACCCAGACGACAACATGCAGGCGAAGCTCAAGCGGTCAACAACTCAGGGATCTGCCTCCAGCAAAGCGCTCCAAGGACGAAAGGCCGAGGAGGAAACCAAGTATCCTCTGTGGACCCTTATTAAACTGATTGCCGCCTTCAACAAGAAAGAGTGGAAACTTATGGTTTGGGGACTATTCTGGTCTATCATCTGTGGTGGCGGAAACCCCACACAAGCGGTATTCTTTGCCAAGCAAATCATGGTATGTCCATGGCCGACTGATTTGTATATTTCGATGCTAATACATAGTACACAGACCCTCAGTGTGCCCCTCGATCCGGCGACCAACGGCCAAGTCAAGAAGGACAGTGACTTCTGGAGCTCTATGTTCTTGATGCTCGCTATTGTTCAGTTTATATCATATGTCTTGCAAGGTGTGGCGTTCGCGAAATGCTCCGAGATATTGATTCATCGTGTACGCGACCGTGCCTTCAGGACCATGCTTCGACAGGACGTGGCCTTCTTCGACAAGGATGAGAACACTGCAGGCGCCCTGACCTCGTTCCTCTCAACCGAAACCACACACGTTGCCGGTATCAGTGGTGTTACTCTTGGAACTCTGCTCCTGGTCAGCACTACTCTTGTTTCCGCTTTGACTCTTGCATTGGCTATTGGCTGGAAACTGTCGCTTGTCTGTATTTCGACCATTCCCGTCCTGTTGGGCTGTGGTTTCTTCCGATTCTACATGCTTGCACATTTCCAGCGCCGATCCAAGAGGGCTTATGAACAATCTGCCACCTACGCCTCCGAGGCGATCTCCGCCATCCGTACCGTCGCCTCGCTCACCCGAGAGACGGACGTCCTGGTACAGTACCAGAAAGCTCTTGCTTCGCAACAGCGGGCCAGCTTGATCTCCGTCCTCAGGTCGAGTCTGTTGTACGCTGCCTCGCAGTCCTTGCTGTTCTTGGCCTTTGCTCTCGGGTTCTGGTACGGAGGCAGCCTCATTGCCAAGTACGAGTACGACATGTTCCAGTTCTTCGTCTGTTTCTCTGCCATCATCTTTGGTGCGCAGTCCGCTGGTACTGTTTTCTCGTTCGCTCCCGATATGGGCAAGGCACACCAGGCTGCAGCCGAGTTGAAGACTCTCTTTGACCGCAAGCCCACTGTGGACACTTGGTCAGAGGACGGTGAGAGCTTGGAGGCTGTTGACGGTACCATTGAGTTCCGTGACGTTCACTTCCGCTACCCAACTCGTCCCGAACAACCTGTGCTCCGCGGACTCAACCTTACTGTCCGGCCTGGCCAATACGTGGCGCTGGTAGGAGCCTCCGGTTGTGGTAAGAGTACTACAATTGCCCTCCTTGAGCGCTTCTACGACCCCCTGGTTGGCGGTGTCTACATCGACGGCAAGGAGATCAGCTCCCTCAACGTCAACCAGTATCGATCCTTCATCGCCCTAGTCAGCCAGGAGCCCACCCTTTACCAAGGCACAATCAGGGATAACATTCTCCTTGGCGCGCCACACGAGGTTACGGACGACGCTATCGAGTTTGCCTGCAAGGAGGCCAACATCTTCGACTTTATCCTCTCACTCCCCGACGGCTTCAACACCATCGTCGGTAGCAAGGGTGCTCTGTTGTCTGGTGGCCAGAAGCAACGTATTGCCATCGCGCGTGCGTTGATCCGTGACCCCAAGATCCTACTTCTCGACGAGGCTACGTCGGCTCTCGACTCGGAATCGGAGCACGTCGTCCAGGCCGCGCTGGACAAGGCCGCCAAGGGCCGAACGACCATCGCTGTCGCGCATCGTCTGAGCACGATCCAGCGCGCAGACATCATCTACGTCTTTGACCAGGGACGTATTGTAGAGGAGGGCACGCATCCCGAGTTGATGCGCAAGAACGGCCGCTACGCAGAGCTGGTCAACCTCCAGAGCCTGGAGAAGAATCGCTAAGACGGCTAGCTTTGCTTGGGTGGTGGCATACATTCATACATAATAGAGGGACATGTGGCGGTGATTTGGTGTCGGTTAGAGATTCCCCCATCAGCATACCTGCTTTTCTCCCTGCATCGGGATGGCGTTCCGGATCTTGCGACTCAGCGTCGACTTGGTATTTTTTTCACTTGTTCAGATAGTCTCCTCGCAGGAGTTCCCTAGCGTACATATAATCACAGCCTAAAGGAGGCGTCATTCACATTTCACCACGCACCCCTTGCTGCTACCGTCTCTGCCGTCCCGTCATATTAAAAATAAGTTATGTTGGTGTCCATACATGTGCTGTGCCAGCGAGCTACAGCAAGCATTTTGCCGTGATTGCACATGTTTATAAGGGGCCACAACCAACACGACTCGAGATGCTTGCTCACAGCTGATCATTGATTCGCCAAACAGTAACTGACTTAAGCCTCAGGAGGCTCTGAGCCATTCGGAGGATATTGTCAATAGATTGAAGGGGATCTACATTTGCATGGAAACATCAGGTTAGTTGCTGCAGGTCCGGCACGCCGCAGCCCTACCGACCACGCGAGCCGCCGCTACGCTACGGATGCAAGGGCAGATCACGAAATTGCGCGTGGGGGATGGGGGTGCTACGCGTTCACGGCATAAGGCCGCCTGGATACGAGCAAATGCCAGTTTTCCGAGAGGCATTGAGACAGTACTTCCCCTGACGTGTCTTGCCTTGTGACTTGACTATTGTAGCAGACTGGTCACGCAGGGTCACACAGCTAGCTGCCGCCTTTACACGTGGGCGCTTTGGGGAGTCCGAATGCCAGGTCCACCCGCCCCCAGGCCTGGAAAGCCCAGAACCGCAGAAGATCTGCGGGCCTGGACTCCTGATGATCTGCGCGGTATCCGTATTTCTTTGCTTTCTCCGGCTCACTGCCGCCCGTTATTTATGGGACATTCTCGGCCCTGCATGCGTGCAAAGAAGAAGAAAAATGGGTTGGTTATGCAGACAAGGCAAGACAAAGCTACAAGTTGCGACCTGGGGTCCAATGGAAAGCCCCGTACGTCAAGTCTGTCGGCCGGGCGGCGGCTATAGAGGTGCTGGTGTTAGGCAGAACGCCATAGCTCTAATTTTGGCCCCCCCTATCGAGCGGCTTGGAAGAGAGCCGCACGGCGGGCGCTGGCCGCTGGCGCTGCAGGAAATTGCGAATTCCGGTGAGGTTGTATCAGGAGAACCGCACGCAGTTCAGGCGGTCGATGATCCGGGCGCCAATGCCGGATCTTCCCTCTGGGTCTCCTGGTGCGCGCGAGATACGGTGAGTCGCAATGTCCCTCAGCATAAACAAGAGGTCATCGTGTTACACCTGTTCAGCGTTTAGTATGTACGAGTTATCTCACATTGGGGTCTCTTTCGTATTAGCCTCACCCATCTCACTGCGTTGTACCAAAGTTGCTGTCCTGAACAACAAAGACCGTCTTGCTCAATTCGTGGACCCACAGTCGATAGTGCTGATTTCCACCCGAACCCCTGGCTAGCCAGCTAGTCCGGCTAGAGGAACTTTAGCTTTAAGCAGCACGCCAGGCCCGGGGCCGCTGCAAGAATGTCGTGAGGGAAATTTCGCTAATGCATTACCATGCCCCAGGGCGTCGGGCAAACTGCCAGACTGGCTTGACTGGCGAGCAAAATTCCACGATTCGACAGGGACGAGATTTGATGGGTCTTGGCATAGTGTTTTCCTGGGTCGCCGGTCGAGTTGCAATATCATTGCCTATGCGAGGGCGACCTCATCTACCATAGTACCACCGAACCAGCCCTGCCGTAGTCAAGGGTTCATCAAATACTCCGTTCGGTAGCAGGGACTCTGAAAGACCATTGAAGGCTCAATGCGACTCGACGGCCCCCAAGATAGGTTACAGCCGGGCAATCTATATACATGCAAGTGCTCGATAGTCGGCACCCACATCGTAGGGCGTTGGATCTCACTTGGCCAAGCAATCTCTAGACACTACATCCTTCCCAGTTAAGTCACCCACCTCCAACGCCGTGGTAATGAGCAGGGATCCGAGGAGGAGAGATCTGATCCTTGGCGATGCATGTCGTTGGAGTCGTCTGCCGCAATCGTCCGTCTTAGAGTTTCCGGCCGCCCCAGTCGAGATACACAGAACCTGTGGCCGTTTCCTATAGGCATTTGCGAGATGACGGCAAAGACTGGGTCGGTCCTCACCATCAGGGATAAACCCTTCGCCCCTCGATTGAGCTGCGCAACATCGGATTCTGTAGTCACTACTGTGGTAACTAGCCATTTGACGGTGGCCTGATTCGACAAACACAGATCAATACAACCCTGCAGGTCAGCCGCCATGCATCACATTCTGGGCCCCCAATTGCCTGTTCTGGGACTCTAGAGTCTTGATATCGGCTTCTTCGCGCGCCATGCCACCCACCCACGGTACCAAGACAATAGCTGCACTAGCTCTTTGTGGCCGGCCTGGCGCCAGGCCTGGCCAACCCACCAGGCGCCGAGGGACCTGGCCGCGTGGCTTCAGTTAGCCGAGCGGACAGAGATTAAACGGTCGCTGGCCCACCAGCCCAGACGAGAATGGCCTCTTCTTGCCTGAGCCGTTAGTACCGAGCGAAGGGATTGATTTGGTATTTGCAAGGCCTGGGGGTGACAGTGAGCGAGCTGCTGTGTAGAACTGGTAGCAATAATACCCAGCGCGACCCCGCAGAGTGACCAGGCAAGGCCTTTTTCCTCTCTACTCCTCTGCTGATCGTCGCTGTTTTTGTCTGGTTTCCCATATTGAAACTAGTATACTCCGCGCTCCCCCAATATCTTGTTAATCCCGCTTTCCAAGATCGACGACTTGGTTTACACTGCAACACTGGGTTTCGCAGCCGCCCCCCGCAATCTCGACGGCGCTGTTCCTGTCATTCCAAACCCGCGGCATAGCGACGGCATTGCTGTCTAAACACGAGCTTCTACACGGCGACGTTCCCATTGGTGTTCCGGCTCTTGTCGGCGGCACAGCCATTCATTTACCCGCGCCCGCACGGCCACATATTGGACCAACGTAAGATTGCTGTGTCTCTGTCTCTTTGCTCGCGGCCTGAGCTTGGCTTGGGGGCGCTGAGGGGGCTGCAGACAATAAGTATCGGAACTGCCACTTTTCGTCGTCGGCAGTGACCGAAATAAAGCATTCCCAACTCCGTGCCAGAGCCTCCTCCTGACTGACGATCTCGTATTTTGAGATCTGTGGTCGAACAAGGAGTTGAGAGTGATGTTTGGACGTTTCGCAGATCGGTTACCTGCCGTCTCGAGCCTCGACCGCAAGCCCGCTCTAGTTACCTAGTCGCTCACTCAATCACATTGGCTGTTGGCCCTGGACCGTTACCACCCTGTCGTTTCAGGTCCGCGCTGGACCTAGCATATAACCAGCAATGATCGCCGCCTTAATACTCGCCTGGGTCTCCGCGACCACGGCTACTTCTGTCGTCCGCCCGCCGCAGCCTCGAGAAACACTGCTCGTCGACACCCGCGTGCCGGTGCTTGTTGGCGACGAATGGATGATCATGTCTCAGGAGGAGCATCAACGACATCTTCGCAAAAGGGAGGAATCAGACGGCGGCGAGATCACGACAACAATCACGGTGGAGACTTCGACAGCGACAGCGAGCCCGACAACAACGACCTACGTCTCTAGTCCGCTACCCAGCCCATTCGACACGGCGATAGCCTCCAACTTTTCGAGCTCTGATGGAGATGGCTGCGCAGACTTCATAAACGACCTGCTCGTCAATCCGGACTTCAAGTCCTGCTATGCCTTCTCCATGTTAATACAGGTTAGTCGCTAGGCGACACCCAAATAGTTTTTGGGCCGCGGCACGTTTGCGATAGGGACTGACATCGACCGCAGGGCTCCAACTCCTTTTTCCAAGCAGAGAAGTCACTCGTGAGCATCACACAGGTTCTGGACGCGACATGCAACGGACCCAATGTCACCTTCTGTACCAAATACATGAACGATGCCGCCAAAAATCTCACCGATTCGTCAAACTGCGCCACGGATTTCGAGCTCGAGAACTCCCTCGTCGTTCAGGTCTACGCAGGGTTGAAGGCGTATCAGCCCATGTATAGCGCATCGTGCCTAAAAACCGCAGACACGTCAGCATACTGCTTTGCAAATGCAGTCACCAACAGGAGCGCGCTCGCCGACGTCTACCTGTACTACCTGCCGCTCAACATATCATACCCGAATAGCACAGTGCCAAACTGCAACGAGTGCACGCGTAGCACGATGGGGATATTCCAGGCGGCGACTGCCGACCGCGACGCCTACATAGCCAATACGTACGCAGACGCCGCCGACACCATCAACGCCGAATGCGGCGTCAGCTACGTGAACGCGACGCTTCCACAGGCCAGAGTCAGCAACGCCGCGACATCGGTAGCTCAAGCGCCGCCGCTGCTGCTTCTGCTTTCTTTCGGCTTCATGGCGTTCTCGCACTGGATTCTATGAGTAGAGCAGGGCACCCCAGCGTCGCGATGCTGGGAGGGAAGAGCCGAATTCGCCATCTGTTTTCAGCGCATTGGTATTACATCGGAGTCTTGGACGGGGAGGAAACCCCAGGGTGGCTCGGAAAACGGGACTTACGCCATCTTACGATTGCACATATTTGCTTTTATTTTCCACGCTACAACGGCGTGGCGTGTTTTTGATACCCAACATTTGTTCAGCCTACGGCGGCTGCTTTCATTTTCTTACAATATTGTTAGACCTTATTTGGCCCACTTTCAATGTACATACTTATACTGTAGGGGGTTGGCTGGGCTTGTCGGAGCCCGTGGATAGAGAACTCGCATGGACGGTGCGATGTCAGGAATGGCGGGGTTCGAGTACTGTGACGATGGTCGCGTGAGAGCGAGATAACTCACGGCCTGCTGTTGTACGGGAGAAAAGGGGACAAGGCTTGGTTAGCATGACCTTGCGCTTCGACGATTCGCTTTCTTGTACATACATACTTGAATCACATCCGGAAGCGCAGAACATACAGAATTGAAAAATGGAGAATTGAACCAAACTAGTCGATCAGAGTCCAGTCCTACAGGCAACAACGTCTCGTAGAAGTTCTCTCCCAGATAATATCAGTCATGTATTCTACGCAAATCGTCAGGCAATCCGCCTGAACGGAGCCAAGATCTGAGCCACCTGGCCAATAGCGCCGATCTCCAATATCATTTGTTGCTGGGCTCTACTTGTTCCACGGATTCAGCACAATATGAGTTGTAGCTTGGGGTTCGAAGTGCGTTTCCCAGCCTCGCAGCGCCTATCCATCCATCCAATCCAATCCAACCCTATCCTGTCCTGTCCTATCGTGGCTGGCATGAACTGTGCGAGGCGAGATGGGCAAAGCCCAATGGGTTGACTACAAGGCCCGGCTACGTTCGCTCTTCGGTGATCTGTAGGGCAGTGTACTGCGGCAAGAGCCTTACACGTGTCTCCCCTCGACTGGGGGGACTGAGGACGGGGCAGACTTGTGTGGTGTGGTATCTTCCAACTGAATAACGCAATCTGTACTTGGACTTGAGAAACCGTGTATCTTCTTGTTTCGACGTAGACGTAAAGGAAGATTGATATTGAATTCCATGGCTCTGGCTAAAGCCACTATGGTCAACATATGAGGAATATGTGCAAACATCAACAAGCACATCGCTGGCTTATAGTGCCTCAGTCAATGAATGGGAGGGTCTGGGCTGGTACGACTGTTACACTGCATGGTGGCGATGAGCCACCTGAGAGCCTGCTTCCGGGAGGCTGATTGTCCCCCATTCTCTATATTCACTGTCGATTTCCTCCCCAGTCTCTTTCACTGCGCAGAGAAACTTGACCGTTACCACAACATGGCAGACCCATTTTCGCTTGCAGCGTCGGCTGCGGGCATCGTATCTCTCGGTCTGACGGTATGCTCGGGGCTCGCCTCTTATATCGATGGAATCAGAGATCGCAAATCCGAGTTGTCTACGCTATCTACACAAGCACAAAATCTTCAAGCCACTCTCAGCGTACTGAAAGGCGCAGAGTCAAGTATTGTAGCCATGCATCCAGCCGGGGCGCCAGCCCTTGAATCAGCGTTCAAGAGCGTAAAGGAGCAACTGCAGGCTTTGGAACTGTTCTTGAAGGAGCAACAAGACGCCTCAAGCCAGTCCTCGGGCATGGTCGCGAGTTTAAAGGAACAGAAGAGAAAACTTACTTTTGCATTCCATCGCCCGACTCTCGAGAAGCTGCAGAAGAAACTCGACTCTGCGAACGGCGGTTTGCAAATTATCCTCCATGTGCTTGGCTTGTACGTTTCTCCTTATCGTCGTTTTGGTTTCCATAGAAAATCATGGTGGCTAATTCGGGTCAACTACAGAGCGGCCACAGCTGCGGTAAACACCACGATCTCCGAAGTCAACACTACAGTAAACGATTCGCACTCAACGATCCTGAGCGTTGAATCAGGTATCAGGTCTCTGGAAACGTCAATGTCGTCTATGTCTCTCTCGACAACAACTATCATCAGGGAAGAACTTGCTGAGGTGAAACAGTACCTCATGGCACAATCACGTCTTCTCGAAGCAGCAAGAGCATCCACAGATATGGACCCATCGCAGCTCGCGTTGGGGAGGCTCTTGTCGAAACCCAGTGATCTGAGGGATGCATGTGATATCTACCAGCGAACCACTACTCCTGCTTATGGTGCAGTGACTCGACCACGACATTCTCAACAATCCTACGGATCCTCGACGATTGGCACTCAGACACTATGCGACTGCGAGCTAAAAATGTTCAAGCAACAACAGTGCACAACAATTCGGAATTTCCACCTAATCAGAAAAGCAACAACCAGGCAAAGGCATGTTCCAGGCTGCGAATTCGAGGCGTCTGATCCGCTCGTGACTGAGCAGGTCAGGCAAATATCATATACTGGATTTCGAAGCCTTCTCTCGGTTGCACTGGAACTCTCGATTTCGTGGAGTTCGGGGGCCGGTGGATCAAGTATCGCTCGGACCATTACTTTCAGACCGATGGTAGATGAGACGAAATCACCGGTCTTCCGGATCATTAATCTCCTGAGAAAGTTCTACACTTGGCCAAACCTGATTTCGAAAGGAATGACAGACGACATTGAACACGTTTTAGAGCTCGCAACTGGCGCCATACTTAGAGTATCTCGAGGTAATAAATGTTCACCACATGATGTCAACCAACACGGGCAATCTCCACTTCATGTTTGGTTAAAAGTATGTACCAAAGTATTTAAGTATCCCATGACAACTACGTTTTCTTAAATATGCGCCACAGTTTTGCTCACACCACTTGCTCATGGTTTGATAGCTTCTTCATGATGTATTTTATATTCAGGTAACCCTAAACGACGGAGAAATTCTAGCTTCTTATCCGCCCATCACAGTTTCCTCAGTGAGACGCCTTATGGCTGGAGGATTGGCTGGCTGTATATTCGACTACAGTGGCAGGTAAGTACCGTCGACCGTCGCAACAGTGTCAAACCAGCTGATCGGATCACTGAAACACTCCCCCACCTATAGGTCACCGTTCGATGTTTTACTCGAAAGTTCAGATTCGCCATATAGCTCTGTCTCCGGATTTATGCCAGTCTTCGACATGATGTGTTCACTCAACTCAGATACCGTATCCCGAAGCAATAGATCGAGCATGGCCCAAACTCGCTGGCCGTTTGCACTACTCCGGTGGGATGTTGTTTTGAACAAGTACCCACATATGGCAGAGCGTATGTGACTGAGAAGTTATCAAACCTGTGCAAGGCCACCGATGATAACATAAATCATTATAGCGCTTGGCTTTGGCCCATTGAGCATATCTATTGTTTCCGGAAACGAGGCTCACGTGCGAAGTCTATTGAGCAAGGACCCTACTGCCATTGAAGAAATAAATCATGTCGGGCAGACAGTCTTCCACCTTGCAGCGTCACATGCCACGCCCGAGCTCCTGAATGTCCTTCTCGAAACTGTTCACTATGACTCGAAAAAATATGACACCGCGGACGCGTGCGGAATGCACGCCATGGACCTCGCAGCAAAGAAAGCGATTGAGATTTGCCGGAATGGGGATGCATGGGATATGTGCACACAATGCGCGTGCTGCGCCTCCTTTCGTACACTGCGGTCTTATGGATGGCAACCTTTCCGATATTGCTCTGATCTGTGCCGTCTGCTATATGAAACATCTCATGCATGCAGGTTGGAAATAATATCGACAATCAAGAAACTCAAAGAAGAGTTACGAGAAATAGGCCGCCAATGTTTAAGTCCCTCTGAAGTCCGGCGTTTCCACCTAGACCGTGAATGCGTTCTCGATGGCCACACAGATAGCGTCATACACGCGTTACTTCGACGAGAACGCAATATTCCCGAAAGATACAGAGATATTAAGCGGACAAATGGAGCATCTATCTATCATACCCTGTCGTGGTGGCCGTTCGAACACAGTGTCAGGCTTGCAGATCTTTTGTTTAGTAAGGGCTTTGAGGACGTGGACCACGAGATGAAGCCTGGTATAACACCTCTTGTGTACGCAGTGAGATGTGCCGGATACTCAGGCTTACCCTTCATGCTCTGGCTTGTGCGTCATGGTGCTGATATCTTGAGGCCCTATCCTATCCCTGAGGCACACTGGCTCAACCCCTCTCATACAGTGGCGCACGAAGTCTTGAACTTGCGGAACTACCGGGATCCTTCTGATATAATGTCTCTTGACTTCGAAATGTTACGGGAACTTACCCTCGAGGTCGCGTCATTGACGCTACTTGACGAATGCCGGTGTGGCTGCGTAGAACCGAGGGGCTGCACTACGACAACAACGCTTTTCCGCTGGTCGTGGATATCATTCTTCGAGCGTCATGCTAATTGGGAGTATCAGCCAGTCTGGACCGAAGAAGAGGAAGAAACACACACAGAACGTGGAACTGGTTTATACACGGACAATGAATCCCCTCGAGAGTCCATGCCGGAAGGGACGCGCTTGGACAATGAGATTTGCTCCAAGAAAGCAAGCACATCATCTTTACAAGAAGATACGGAAACCGATGCACCATTGGAAGATGGTGTGGGGGAGCCCAAAGTTACGCCACTACGGAGAGGTACCAGTGCCTTTTCATACTTTTTGCGACGACTAGCAGTCGAGCTTACCTTGTGGAAACATGTATCTACCTCTGCTCTGAGGTATTTCACTTTCCAGGCTCTGGATTTGCGGCATACGTGTGACTGCAGGAAAAACGGGAAGCCCTATTCCGATGACGAGATCAACGAGATGCACGAGGAAGACCGAGTTTCGCTGGGTCTCTTGGACGAGTTAGTTGACGAATTCACCACGGAATTGCATGATTCAGGAGATACATTTGCGCGATTCTTGAATCGGTATTGGGTTGGTCGCATGGAAACAGTCCTGCACGACTTGGAGGAAGCCAAAATGACGGCAGATCAAGTACTGGCAGCAGAGCAGGTGGGAGTCAGGTGGGATACAGATAGCAATGGCGAAGGGGGACCCTCTCGACCACCACCACCGACAGACTCAGAAATAGTAGAGGGCCTGATTAATCAGATCAACGAGATTGTCGCCGCGTCTACGTAGACCAGCCGGAAAATAGATTCAATTCTCATTGCCAATTTGCTTGTCGTTGATATTAGCTCAGTATACTCCTGGAAAATGTTATATCCGTAGATTCTCCAAATCCTGCGTGCAAGGAATCTATTACTACACTATATTATCTCTAACAGGAAAGCTACGTAACTGTAAGGCACGAGCCTGACGAACTGTGGAACATGGAACACATAATGGCCCAAAGGCCAAGCGGAGCTCTATCCAGCGCTCCTCCTAGTTCGTTGCTCACCCGAGCCGGGCCGACTCATGAATTTGAATCAGCAATTTTACCATCAAGCCTAGTCAGCCCAGCCGAATATCTCACTGATGGCCAGGGTGTTCGTCCTCACACCAGTCAGTGTTACAGTAATGCCGATCAGGTCTACGATGAGTAGCGCAGCAGATGCCAGCATGAACCTGGGGCTGAAGACCCGGTAGAGCATGAGATGTCGCCTCAGATGGCCCGCCCAAGCCATGGTGGCCAGACTCTCCACTGCGTAGTAGGCCACGAATATGCCCAGGGCCCTCGTCGTGCTCTCGAGCACTGCTTTGCGTTTCGGGTCCGTCTTCCAGATCACGATCAGGGGCACGGCCACACAGGCCAGGATCTGCCCCGCGAAATGATTCAGCATCACAACCAGCGGAGACCATGGGTAGCGGATTGTGAACAGCGGGATAAAGGCACTGTCCCACTGGATCGAGGACAGGGCGGCCTGGTGGCCGGTTTTGAAATAATGAAAGTTGCCAAGAAGGGCGAGGACGACAGGCCCGATGGTCTCCGTCGTTATGGCATTGAGGTCGATGATCTCAACAAGTGAGAGTATCTGCCATACCATGAGACCTATAGCCCCAGTGCCCATTGGTTTGGAGAGGAGGATCAAGGCAGCAGCGAAGTTGACGACAAGGAGGAGATAACGTGCACCATTGGTGTTTCCGTGCCCAATGACGATGAGCTGCGGTTTGCCACCGCTCTTAGACGGCGCAGTCAGGATCGATACGCATGGTGGTGCCCAGATGAAGGCTGTTGTGCCAGCGACGAAAGCGAGCGCCAACACCAGCTGGGCAACCAAAACTTGAATAGTTTTGAGGGTTTCTGCTGGGACCGAAGTTATCCACTCGCCGTTGCTGGCAGCATCTAGAGTCCAGTAAATGGCAGCTAATAATAGACCGCCCCGTAGCACATATCCAATCCAGCCAGGCGCAAGTCCCTCGTACGACCGGGATGATGTGAGATATGCCTTGATTATTGTGGGAAGAATGAGGAAGACGGCGAATGGGATTGCGAGTTGCCATGGGGCCGATGTCGAAGAATTGGCGGAAGAATAGTACGTCGATGTACAGTATGGCATTTGCTCCTCCCTGCATAGCTTTGAGAACGACGCTATCCGACCAAGGACAACAAACAAGACCGAGTGATAGACTCCTAGGGAGCGGTCCATGATTGTAGGGCGTCGGAGAGCTGCGATTGCAGCCGCAACACCGAACGAGGACAGGAAAAAGAGCGATATCGAATCTTCCCAGATGGTGTAGGAGTTGGAGGCGAATCCTATAGATTGGCTAAGGGTGAAAATGATAGACAACCAGCCCCAAAAGGTACGGGGAATAAGATTGGCTATGCTCTTCCCATATCCAAAGAGAGAGATGGCAGCCCCAACCAAACTTCCAAGTGCAGTGCCCGCAGCAGCGAGTGGCCAATCTTGAGAAGCTGATAGCAGCACATAGCCACCACCCAGACCAGTTCCAGCAACTGCGCCTAGCGCTCCTGCCTTGACGAGATTCTTGCTCAGCCCTTGATCAGAGCCAGGGCTCTCAGTCGATGTTGACATCTGCATTTCCAGACTTTTCTCGGCGAAGTCAAGTTCCGGGTCAAGGACCGCCAAGTCGTCATCTTCATCCCTCGAAACGTAAATGAGAAGCACAATTACGCCCAGGGCCATAACTGTGATACCCAAAACCATTCTTGTGACATTGAATCTCGCCCATAGATCCTTGCAGATCCTTAGTGTTTCTTCTTGGTATTGTGTATATGCAGTGTAAGTGCCTTCTTGGGTCTTGGTCGCCTTTTGAGCGGCAACATTAGCTCTTTCCCAGAAATCAGCGGGAGACCCGGGCAAAGAACTCTGCTCAATGCCGCGTGCGGCAAAATAAGAGGCTTGATACCTCCTGATACCGGCGGAGGCAATCCGGGACACGGCTGCCAGGTTGCTCCACCCATCGCCCTTTTGACCAGCGAAAGCTTCTTCGATGGGTTGGCCAAGGTTGTTGTAGGGAATGGGGATGCCTAAAAGGAGAGAAAGCGTGGGAACTAGATCAATCTGGTTCACTGGCCGTATCTTCGCAGTCGCAGGCGGTATCCTGTATTCGGGTTTCGTCCGACCAAATATGGGCTTCTTTGAGTACATCCAAAGAGCAGCTTCTACCTCGTCGTCGCTCTCACCGCCGTGATCTCCTTTTCCATCCATTCCGTGGTCTCCCATGACCACTAGCAGGGTGTCGTCGTCGATAGTCTGGACCAAATCCCGGACGAACTTGTCCATTTGCTGAAGCTTCGAAGCCATGGCCGGATGGCTGGGGCCGTACCGATGTCCGGCGTGATCAACTCCGAGGAAATGGCCGATGAGAAGATCCCACTCGCCGGTCCTCCCCGGCTGCATCAGGGGAAATATGTGCTCGAGCACACCATTGTCCACCGTATGCAAGTCCCAAACATTGAAGCTGTCGTATGCTCTACTGATATTGGGCTCGAAGTACCCCGGGAAGAGCGCAGTCCAGGTATCATCACCAAGATGAACAATCCGCTTCCCGAGGCCCTTGAGCTGCTTCAGAATGTTGTCCTCTTCTATAGCCTCTCCACCGAAACTGCTGCCAAGATCGATGAACGTAGGTAACGTTCCTGTCGTCAGCCCCTTCAGCCTTTGCAGGGTAGCGGTTGGCGGATCCGCAATAAACGGCAGTAGTACAGCATTGGTTGGCGAATTCAGCGATGTCTCGTACAGGAACGGGAAAGCATTGTGATAGACCTCGGCTTGGCTGCTGTCCTCGACGGGGACCGTGAAATCGTACCGTAGAGCGTCAATGAGGACCACTACGGCTTTCTTGAATGACTTTGGGTGCCAGCAGCCCGCGTCCACGCTGCCCTGGCCATTCCACTGTGCCAAAGGTTCGATGGGTGGGTTGGAACATTCGGATTGCTCTTCCAGAACCAGTCGCGCCAACAAGAAGCCACTGGTAAAGAGATATATTCCTATAATGTGTATAAAGAGCATCCACACCCAAAACCCAACGGTCCAGCTGAAGCGTTTCTCGTATGCTGACTTGCGGCGCGATTCGAAAGCAGCACGTTGCTTCTTGGCGGTATCATCTTGCGCCTTGTCGGGGGAAGGGACTTCGGATTTCCTGCCGGCGGCTTCTATCTCTTTCAGTCGCTTTGCCTTGGCGTATTGAGCTGCGATGGTCTTATAATCCGCAGGGGGGGCCTTCGGGCGAGGATCACGAGTCGGCATGGTGGATAGGGATGAGGTGTACGGCGCGTGGGTTCGCTGCACAGGTCGTAGCCATTGACCTGCTTCTCCGGTATCAAGTGAAAGCGAGTCTAGGAAATCACCACAGCATAGTGGAAAGTCTGATCAAGGAGAGTGTAGAACAGGAACAGCTGTTGAATTGTGCAGCGTCACGTCGTTGTCTGCAAGCTGGAGCTTTTTGGAACTGCTACTCACTACCTACAGTGCTGTGGAATCTGAGCTGAGCTTCTGATTTAGGTGGGGGTGGCCGCGACTGTCCACTTGGCGTCTCAGCTGGTCACAGTTGCAAATCACTGCCTGCGACGACACTGTCTTGGTTGGACCCCTTTTCCACGCCAACTGAGGAGCGTTTCCTTCATGACGAGTTCTCACACATGGGAGGTAGCGTATGAGTGAGGCTGTACTTAATGAATAGTAGCTGACCTTAGAAGTCCCGTCGGGTGTTTGGAGGCTCTGAACACCTTCTAGGAAGCTGGAGGCTTCCCTGTCCTGGCCATTGACTTGACGTGGCATTAGAGCCTGAGCCAGCGCTGAAGAAGTGGGGGCCGCTTGGAATATGAATCTGCATCAGCTCCAGCGACAACCGGATGGCGTCTGGTTCTCGCTCTTCGTGATGGACCATCCCGTTCACGGAGTACCAGATCCAGACACGGAAGAATTATATAGGGTCGAGATTTGACGTCTAAGCACTACGGGTGTCACCTCGGCATGCAAGGGCCCGTCCCAAGGAATGTATAAAGCTGCATGGCCCCCAGGAACGCGTTGGAAACCTTAACACAGACATAGGAGTCATGATCGCAGCCGGATGCACAATTATGGTCTTCCGTTACCAACTGAGGAAGATTTGTGGCTGTCCACTAAGCTGCCTCCTAACTGCTTGAGTAGATGCTTGCGACTTGCGCTTTGCATACTTTAGTAAGGCAGATCACATGCAGAGAGGTACAATCGGGCCTAAAAAGTCGTCAGGACGCTACTGGGTCTGCTGGGTGTTGCGCAGCACTTTTCTGGACGCGTCCTCTCTTGTGGGAAGGAGTTATTTTGGATGAACTAGACCAGCTCTACCGAGACTACGTGAGAAATCAGGGCCGCGAGTCAAGTCACCCCTGGGGAACTGGCATCATCCAGCGACGGCACCCCGGCCAAGAAAACTTAAGGCGTGTGATTGCATAGCGTGGCTTGTATCTGCCGCTCGAGGAAAAGGGAAAGGCCCAAACCGCTACAATGTCGGCCGACCTCGGGTTGTGGATATCTCGTGGGGTTTCATCCCAACGGCGTGCAATCATGACGGGCCTAAAGGCTGCCCCTGGTCGCTGCAAGCAGGCTGCGCGAGCGCTCATCATGTCCCATTTCCGCTAGGATCCAAAATGACCAGGTACTAACCCAGGATGTGCCCACGTCCGCCGCGGTCCTCTCGCAGAGCGATAACCAGTTCCTCGCTTTCGTATCTGCGTCTGTGTCTCGGCTGAGTCCTTTCGTACGAGACTGCCAGGGCCTGGAGGCAAGATGCGATGCGCAGGAACCATGTGCGATAATCTGACGCCGCTGAAGAACACCAAGCATGAAGAGATCCAAAACGCACAGCTCCAGCGACATAGCCGCTGAGATGTCTGCTGCGGCCACCCCCTCTCCTTCGTCCTCGACTACCGCTAGCACCAAGAGACGGCGTAACAACCCAAACGAGTGCTGCGTGACGTGCAAACTGAGGAAGGCAAGCAGACCTCAAACCGTGTCGCGGGATGCTCAGACTAATGCTATAGCGACAGGTGAAATGCAGCGGCAAATATAGCGATGACCCTTGTGATAACTGCTCGCGGCTCAAGCTCGACTGCAGTTTCACGCAAAACGCCAATGGCTCACAGCCGCATGGTACGTAATGTCACAATGAACCACGCTGTCTCTCACCCTGCTGACTTCCAATCATACAGACAAGGTGGCCAGGACCACACCCAATGGTATAGTCACAGAAGCCGGGACTATTCGAAAACGCGCACAGAGAGGTGAGTCTTGCCATGTTCTTCTCAATCGTGCTACTCAATTCTTATTCGGTGGACCCACAGCATGCCAGCAATGTCACACTCACAAGACCAAATGTAGCGGCGACTTGCCCAGGTGTCAAAGATGCCAGTCCAACGATCTTCCGTGTGAGTACGCGCCGTCAAAGAGGAAATTCGCAAATTTGCCTGGGCAATCATGCGCCTTGAGCAAGCGTGTGGCACAGGTCGTGACGACCACATCAAATGGGCGCATCGCGCAAGAGAGTAGGAGCAGCAGCGAATTGGAAACGCCTACTCCATCATTGGAGCGAGTCTTTCTTCCCGGTTCTCTGGTCCAGTAAGTCGTGATCTTCGTTTCCTGACGCCTCAATCTGACCGGCCTCAGGGATCATCTGCTCAGAAGAGAGGTCGTTTTGAAGCATGCCAATATCTACTTTGACCACCTTTTCCACATGCCCTGCATGGGATTCTTGCATCCAGGCACTATCTACCGGCTGATTGATGAAGACAAGCTCTCACCTGCTCTGGCAGCAGGCATCTGCTCTATAACAGCCGACTTTGTGTCCCCAGGTCCGGCTGGGCGCGAATTCGCGGTTCGGTGCAATGAACGGCTGGAACACGATGCGCTCCGCAATTTCGCCTTCATGGACCAAGAACAACTCGTTTTCCACGTACTGGCCACCGTCTACAACTGGATGTCTGGCCCCCTGAGCAAAGTGTGGATGTGGACCGCCACAGCCGGCAGGTTGATCAAATGCCTGCAGCTCAACTACGAGCCGGACCACAGGTCTGTTCAGGTGGCTCCTTCGGAAAGAGAGATCCAAAGGCGCGGTGTATGGCAGATTTATATCATCGACCATTTCCTGTCGGGCGGGCACGATGAGCATCTTCTCCTCCCGTCCAACTCGATACATATCAGATTACCCTGCTCCGACCAGGTATTCAGAGACGATTTGCCCTCGACCATGGAGACGCTTGATCGCAACCCGTCAATTCCGTCTAGCCTCGGCGACTACAGCCTCGACGCTTGCCACGTAAGGCTGCTCACGATTCGAAGCCAGGTCCTTAGGTTCGTACTTGGAAGGCGGTTGGAGGAGGCGACCCGAGCCTGTTAATGCTGACTATATCGTTAGGACTACCAAACGTTTTACCGACTCCTCCCAGAATGCCGGGCCAGAAGCCATGAGGCCGGAACAGTTCATGGAACACGTGAATCAATTCCAGATTGCATTGCATCGATTCTCTGATTCTCTTCCAGAAAACCTCAGATTGTCCGTGGCAAATGTAGATGCTCATCTTCTGCGACCAGATCGCGCTAGTTACACAATGCTGCATACCTGGTTTTGCCAAACGCATATCGAGCTTTACTCCTTTTCCTTACAGACTCTCAAAGAACAATCTATGCGCGACTCAGCCAGCGGCATCCCTTGGGAATTCTTCTTACGTTCACACCAACCATTCCTCTTTCGCTGTCAACAGCAGGCTATTGCTTACGCTATCTGTCTGGCCCAAACTTGGGACTATTGCCTGCATAATATCAAGAAGGGCCCGAAAACCTCAATAGCACAGGGCCTGGTTACAGTCGACTGGATGGTTGGGGCATGCGCTGTCGATGTTGTCGATGCTCTTCTCGTTGCGAGAAAGCACAGGCTATACGAGGACCTTCGTGGCAACACCAGTGCTCAAATGGTATATTATAGCCCAATGGGAACACCCAATTTCTACCTTCTAGGGTTCACTAACGTTGCTTGTAACAGTGCTACTCGAAGCCAATCGATGACACATTACTAGCGTCACTTACCTCGACGATTGTTAAGCTTGTCGATGACCTCGTCAAGTTCTTACCGAGGGTTGAACATTATGTAAGCTAACGCGTGATACTGCCATCTATCCCCGAAGCTAATCGAGTCGTTCAGAACCAAGTTATACACGAAAAGTTAAAAGAGTTCGATATCCAGTCTGGCAATGTTGACCGAATTGGAGCTGTCAAGTCAGAGGACCGAAATGGGACACCGAGTCCCACTCTACCAGGCCCGAATGACATACTGCCAGATTCACAGCTTGACGCAGAGGTCTCTCCCAGTAGCTTTGCAGACTCGGCCTCGATATCAGATCGATTCTTGAGGAAGAAGTCGGTCTCTTCTCCGTACGAAAAGCTGCCGATGTACAGCGGCGTGGTACCGAACATGCAAGTTGCGGAGGCACCATCAGTGATGCCGTACTGTTTGCAGCAGGCCCGGGCATCGTCTCCGACAGGTCCTTTCGCAGCACCAACTGCTAGCAACCACCAGCCGTCTTACATCCCGCCCAACTCATCGATCAACGGCCCGACACCAGTCCCGACCCACTCGACCTTCGCACTCAGCATGGGGCCCATTTTCGACACGTCCATCAGGCCAACCGTGTTCACAGATGCCGCGATGCCCCAATCGATGACGATGAATCACTATCCTGTCGGCGAGAGCACACCACAGCCCAGCATGCAGACCCCGATGGTGCCGGGACACAATGTCTACGAGTCGTACGGCCCTCCGTACAATTTTCAGAACGAACATACCCAGGGTCCCTGGTTACAGCATGGGCAACGCGACCCTCACGGCTACAGTTGACAGTTACCCTAAACAATGTTAATACTAAAATTGCAAGAATTTCGATACAGCCGCCAAGCTTCGTTCACTACGCGCCACCAACCCGATGAAACGAATAATAGGGGCGGAATGGAAAATGGGCAGCAGTGGTATGTTGGGATGTTTGGCACGCCACACCCTCTCGCCACCTCTGATCACCGGACCTTTCACCTTCTAAAGCGGACCGTGATATAAAGGACTTGGGGCTGTCGACGTGATTTGTGTAAGCAGGGGCGCAGAGCGGTAATGACGGTGGCGAAGACGGGCCCAAGGCTACCATTTACCAAGCTGGAGCGCCGTCCCTCGATCTTACATCAAATGTCGGAAAGGATTGAGTGTTGGATGCCTAATACGTTGGCATGTTCAACAGGCGCTCGGAGTCTCTCCCGCCGATAGCCTGTGTTGATGGCCTCTAATGGATTTATGGGGGGACCAAGGGTGGATACGGACGTCTACCAGTGGTGGGAGCCAGCCACAAAAGAAATAAGTCGACCGATCAGGACACGGACACGTCGTACAGTCACCGAGGAAGTCAGGGCGACTTGACATATGTCAACCTTTTGACAGGCGGGAGAGACCGAGGGGTAACCCCTTCGAGGATTGAGGGTCATGAGGAAAAAAGCAATTGGATGGCAGAGGAGCAAAGGAGCGAAACGGGGTCGCAATCATCCATCCATGATTTCACCCCGGCGCGGATAGTGTAATGCGACGAAGCACTGCAGAAGGATTTTTCTCGTTTTATGCCCGCAAGATACCAGTAGCCAGCGAATAGACCGTGATTTCGAACGAGCAAGCCCTGTCTCTGAGCTTGGACCAGTATGTTTTCAGATTTCTCTTTCTCCTGCATATAGCGATGTAAAGGGGGAACGGGACCCAGCCACCAGATTTTTTCTGCTTAATGAGACGCACGTGGTGTCTTGGTTCGGCTGGAAACCCGCAGTGGTCTGTCCCAACAACCATTGATCATCAAGTCTTGGTCACTTCCAAAGCACAGGCATTTGGGAACGGATTTTCGCTTGAGCGAACGTAGTTGTGATGTCTACGGGATATGTCCGCTAAAAGCTGGTTATGTAGAGTGATCTTAGGGATGCCACAATGCTACGTGTGCTGGCGATTAAGTGAAGAAGCAGCACTTGAGAAAGCTTGTACAATACATCACGAGGATATCCCTTCAGTAGGGAGGGGGCAATCTCGGCAACATACAACGGAACCAGTGATTGTAGCCTATAAGAGAATTAGGTTGATACTTGAATAGATTCTAGAGTTAAAACCAGGGCGACTAAAGAGCCGAATTTCGTTCGCCACACAGTACACACAAAGCAAGCCTGGGTGGTGGGGTTTTGTATGGTTTCTTTTCTTTATTTAATAACATTATCAATACAGCACAGATATACAAGATGCATCCAATGTCCTTGTCGTGGGGCCGCTCCCAGTCGCGTTGTATATGTACATTGCCGACATGGGGAGGGCTGGTGGAATGTACGTGAGCCTGTTTGTATATCCAAAGTCCGAGAGCACCAATGGACCGTGACAGCACGCCAGGCCAGGGTGAACCTGCTCTCATGAAAAGTAGCGCCTGGTTCCAGAGGCGATTAAGAATATTAGCCCGAAAATCAAGCGCTGCCGAAATTGTATGGGGGTTCTCCGTGAATCATGCATGTAAAGTGCTCGTCCAGGACTCGCACCGGGTTCGTATATATAAAGTCGAAGCACAGGTCGTCCTGGGCAGGGCGCACCCAATGCTTAGGCTGACAAGGGGAAGGGCGAGTCCGTCGCTGGTTGCCGGCCGAAATATGCCTCGCACTTAGTGGAACTGCGAGCGGTCCTTCTCCTTCAGGCCACCAATGTGGTCCATGTCGATCGAGTAGAAGCCGTGGCTGCTCTCCTTCTCGTAAGCGGGCAGCTGCTCTTCCCGGACGGGCTCCATTCCGACGGTGGCATCACCCACGCGCACAACCATAACACGTCCGTCTTGCTTGCGACCATATTCGTCGTGCTCGTCGGGGAAGGTGATGTGGATCTCGGGAATGTTGGTGGGGGAGTGAGGAGGCGAGTTGGGGTCGGCCAACATGGGGCGGCCGCCGCCGTTGACGACAACAATGCTAGAGCGGCCGTCTGCGGTCTGTATCGTCAAGCGGCGGGTGTTGTTGTGGTGTTGTCCGTTGTAGTCATGCTTGATGTCGTTGTAGTGAGGGAGTGTGTCGTCACCCATCGCCTGTCGGCGCCTATGCCTCCGCAGCACCACGAGTAGGGCGGTCAGAACAAGGGCAATGAAAGCGAGGCCAAGGAAGGTAATCATCAGATTCATGAAGGTGTCCGAATCGCCGAGCTCGCGACGGCCGAGAACCGAGTTGCCGCGGGCCATGATATTGCTGATGGGAGACATGTTGATTGTTGACGATATGGTCCGGTTGAGATTTCTGCGTCAAGGAGTCGTTGAGTTTTTTCTTCTTCTTCTTTCTTCCTAATCGGGCGGTTTAAAGAATGTCTTGTCTAATCGAAGACTATTGTTAGCACTGTCTTGGTCTCGAGTATCATTGACAGCCGGGTGAGAGAGGGAATCCAGCACCAGCACAGACCGTGCCCCCAAGGACTGGTCCTTGGTGGCTGATCTGGCTGAATCTTCTTTCACCATCACATCCAAGACAAGAACAAACTTACCGTCGGTGTGGATAGTGTCGAACCACGCGGATTAATCCAAGACCAATGTGCGTTCCGATCGGCGACTATTAGGGTATAAAGACTGGACGGAAACAACTGAAAGAATGAAGTTGAATCCTGGGCGGGTGGTAAAGAGCGAATGGGGAGGGAATGAGTGACCTCGAGCCAAACGAATGGACCTGTGCAAAACCAACGACGACGGCAGCAACGACGATGAGGATCAATCGTGAAGACGAAGACGGGACGGAGGGAGGAAAGGGCGGAGGAGGACGACTACAAGAGGAGATCAGAGCCCACCGCCAGGCCCGCCCAACCGCTGGCCCGCAGCGCCAAACTGGGCCAACTGGGGCTTGCACCGCCTGGCCAAGGTCCATGGTCCCCCAAGGTGACATTGGATGTGATTGCGCGCCAGGCACGCCAGGAACCGCTAAACGGTCCTCTCCAATTTGGCAGATTAGGATCCATCCTACGCTATCACACCCCGGGAAGCGAGCGTTCATCAGCATCAGGGGTCATGGACGCAGGGGACCAGGGCCGCCAAGGGCCAGACAACCGCTTCGGGCAAAGACGACCAGGGGCGCCGCCCGCTGATTCGCCCGACCTGCGATCGAAACGCCGGGCTACAGAGGCGGCCAATCTCCCTCTGCGCCAATGAGCGCCGCGCCGGCCAGCAGAACAGTGGGGCTAATCTGACCACAAGAAACGGCTCCAGGAAAACATGGGGGCCAAGGCCGCGTAATGGCCAGAGCTCCCCAAATAGCCCTGAGCTCGGGTTGCTTCCAAGACGTCTAGCTCAGGATCAACAACGACAAAAGGAGGACGAATCTTGACTTTTTTTCCTGCACGGTTATCAAGATCACGACATCCCTCTCGGCAACTATCGAATCGAGAGTCCCCTGACTGCACGCGAGGCCGAGTGGAGACTCGCGTTAGTTAACAGCGTTAGTTACCACCAAATGTGTGATCAGTGCGTGCGTGATGGAATAGTTCCAGAACGTATCAACTGTCCATTTCCCGTCTTTGCATGGGCTGGCGTCTAGATAGACTCACACTTGCCCTCCCCGGGACCACGGTTGATCAGGTTCTGTCCATCGACGCGCTCCCAAAGACTACTGTTGGCAAAGTAACTATGCAACGGACGCTGCAAGCCCGCCCGTCATGTCGGGGCAGTCGTAACGGTGCACTAGCATGATCCGTTGAGCCGGTCAGCGATTGGCTGCTTCGCAGTAGTTACTCGGAGTACTCGTCGCCATGTTCACAATACAAAGGGCGGCAGCTGGGAGAAGGCCGCCTGCATCATGCTCGCGCTCAGCCGAGACATCGCACTCTGCTTTTCGAATCCTTCGGTCGTGATCGATCCAATGATCTCGCCAGTGGGACATGAGGTCGACACCTGTACTGGCTTTTGTGGGGTGTTTCTACAGAACAAGGGCGAATCATGAACTTTGCTGGCAACAGTATCCCATATCGGCCGAAGCAGGCCGGGCGAGGCAATCAGCATTTTGGGTGCACTTGGTTTGCATCTACTGTAGATGCTGAGCAACTGACGTGGTGATCAGGACGACCAGGACCAACTCGCCGGCCGACTACACAAATCCTTCAGATGGTATGAGGCTCATGTCCCGGTGCCAATGCCCACCGTCAACTAGGTCAGCGGCAGTATGGTCTCATTATCTTCAACATCACATCCTATCTGTGGCTGAAGTAGGGTCGACGGGTGAGACTTAGGAAGCCCTTGTGAAAGCAATGTTGAGTCAGGACAAATGTGTCTTTGATGGCGCTTAGTCCGAAGAACGTCCTAATAAGATAAGATCTTCGCGGCTGTTATCTACGCCTGTTTGCTAGGCCGTGCCAGCTTGGACAGAATTCCTGAGAGCTAAGCACATTGCGAGCCGTTCCTCGGCATGGAGGTTTCGATCTTGTTACGCGGACATCTGGAATGAACACCACGATGGGTCGATCTTCCAACACCTTTTCATTCCAACAGCTAGACAAACATGCGATCCATCCGCCAGCTCAGTCCACACCGCTGTTGCGTCTCTCACAATAGTTAACTAACATCCCCCTGCAAGGTCACTATCTACCGGCTAGCACCAGCGCTGTCAAGACCTTGGGATGTTCAGACTATGTAGTAGAGTACCGTTGTTTCGCCGAATGGCGAACCGAATGTGACACATCATGAGGAGGATGCATACAAGCCTTGAACGGCGTATACCCAGTGGGAGTGAGCATTGTCCGAAACAAGAAGGGACACCAAGGTTGCCTCACCGGCCTGGCGGTTCAACCAACGATTACTCACATATAGGCGAGCTTCTACTGCTGTGTCACTCGAAGTACGTAGGTGAAGTAGATCGTAACTAGCAACTCTGGGCAGCGGAAGAAACATGCCAGCCAATATGTGTGCTTTTTTGCGGCGGTATCGGCAATGAGTGACAGGCTTGACAGGGAGTTATTTGAAGCGGGATCAGCAGCAAGGGGCCCAGGCCGTCAACCCTGACTTGTGTTCCGTGTTTCAGACCGAGCAGAACCACAACCGGGGAAATTGACTTACATTCCTCGGTTGGGCGGTGCTGTCCGCAATGGATCACTTTGATGTTGTCCTCTCCTGTGCACATGCCGAACGGCACGAAACAGAGAAAACAGGATAGCTTCGTGCCAGGTTCGGATTTTGTACGCATTTCTTTGCACATATGTATGCAGTGAACCCCTGTGCCGGTCTGAGGAAGCATCGTAACCAGCGAGTTGTACTATACATTTATGATTGGTTGGACATGTTACCTGTTCAGAGTGAGGGCAGCCCATATCGATGACCTGCCTACATTTCGTACGAAAGTAACAATGCGGCGTATCCTAAAACGGTGCTGTCACCCCATTTCATTTTTGTTCGAGGCATTTGGCGTTGCTAGCTCCAGATGTCACTTCGACGTCGGAGGCGCTACAGCTCGGGAGATGTGTTACATATCTCTGTCTCCTCGTGCCGCAATTGCTGAGACTGCGGCGTAGTGGCATGCGTGGTATATCACCTCGTCATCTCTCCTATCCCTCTGACAATTTGTCTTCTCTACTAGTTCTTGCTAGCTTATATAGGGACGCTCATCCTGCCCTTCGCCAGTAGGGAGAAGCTCGGGACTACGGCTGGACATATATTCAAGCTAGTATATTTGAGCCCCTTCGTCGAACAGTTGTACATTCGCTCCTGTTTCCTATTCATACATATCGTTTCTCGCTTTCCACACCTCGTCTGATATCTGTGTTCCTATCGTCTCTCCTTAGACCGATGCGAGCGTGCCGAGCCGTCGAACATAACGGCTGTTGTTGCTCAAGATCGAACCCGGAGGAGTAAGCACTATAATTACCAACAAACCCCGCCGATCGCAAGGCGAAGCACATACGCAGGACATTCTGTAGGATAGCAGACCAACCAACAGCCCCGGCATAGCCCCAACGTAACGGTACGATAAGGAAAGCATATCACCGGCCAGAGCAGCTTGATTTGCTGTTGGTACCTGCGCTTCGGACCCCAAAACCAACGGCCGGATTACTCTGCATTGGAAACCCTCGAACGCCCCCAACTTCAGCTCACGAGGGAGTACGCTACAAGAACACAACGACGCTCTCCGGCAGGGAAGCCGGCACTGCATCGCTGTCCCAAGCGTGCATTTGCATATCCTTGGCTGATCAACTGACGCCAGGCTTCATTCGTCGAGCCCCTGTGCACGTACATGCTGCAAGACTTGGGGTTATCGAGTCCTGCTTCAACAAACCAAGACATCGACACAACTAGCAGGTGGAGGGAGAAGAGAAGAAAAAAGCAGGTCGCCTTATCACCGTATCCTCGGCTCTGGTTAGTGGCCGCGCGACCTCTGGGGCGCCACAAAAGAAAGGTGCCACAGTTTCTACGGAGCACACTGAGCACCTCGAACATCTGCCCAGGTGCCTCTTGTGTCGATCCCCCTCGGAAGAGCACGGACGAAAACCCCTGACACCAGAACCCCAGGGTTTTTGACGGCCCCCAGACGCCTCCAGCCTTTTGACGGGCACGCATCGAAAGGTATCTGCGCAAAGTGCCGTTCACCGAGCTGCAGGACTCTTTCTCCGCAGGCCGCTGGCCGTCGAAGTCCCTTCTCGACTGACGGCGACTACTAGTTTGCTACGTATCCATTACCTTTTGGAACGGGGTCCGTCTCCCAGGACTTGCGGCACGTACCCACTCCCAGGCGTAGCGCGGTCCTGAAAACCCCCAATCGGCCTTGGCCCCGTTAGAACAAGCTCACAGGAGAGAGATCCGCCCGCCGACGACGGGTTTTAGTCCACGATCCCTGAGCCGGGGGCTGCTGCTAAGTCTGGAGTCTGGCGCTAGGCTAGCCTCCAGAGGCTGCTTGCATTCGTTTGAGTTTCGAAAATTCAGTTGACAGGCGAGACAGTGCCCCTAGCGGCGTTCATTCGGAAAATCAGAAGAACAGAGGGGAATCTGTCGCAAGCCAGGTGCCCAGCCAGTGCGGACAAGGCAAAGCAAAAAGCGAGGCAAGCAAGCGATCAAGCAACTCAAGCTAGCGGAAGGAAGAGTTGCTGACAGTGTGAGTGGTTTCTCGATTATTTGCTCAATAGTTGTTATCACGAGCCCCCCTCTCCCCCCATTCCAATGGCGTCCCCCAGACAAAGGCTTGAGAGCAAGAATAAGAATTAAAAAAAATTCCCCGGAGCTGGAGCGGTGCAATGCGCGCGCCCCAGCTTGGCTGGGCAAAACCCCAGCTGCCCGGGTACATGGGGCTCTGATTGAGCAAGTTCAAAGTAACTGCATGCAATCCAGATGCCGGGGCGGTCGCTGCACTGCACCACCCCTGCACTCTCTTTCTTGCCCTCTCCTTCTCTCCCCCCGTGATCTGGGCTGGGGCCAGAAAGTTTGCGGCCGAGACGCAGGGCCAAAGACGTTTTCGTCCCAGGTTGCCAGCAGTTATTTCCCCCTCCACTGCAGACAAACGAATTGAAGCGCCTACATATAGGCAAGGCGTCACACATGGGGGAAACCGACTGACCTTCTTCTTTTTCTCGACGTAGAGCGACTTGTGCACACGGCTGGCCGACAGAGAGGGAGAGACAGCCAGACAGCAGCTCCTCTCTCCAAGTACCCAAACCAACGTCCAGGCAGGGGTACCTGTACCTGTACCTGTACCTGTGCCGCGACTGTTTCCATCCTACCCGTACCTAGGCAGCCCAGCCCATCCACCGGCGGGCACTAACTTACTGCCACATACCATACCCAAACCTGACCATTGCCAAACCAAACCCACACCGGCTGCCCGTCCTCCAGACCCAGCATACCACGAAACAGGAGCCCCAGAGGAGGCCCATCGACGACGACCTGTACCATTACCTGCCGCCCAACTGGAGGGCCAGAAATCCGAACGAGACTAAAAGGGACTGCGCTGCGCTACCTCGTCACTAGCAGCCGACCCGCAAACGTCCTGCGTCCACGGTCCCTCTCTCGCCTGCCTTGTCGTGCTGGCGCTGCCTCTCACATCACCTCTCCCCGTCCCGTCTTTCGTCATTCTCAGGGCTCGTACATAACTTCGTCCCCTTCTATTCGGTGCGCCCTTCTTCCTTTCTCGACCGTCTCCCGCGCGCCTTGCTTCGTCGCGAGCCTTCTTCCACCCCCCTTTCCCTTTCCCTTGAGCAGGTCTTACTCCGCCTTGTGCTGGTTGCCTTGCCTTGCACCGAACCAGTCTGTTCCGCACACACATATCCCGTCGCCCGGCATAGCATCCTGACCGGCCTGCATGCAGTATCGAGCCTTGCCAGCACGTCACTCATTGCGACACACTCCTTCGCTGCCGCCTGGTCTCTTGTTTGCGCCTGGGCTTGCACCACGATTCGACATAGCGACACTTCTCCCTCTCTATTAATCGCACATTGACCCATCTCGCGACCGCGTCCGCCTTGCGCTTACGATACGGTCCGGTACGATACGACACGATACAAGACACTACACTACACTACAATACACGACATACGGCGTCTGACCTACAGTTGGCGTTTCGGTACGATACCGAGGACGTCGCCATATCGCCAGTTGAATCGCTAGTTGATTGTTCCCTCCTTGCGTAACGCCATTTCCACGGCTTTTCGTTTAGACCAGTTATTCATCGGCACGGCATTGGTATGTCGCTCTGTCTTATTTGCTTTTTTCTTCCCACCCCCTTCTATTGTCTTGTCCGCAGACCGAACCCTCGACCGGACGCCTGTCAGCCTTGACTGCTCACAACTTTTTCCACACCCGCACACACACCCAGGCGCAACAATGCTCTGCTGACACATCTGCCTCTTTACAGCTTCTTCACTTCCCCGAACAATCGTCGCATAGAACCCAGAGTATATAATAGAATCACCGTAGATTCTCCTCGTTTGCGCCCGAGCCAGCGCTCTTTCTGCAGCACTCGGTCTTGTGCTTGCCACCGCATCGACGAGACAAGAGTCGGCACACGCCAATCCGCCGCACCCCGCGCGCAGCCTGCTCTATATACCTAGACTTTGACGCTCGACAAGGCGCTCACATAGGGAGCTGCCATTATGACGACTGCTGTGAGTATTTCCCCCGTTTCGTTGGTGGCAGTGCGTCCGTGGAGGGCAAAAGGCAACGAAGACGGGCTACTGGAGGCGCAAGCACAGCGATGGGCCAAGCACCACCATCATGGTAGCCGCCATTCCGTCCAAGGTGGGAGACCTGTGCAGTGGCTAGCGTGGATGTCTACTCTTGATTCTGGTGAACTTGCAACGAGATGGGTAGTCCCTGTTCAGCTAGATCATGGACATCTGACGTCGCTTGTGCTGGGTTGTCTCTCCCGGGACAACTGTGCAAACTGCCGGATATGCTCATAGGCCTCTCCTCTTTATTCCACGTCGCATTTCATTCACGATAGGACTGACACGGAATTATACAGGCCCAAGGTCGCTTCTCGAGTTACGGACTACCAACACCCTCCTTGGCTGAGAAGCCGAATCAGAGCATGGCGGCGCCGTTTAGAGGCTCTCTCTGGAAATCAGAGGGCATTTGGGGAAATAATGGTAATAACAAAAGCGTCATTGGAGGCGGTCTCTCACAAAGAGACCCCCCGGGATCTCGGGGTACGTTGTCATGCTGCCCCCAGATCATCTCGTATGGATACTGATTGCGATCTAGGATCCGACGACACTTCACCTACAGCCCCTTCAGGATCAGCACAACTAAACCACCAGTCTGAGGCCGAGACGCCCACCTGGGGTACCCGAAATGGCATCTGGAGCACTCAGGAGAACCCTGTCCAAGGTCGGCCAGCGTCTGGCAGCACATCACCGGGCCAAATCCGGGATAGCAGCCTTGCCCAGCACGGCGCCATGCAGGAGTCACAATACTTCCAATCCCGAGTAGGACAGAATGAGAACACCTTCTCGAGCCGAACAAAGGGCCATGGCACGATGGATAAATTTACTCCCGTCTTTGGTGGCATGGTGAACGAGGAACCTGAGAATACCTTTTCGCCCATGGCCAAGTATTCTTTCGCTAACCCTACTCCTTTCAAGAGAGGTTCACAGGTCCAGGACCCAGGATTTCCCACCCTGGGCCAGATGCGCAACAACAACATGATCCCAACGTCACGTGCCGATCCGCTGAACCAGGACCTTTCACAGAACTCTTTCGAGTCGCTCTTACCTGGCAACCCGCGAGGTTCTGTGTCGCGCCCTTCCGTTCAACACCACTCTCTGTCCTATCCGTCCAATGGCGGTCCAACTAGGGGTTTGGCGTCCGTGAACCCGGGTATTGACCAGGAGCTGTCGGGTATCTTGGGCAATTCACTGGGACTTCGTGATAATCCTGATGTCGACGCCAATGGACTTGCTGCCAACGGGTATCTCAATCCCCAGAGCCAGGCATTCCAATTTAACCCGTCGTCGCAAGCATGGAACGGCGACCTGCCAAGTACGGGGCGTGGTTTTGGCCAAGGCTACTCTCAGAATGATAGCTACGTCGATGCTGTTGCTGCTTCTTACGTGGATTCCAAGAGAAACTCCATTGAGCGCGGCTCTCCCAGCAGTGCAAGTTTTCATCGCGCCAGTCTAAACAGCCCTCGATTTACCCCGGGCTCAGGATCGCGACCGGACTCGTGGTCTGGCAGCCGGCCCATCTCTCGCAATCATGCCATGCCTCAAGAATTCGAGCGACAGCAAATTGCCTCGCAGTTTCCCCCGAATTCTGGGTTCTACCCAAACGCCCCGTACTATGGCAACAACTTTGGCGGCCAGTTCAACCCATCACTCACTCCCTACGACTTGTACGGCCAGAACGCTGGATTCCGCGGTCAGATGCCCATCTCCTCCTACCATCCAATGGTCAACCAGTACATCGCTCCTCTTAACCCCCCACAGCGGCCCAGCCGAGACCAGGACCCTGGGAAAGGGGTCAGAAGCCAACAGCTGGAGGAGTTCAGGAACAGTAACAGATCAAGCAAGCGTTGGGAGCTCAAGGTAAGTCTATTTCGTCTTCAAGCTCGCCAGCCTTCATTTGATTAACCTTTGAGCCTAGGACATCTACAGCTATGTTGTAGAGTTTAGCGGGGACCAACATGGCTCTCGCTTCATCCAAGAAAAGCTGCAAAATGCCAACAGCGACGAGAAGGATCAAGTCTTCCAAGAGATCCAACGCAACGCTTTGCAGCTGATGAAGGACGTTTTCGGAAATTATGTGATCCAGAAGTTCTTCGAGCATGGCAGCCAAGTACAAAAGACCATCCTCGCTAGACAGATGAAGGGCAAAGTTGCCGAGCTGTCGACTCAGATGTATGCTTGTCGGGTCGTTCAGAAGGTGAGCCATTGACAACGCTGCTCCTCTCCTTGAGCTGTCGCTAATGTGATAAAAGGCATTGGAGCATGTTCTTGTTGACCAACAAGAAGAGATTGTCGAGGAGCTGAAGCCTGACATTTTGCGCATCGTCAAGGACCAGAATGGTAACCATGTCATTCAAAAGATCATCTCCCTTGTTCCACGGATCTGTGTGCCCTTCATGATGACGGCTTTCCGTGGCCAGATTAACAACCTGGCTGCGCACAACTACGGATGCCGTGTAGTTCAGCGCATGCTTGAGCAGGGCACTGAAGAGGAGCGGCGCGACCTCATGGATGAGGTTCATGCGTGTGCTCCTCAGCTCATTACAGATCAATACGGCAACTATGTAGCTCAACACATTGTTCAGCATGGATCGGACAAGGATCGCGCGAGGACAATTTCTCTCGTCATTGATCAACTTATCGAATACTCGATTCACAAGTTCGCGTCCAATGTTGTCGAGAAATGCGTCGAGTTTGGCACGGACGAGGAGCGCAAGATCATCAAGACCAAGCTTGTGACCGCGGACGCGAAGGGCAATCATCCACTTGACAGGGTGATGATCGACCAGTACGGCAACTACGTGTTACGTGAGTTATTCGCTATATCATTTATGTTTGCCCGAGAGCTGACAATCAAATTAGAGAAAGTTGTTGGGCGACTTGATGCCCAGGACAGGGACGACCTACTGATCGAAGTCCAACAGCGATTCGCCATTCTGAGACAGTCGACGGTAAGCGGTCGCCAGATGGCTGCAATTGAGCGCCTCCTAGGGAATTACGAGCCCAAGTCAAGCGCAAGCAGTCAGACCGCCTCGAAGACACCCGCCGCCGCTGCAACTCGCGGTTTGCAGATTGATGTCAACTCGTCCGCACCCACCCCTGCCCTCACAACAGAAAATGGCAGCCCTGAGAGTTCCAGCCCACCGAGTACCAATCTCGGAGATGATGCCATCGTCGAAAATGGGAAGACAGACGCCATCACCCAGATCGGTGGCCAACCCCATGTGGTTGAGGCTGATGAAACCGAGCACTAGCTGATGTCGACTTCTTTCCTTAACAAGGGTTTCTGTTCCAACTGCATGCCGCCTGTCTTATTAACTTTGATATCTCTCTCTCGGTCTTGTCGCCGCGCCTTTATATTCACTCACTTATTCAATTTGGCGCCACGTCGATCCTATCAACACTGCCAAAATCCTGCGTCAAGCGGTACTCTCAACGCTCATTGAGAGGTAGCTAGGTTGCCTTGATAACTTCTGGACGGGGCCACAGCCTCTGCGTGGTGCATTACGACTGGTAGCGGTGTGTTTGCATTTTCGGTTCTACCAACTGTTTTGGGGTTTCAGGCATGAGGTCAAGGGTTTATGCACACCATACAGGGCACGCTTTTACGGCTAAATAATGAAGGACATACTCTGGCTTAGGCTCGATAATCATCACTTGTTTGGGCATCTGGCGCGAGGGAAAGCGAATGTATTTGCCATGGGTTTTCACATTGGGGGAAATGGACATACATTGCAAATAAGGCGGCACAGCAAAAAAAGCGAATGTTGGTTAACATAGGTTCAAGGGCCAGAGGGCGAGGCGTTAGATACTCCTTTTTATCGTTACATACCATTGGGCTGGGACCGCAAGACGCAAGGGCTACGTCCTCTACTTTGTCGTCAGAAGGCAGGCCAGCAAGCTAGATATGGCGAATAGATACGCGATGTCCTCTAATGTGAATTTCTCAAGCTGGTGGTCCTTGGTTAGTGAATGTGTTGGCTAGTGCATTATGCAAAAGGGGCTATCCGAAAGCATGTGTACATGATGCAAGGTTTCTGAGAATTCCCTATGCAGTATGAATGCTCTTGTGTTGATGAAAATCAGACGAGATCGTCAGGTAGATAGATGCTAGTACTACCGATCAGCGAAGGATTCCAGACCATGACTTAGTACAACGTCCACTATCGGCTTTCGGCGGACAGTATGCAAGGCTCGCGGGCGATCGACACAGAAGGCTGCCCCGAAGAGGAAAAAGCCTCTGCCGTCACACCAGCGACTAGCGCAGCATTATATATATACAATGAGCTAGGCTTGCTAGGCTAGTTAACTCGCCATAAATAGAACAAGGCGCTAACCATGTGCGCCGCTGACTTATACCAAAGCGTCCCCAGGGTTCCGAGGCTGGGGCTGAATGCAGGTCACACCTTGGGGGCCTTGAAAGAAACAAGCAGTGCTGGGGTGCTCAGAGATGCGACGAACTACCGATGAACAACCCCTGTACCTGTCTAAGCAAGCAGGGTGAGCTTGAGCTTGATATGTTTCGTCTTCAGTATTCTCCACAGGTGTTACTGTTACTGTTAATGTCAGTCTCGGTCCTATTCGATCACCCCGGTGAACCTTCTTGCATCTTCGTTGCCAGAGCCTACCGCCATGGCTCTCTCTGTTTCACCTCAGCCCAGAGTGACATTAGCTACTCGTGGCCCCAGAATACTACTTCCTGTCGGAGAAAAGAAAGGGGTTCGGGGGGCTGTGCCCAGCCACTCTTGCTCTGGCACTCTTTCCGGTGACTCTCAAGCATGTGTCAAGGTGCTTACTTGCTATGATGAAGGCTAGCACCCTTGTCTCGTAGGCGCGGCTTCCTTGCTATACCCTTACAAGGATGTGAACACATCACGTCAGGACCTTCATCTCGTTGGACGATCCTTCCAGTTTGAATGTTTGGCCTTGATCGATCAGTCCTTGCCCAAAGTCATAATGTTTCGGCAGAGGGTTTGCTTTTGATCTGTGTATAAATCATATATCTACACCGGATGATCTGATCAACACTGGGACTTGGTTCTTTGAACAACAAGTCCATCTCAACCAGGGAGACTCTGTCTGATAGAGTCACTTACAAACTAGTCTGAGCCCCTATTTCAAACCCACCAAGTCACACAGAGGATACTATGGTCAACTCCCTGCGAATCTTCTTCGCCTCGGCGGCCTGGGCATCTCTTGCACAAGCCTGGCTACCCAACGATGGCACCAAAACTATCACGAACCGCGACGGTGTCAACATCTTCGCACGCGACGTCCCATCCTCGGGGGACACCAAGAGCCCTCGCTACCTGCCCTCCTTCTCCAAGGTCCGCGGCGTCAACCTGGGCTCGCAGTTCATCGTCGAGCCGTGGATGAGCGGCGCCGCGTGGAGTTCCATGGGCTGCAGCGGCCAGGACTCGGAGTGGGACTGCGTCAAGGCGCTCGGGCAGGCCAAGGCCAACGAGGCCTTCAAGGGCCACTGGTCCAGCTGGATCACCGAGCAGGACTTCGACAACATGGCCAGCTACGGGCTCAACACGGTCAGGATCCCCGTCGGCTTCTGGATCCACGAGGAGCTGGTCAACGACGGAGAGTACTACCCCCAGGGCGGGTTGGAGTATCTCCTGAAGATCTGCGACTGGGCAGCTAGTAAGGGGATCTATGTCATCATCGAGTAAGTCTACACGTCAAGGGCGCGACAGATGAAGCAGCTCGAAGGCTGTGAGCAATTAGATACTGACGGGTACCATCTAGCCAGCATGGTGCCCCGGGCGTTCAAGCAGTGAACAACCCGTTTGCCGGCCGCAAAACTGCCGACACTCAGTTCTACACCAAGGATAACTACAACCGTGGCGTCGAATTCGTGTCGTGGCTCGCTAACCTGACACACACGCGCAACGAGATGCGCACCGTGGGTACCATTGGCGTGCTCAACGAGCCAAAGAACTGGGACAGCAAGGTCGATTCTCTGCTGACCGACTTCTACCCTGCCGCCTACAAGGCAAGTTACCCCTTGCCAACCAGTACTGGTAAATGCAATTGTCGTACTGACATCCACTTCTCGCGCAGGGGATCCGCGACGTCGAGTCCACCCTCAAGGCCACCAACCCGCTGCACGTGCAGTTCATGTCGTCGTTCTGGGGCTCGGGCAGCCCGGAGCAGCACTTGCCGTCGGGGTACTCGGACGTGTCGTTCGAGGACCACCGCTACCTCAAGTGGGACACGTCGGTGGCCGTCGACCACGCGGCGTACATCAGCAACTCGTGCACCAGCGACCGCTCGGCCGACGGCGAGTCGCCGTCGTTCGTAACCGAGTTCAGCCTCAGCCCTCCCGACGACGTCCAGAGCAGCGACTCCTGGGCCCCTGACAAGCAGAAGGACTTCTACGGCGACTGGTTCGCCGCCCAGGTCCACGGCTCTGAGAAGAGCACCTCCGGTTGGACCTTCTGGAGCTGGAAGACCGACCTGGGCGATTATCGCTGGGGGTATAAGGGTGAGTCTTACATTGGCACTTTTCCATCTAATCGTTGGAACTGCTTTACACTTGTGTTTCTCTTTCGTGGACTCGTTGGTGACTAATGCTTGAATAGATGCCGTTGCTGCTGGTGTCATCCCGAAGGACTTGGGTAGCCTGAGTAGCACTGTGTGCGGTTGATAGGAATGTGGATGTTCAGGCCACTCAGAGTTCGACGATGGATATGACTGACAACTGTTTTGGGGGTTATTTGTACATAGACTTCAATTCTTCTTCAGACTTAAGAGTATAGAGTCGATTCTTTTTCAGCAATGTCGCATCTTAGGGAAACCCTCCACATGTTTGGCTTACTTGAGGGACAGTGAAGTTGTCTGCATCAGAACGGACTTGTTCAATACTAGCCCAAGAAGTGGTATCAATCCAGGCAAGTCTCAGTAAAATCGCCCTACATAGGACAGGCTTATTATCCATGGACTATTTGAATATAGTCGATACTCATTGGCTTTGGCGGTCAATTCTACGTAGTCAGCAATCTGGCGACTCGCTTGTTCACCACTACTGCAGCTCATGACTTATCTGTCCCCTGGAAGAAGACGACCTGTACAGTCATGTCGTCCCTGATGTCTCTAGACAAATTGCTCTGGAAGCTCATGGCCCCGCGTACCATCTCGTCATGTGCGCCGCCGAGACCATTGCGGATCAGGTGGACGGCTGCGTTCGAGTCCTGGAACGTCGCCCGATGGTCCCCGTGCCAGCACCCTGTCCTCCCGAACTTAACGGGTTCCCCTGAAACCAGAGACAAGACAGGCGCGGGCGGCTTTCCGGGAGCGCTTTGCAAGTCCGACCAGCGTCCCACCAAGTCGACCGCTTGCTGGTTGCCCATGGTGTCCCAAAGACCATCCGTCGCCAGGATCAAGAAGGTCGAGGAGCCATCTCGGGGGATCTTGATGGTGCTCACCACGGGCGAGGCAGTGACGTAGGGGCCCGTCTTATAGTCCTTATACCGCGCCTCATTAGGAAACTTGCATGCGTTGAACTCTCTGCGAAGCCTGGATCGCAGCTCCTTGTCCCACTTCCACCCGCCGTCGCCAAAGGTCCGCGAGGGCTCGAGTCCCCAGATGCGCCCGCCCTTAACTATCTCAGGCTCGTCGGGGAACTGCTCGCGGATCCTCGCGATCTCGTCCTCGTTGGCGCCCGTCTGGTCCTTAGTCAGCGCGACCGCCTCCCACTTGCCGTCCGCGGTCTTCCTCCCCAGTACCGCCCTACAGTCTCCCGTCGAGGCCACGTGCAGCGAGCTGGTGGACGGGTCGTACAGGGTCAGCAGGGCGCAGGAGCCCGCGTAAGCCGGCTGGAGCCGCCTGATCTTCTCCGGGTACGACAGGTCGCTCTCGATGACGTCCTTGGCGCCTTTGACCAGGGCGTCGTCCAGCTCCCGGAAGGCGGCCGCAATTGCCCCTTGTATTGCCTCGTCGGACACGACTCCGCTGTCGGGCGTGAGATCGTGCAGAGTCCTTTGAACGTATGGGAGTAGCTGTCTGGTCAGGAGATTCGACGTCTGCCATCCGCAATGTCCGTCGAACACCCCCCAGGCCATCCAGTCGGCGGCACCCCCGACTTGGAGGGGATTGGAGAACCTGCCGTGGACGTACGCATCCTCACACGGGCTGTTCGACGCCACCTGCGCGCCGTCGTACTTGTCTACCCCGTTCTTGTCGGCGACGTGGAATGAGAACGCGCTAGCGTTAAGCTCTTTGGTGACATCTTCTGCACTTATAGCAGGGGGTAAGTCAACCTTATTTGAAGAGGCCAGGTTATCCAGGTCGGGGATCTCAGTGTTCGTGGTCTTCGGGGCAGCTGGTGCTGGTGGTGTCCCCCTCTCAGTGTTCGGCGTCGTGGCTTTCTGATATGCCAGAGTACCCAGCGATCCTGCCGCAAATGTGCCGAGGACCAAAATTGTCGGCTTCCCACCCCTGGGGCGGCTGCTGGTGGTGCTGCTGAGACGTGGGCGAGGCACACGTGCGTGCGAGATCACGTTGGCGGCGAGACGCGATGGGCGTCGAAGCACGCGTTGTGACCACATGATCTACGGCGCCCTGCGCAAATACAGGATTGAGTTCTCGAGTCAGTATTCTTTAAATCAATCGTCTTACAGATACGCGGATTCTCGTGTTGTTCGAAAGCTCAAAATAAAGATGTGTTTCTAATGGCCACCTACTCAAGTAAGTAGAGTTGATGTGAAAGAGAAGCGTAGTGAATTGCGTTCCTCGAGCCTGCAGGTACATCGCCGTGAAAATGGCTGGCAGACCATGTCACGTTGCGTCACCTCCCCCCCAAAAAAACTCGAGCAATTCGATGTCTGCAATGCGGAATAAATGACTTGCACTGGTCAGCACCAGCTAGCCGGCATGGGTTATTCATGCCCCTTTGGAACGTCAATTATTCATAGCGTATTGTGTTGTATACTTTATGGTCAGATTTGAAATGGTCCGACTTCCTATTACAGTGGATCATCCTATCAATGTACGCCATGATTGGCCCTTGGTAAGGGTAATTCTACTCAAACCGCTGTTTGATAGTTTCAGTGCCCGTGGAAGCATCAACTGGTACATAAGAGCACCCAACACAAGCGTATATAAATGGTTGATCATCCAGTCCTGGTGTTCAAGGCTCTTTCAATGAACACAGCGCCGAGGTATGCAGCAGGTGCACCTACCGGAGTATAGGTAAATACATACACCACTCGCGCTAAAGAGGGGCTAGCTGCTGAGCCGTTGCAAGACCGCCGCACGGTACCGCGCGCGGGAGACTGACATGACATTGACGTGTACGAGACTTTGGCATGGGAAAGTTGAACCGGGTGGTGATTTGCGACCACGAGCGGCTTTGCCATCGCAATGTGGATGCCTCCCGATCTCACGACGGGAGACACGCTCGCTTACCGGCGGTGAGATTTAGGGTTCTCGTGGTCTGGCAGTCCTGGTCACCGTCCCGTATCAGCTGACCTCTCGAGCTCGTAGCGCGACCCCCATCTCATCAAAGTCGCGTATCAGTCTCACGGAGATGTTGGGAGACGTGCCTGGGTCAACCCTGGAAGGAATGCCCAGCGGGACAGGTGGCCTTCAAGCACGATGATTCATCTAACTAGGTTAGGATTCAAGATTTGGCGTGAGCCTCGTTGGTGATGTGCATAGAGGGTTCGATAAGCTCGACCCGAGGGTTATCCTTCAGCGATGCGGCGTGGGGTCTGTGGACCGAAGTTACCAACAAACACCCGGCCACAGCTGGTGTAACTAGAGAATTGGGGGCCCCAGCAATCGGTCAGACGGGCCAGCAGACAAAGCCGATGACGCAGCCGGGAGCATGTGGCCGCAAGCAGAAGAGGTGAAGCCTGGGGGGGTTTCACACGCGTCCGGCGATGTCTCTTGTCTCTTGTCGGCCTCGTCGGCCCTCTGACGAGGGGCAGTTTGAGGGAATGCCATTGTCATCCCCTCCCGAGTTGTGAGCTGTCTGGCTGGCTGTCTGGCTGGCTGGCGGGCGGACTGACTGGGCTGGCGTCCCCAATGAGGGGTCTGGATCTGCGTCATCCGGCCGGGCTGCTTCCAGCGGGTGCTGCAAGATCCCCCGCCTGCCCGCTCGCCAACCACAGGGGACACATGGGCGTCCTGTTACCAGTGGCCGGCTTCAGGCATTAGTGGATTCTGCCCACGGCTGGCAGCGCCCTATCTCGTCGAGCTCATGCAGGGCACGAGGCACTAGTTACGCTCTAGGCTGTCCGGCTGGCCAGGCGGCAGGGATGGCACCAGCTCTCAGGCTGTTGTCAACGACGCAACCCGGCGACCCCAGGCCGTTCTTGGTTCTGGTAACTGATGACCCCTGTTCGGGTGGGTGACCTACCTCCCCTCTTGTGTCCCCCCCCCCCCCCCCCCCCGCCCCCCCCCCCCCCCCCCAGGTCCCCCCTCTGCCCCGCGCGGCCTCTCTGTCTGTAGTCGTCGCACGTCGCCAGGCCCTGTCCGAGTCACCGGTCACGACCGACCTGACCTGGACCTGGTCGTGTTGCCGGGTCTCACCTCCCTCCACGCTGCCCCCTTTGGCTTGGAACCTTAGAACCTTGGAAGCGGTCTCCCTCTTCCACCATCATCAACATAGACACATCTGGCACCATCTTGACTTGAGCTTCTCTCTGCTGTGAATATTTCCTTCGCCTTGGCATCCTTTCTCCGTCCATCAACTCGGCGCGCTCGTAAATAATACACGGTTCGGCTGGACTGCATCGTCCGCTCCTTTGTCTCCAACTTCCCCTCTCCCGCCCGTCTCGACATACAGGCGCGTATCTCGCGCTTGTTGTGTCCTCGCACCCCTTGACTCGTTCCCCCGAAGTTAACCGCATCGTGCACCGACTGCACCATCCAAGAGGCTGTCATCGATATCACCGCCCTTCTCGACGGCTCCTCCGACTCCCCGTCTCGTCTTGCGATATACCCTTCGCGCCAGGCTCCTCCCAGAGCCGCTCTGCTGGCCAGCAGGAAACTGCCCCAGCATTCTAGTAACGCTACTTGAATGCCTGGTTCGTCTACCCGAGATCCCTCACCCGTCTCCTCCTCTGCCGGAGGGAAGAAGGGCGCTCGTAAGCGGAAACAAAAGCTTACCCAGGCTTCCGGTGATGCAGGTTCAAAGAAGAAGGACAAGAATGCCAAAGATACCGGAGGAGTCTTCGCGGCGGTGACAAAACATGGGGCCAAGTTCTCGTATGTTTCCCCCGTGACTCCTTTTCCATGGGTCTACATGCCCGCCTCCCCATCCCTCTTGGAGGTGTTATGCTCCGTATGAGTGTCCATGACCATGCTGACTTCTTGCTACTCTCTACCAGAAATGGCACTGCGACCAAAGAGCCGGTTTCCGTGCCAGAGTCTCCCCAGAGTCCAGTTCAGACGCCTGAGATGAAGCCTTCCATGCCGTCGACGATCCCAACAAAGGGGAATCCTCCCGCTGCTGTATCGCCGATGCTGGATGGAGTCACCGGAACCTCGATCGCCACCAGCACAGCACCCAGTATGAGTGAGTGGGCCAAGGCCCACGGGGCACTGGCTGGGTCACCAAACCTGATCAGTATCATGGGTGATTCACCACCGACTCAGCCGTCGTCGTATGAGGATCACAAAGCACCGCTGGCTTGGGCTCAGCAGCGTGCTGTTGCTAACCACTACGCACACTCGGCATCGCCTCCCACCGGGACACGAAGACCACTGAGTTTCCAAATGGACCACCACTTCCCAGCTAATGATCTCCGCTCGCAAGCTTCCTCACCTCCTGGCATCCGAAGAACCTCGATGCATTCTCCCTTTTCGCAAGCTCGAGGGGCCTTCAACCCTCCTTTGCCTCACCAGGCGCAAGCTCATTTCTATGGAGCCCCAGAGATTGACTTTGATCTTGACCCGAAGAACGGACTCAGGGCGGGAGACAGAGGCTATTACTTTGGGTTCGACACTTGGCCTGCTCCTAGTTCGGCCAGTAGTTCCGGCTCCAACGGCGTGGTTCTCGCCGGATATGAGGGTGGACTAAACGTGTATTCGGTCACCAAGCGAGGTGTTGACCCCCTCGCAAGCTTGAAGGGACTGCGCGGGGGAGTGTACAATGCGAAGATTCTACCATGGAGTGGGACAGACGATCGCAACGAGCTTTACCCGTTGATCGCCGTCACGGTTCACGGACCGGTTCTCCCCTCGGCACCGGAAATAGTGGAGACCAGGTTTGATGCCGGAGCAAGTCCCAGGATGGACGGCATCGACACTCCTCAATCGGAGACCAGCCAAAGGCCAATCAGCATTGCGAAGACTATTCCCACGATTGATGCCTACCAAACAACTGTCGAGGTCTACTCCCTGAGGACCAACAGTGCGATTTGCACTCTTCTACAGGCGCCACGAGTTCCCATCAAGTCCTCCGTACTGAATCCCGTTTTCCGGAACCCACCGCCAACGGGTGCGTTGCAGATACGAGCTGACAGTGGAAGTGTTGTCGTTTCCTCCGGCACCACGGGCGAATGCTGGGTCTATCGGCAGTTTCCATCGAGCTCAGACGCCGGGATCGAGTTCAGATGTGTTGGCAAGTTGTGGACTAGTCTGCAGCAGGCGCCGAAGGGCGATGCCACTCAGGAAGAAGAGAGAAGCCAGAGTCCTGTCCCACCGCGACAGAGCCCGCAGGTGCCTATTGTCGCGGTTTCTGGTAGATGGATTGCTTATTGTCCTCCTGCTCCCTCTTCACAAATTGCTCTGAATGCATCGATTGGCGTTGCTATTGATGGCAAAGCCCCTGGTTTGGTGACGCTTACATCGCCTGTCCTGCCCAGCGAAAGCTCCGATGTCGATCAGCCCGACTCGAACGGCATGATGAACAGAATCATGAGGGAAACGACACAGGAGGTTATCCAAGGCGCACGCTGGGTTGGGAAACAAGGCATGCAGCTGTGGAACAACTACTGGAAACAACCGGGTTCACAGTCAACTCCACCGCGATCGCACAATGTAGGCTCGCCACCTTGGACTGCGAGTCTTCCCGGTAGAGCCGATGCAACGCAGTTTCCGCCGACATATGGAGTTTCTGGACAAGCGATTACCAAGGACCCCGGATTGGTTTCAATCCTCGATCTTGAAGGCCTAGAGAACTCGACGTCCATTCATCATGTGACTACCTTCAGGGCGCCACTTGGCTGCAGCTTTCTCTCATTCTCTCCCACTGGTCTTTCTCTATTTACCGCCAGCACCAAGGGAGACGTCCAGACGTTGTGGGATTTGATGCGAATCCAGCACAGCAAATCCTCGGCACTTCAGAATTCTCAGCCTCCTAACACGGGCCACGCAACTCGCGTCAGGCAGATCGCGCAGTTCTCGCGGATGACTGTTGCTCGCATTGTGGATGTGACCTGGGCGAGGCCAAATGGCGAACGTGCTGCGATGGTGACAGAAAGAGGCACCGTGCACCTGCTGGACATGCCTCCCAGTGCCTATACCTGGCCTCCGCCGCGTCGTCGGGTGAAAGCCGAGGAGGCAGGATCTGGGACTTCCGAAGCTCCGCAGTCCGCGGTCTCGATGGCTTCCACAGCGCTGACTTCGGCGTATGGTGCTGCGCGTCCCTTGATCAGTCGTCGCCGCCGGAGCAGCTCCAACGCAAACGCAACATCTACGATCATGGACCATGCAAGCTACGGTGGAAAAGTCCTAGCTGCGGGTATCTCGCAGTCCCTTGGTAACGCGGGTACGGCAATCAATCAACTTCGCCATAGCGGCGAGAACCGTGTTAGCTTGCCCAGCGGTAGTCAGTCGCCAGGAGTATCTTGCGTGATGTGGATGCCCGGGCGCAAGTACCCTACGCTCTTTGTCGCCGGCAATGGACTAGTCAGGACATTTCCTAGCAAGAGTCGTGGAGCAAACAAGAAGTCTACTGCTCCGTATGGAAACAGGTACAAAGACTTTGCGCTGCAGACTCTGCCTACTGACGTACTTGCCCCGACTGTGAAGCGTCTGATAGAGCCCGAAGAGGACCTGGACTTCATGAATCCCGAGTTGGATGGTGGAAACACTCTTGTCTTGAACCCACGGGCCCGTCCCACGCACTCGGACCTCAGCCCAGAATCGTCGATTCCGCAAGCTGAAATTGAGACCAGTGCGCCTTACCAGCCATTCCACACCGATCGACGCGTTGTTCTGTATGAGTATGGCACCGAAGCCTCGCATTCGAGCTCGCCTGCCGCCGCCAATCAGCTGTCGGATTCTATCACCTTGGAGGACAAACCAGTGTCCAAGTCGAAGAAGAAAAAACAGCAGCAGTCCCGACAGACCAATACTTCACAGGCCTGGGCGTTTGGTCAGAGCATCGATGCCGTTAAGGTGGACGTGGGCATACTTCCGGTCATGGAGCAAGAGCTCAGCATCAGCAGCCTGGATGATCATCGTGCCCTGCCTGCCTCGGCTATGGAGCGAGTCTTGCAAGTGGGAGAGAATGACGAGCAGATCGTGGTGACTACTCGGCGCCGCAGGGGTGGCAACCGAGCGTCGGATGCCGATGAGGATGGCTTCTTTGAAGACGACTGTGAAGTTCTCGACTTTGCTGACCAGAGAGTCTGATCTCACTCATTGCAGTGTTCGGTGGAACCAATACGTACCGCACGAATTTCCACACAATCTGCCAGGGTGTCCGGTGTTTTTGGCTCAGAGAGGGTATGGATGGATGCAGGTGTATTTGCTTTGCTTGGTGACACACAGATTCTTTTGACGAGACGAGACACATGAATGACGCGGGCTGCTTTAGACTTTGTTTCTAGGCCCCTGAGCCGTTGCTTCATATGGCCGTTCGCCAATATCCTTCGTTTGGCATAATCGAGGGATACTCTTGTTGGAGTAAAGGGACCTCGTTGCAAGCATTTGATGTTACAAGACTCTCAGCAGATAGATATAACCCCCCCACCCACCAGTCATAGGAGCCGGAAGAGCTCAATAAGATACCATCAAGTCATATTGATTTTCCGCGGTGCTTGGGCCTTGGTGATTGCCCTGAGTTCATTTTGACGTGGAAAGTGATGCTTTTAATGTCACATAAGTACACGTACGGTTATTACAAGATCTAGGTGCCTCGAACAAGGGGCGGACTATTCCCGTGCAGGCCCCCCAACAGGCCCGAGCCAGTCTCTGTACCACGGCTGGGCAGCCCGGATCTCGGTGCGTCGTGGCAGAGGCTTGTGTGTTTCGTTCCCCCTTTCCGCTTCTTTCCCCAACCCCCTTAGGCCTTCTTCTTCGCGGCGGCGGCCTTGGCCTTGGCCGCCTTCTTGCGGTTGCTGCGGATCATGACGACGCTGAGGAAGGAGCCGACGACGGCCGAGCCCAGCAGGATCAGGATGACGGGTATGCGGATGGCCCAGACGCGCGGCGGGAAGATGCTGTGCAGAGGGTGGTCGGCATCGACAAAAGGCTGCGGTTCGAGACCTGTTAGCTATGGGGGCGCGGCGCACAAGTGCGGCAGGGTGCAGGTTCAAGCGTACCATGGCCAGCGTCCAGATGCTGTAGTAGAGGAAGACGACGGAGGCGGCCACAAGCATGGCGAGGCCGACGAGTTTGTCGAGCTGCGAGGCACGGCGGGTGGTTAGCCAGCGCTTCAGGTCTGGAGAGACAGAGAGCGAAACAGAAGGGCCCATGGGTGGAACGGGGGCGAGGAAGAGGGGGCGGGGCGTACCATTGTCAATTAAAACGTGTGAGGAAACCTCTCGAAAATGAGCGTGTCGAAATGGAAAGAGGACGACTCTCGGGTGGCAGACTTTCGTCTCTGAGCTGTGCGGTTGCGGCTCCGGGGGTCTGGTGTCGAGATCGTTGATGACCTGGCCAGAATGGGAAGTGTCCCTGACGCGGATGGATGCGCGACCTGAGTTTAGGGGGGCTAGCACTAGATGGGCCGGCCAACGTGGCAGCTGGTTCCACCTGCCCTCAGGCTAACTGCTAACATAGATAAGATACGCTATAGTAATATACTACTTACTACTTATATTGTGAGAGCGGTATGTAGTTGTCAATTAGCACGTTGTCAGAGAGCACCCTTGCTGTATCTTTTGTCGTTTCGGTACACCGTCCATAACATCGCAGCTGGGTTGGCCGGTTAGGAGGGAAGAAACAAGAGCGGGAGGGCCCGGGGGATGGCACGATGGAGGCAGGCTGGCTGGCTGTTGTCCCTCGAGGTCTTTTTCTGGATCTCGAGAACAGTGCTGTGCCATCTGGGCCTACTATGCTGTAATCTCACCACTTAAGCCGCCGCTCATCGACATGAGCTCTTTTTGAGTTTGATACATGAGAGCCAGTAGTTTGAAGACCACTATTATACATAGGCGCGCGCTCTATGCGGTTGGCGAATGGGCTTGTGGCTGACCAATGAGCTTACAGCTGAACTCGGCCGTACCCTGCATCCCAGCCTTATGCCAGTCTAGTCGATTGCATTTGGCAGCGACAATGTGATTGCTGCCTTGCTCCGTTGCAAAGGACATCCGACGATGAAAACGCACTTGCTCAGTGACCGACAACAATCTGCATGCCACAAGATCCACAATGAAACTTCTACGACTCGACGACCCTGACGGGTACAGCCTTACCCCAGATCTTACCCCAAATAATGTTCTTGTGTACGCGATCCTCTCTCACACATGGGGTCCGGACGAGGTAGTCTTTACCGACCTATCGAACTCATCGAGCGATTGGCAACAGAAGTCCGGCTACGACAAGATTGAGTTCTGCGCCAAACAGGCGAAAAAGGATGGATTCCAATATGTCTGGGTCGACACCTGCTGTATCGACAAATCTGATGCGATCGAGCTCCAGACCGCGATCAATAGCATGTTCCGGTGGTACCGCGATGCGGAACGGTGCTATGTTTACCTATCCGACGTCTCCGTCCCTATAACGCCGGATCGACAGCAGAACATAAGGCCTTGGGAGGCTGCTTTGCGACAGAGCAGATGGTTCACTCGAGGTTGGACGCTGCAAGAGCTCGTCGCCCCAAAGATCGTCGAGTTCTACTCAAAGGAGGGAGTTTGGTTAGGAGACAAGCGATCACTAGAGCCTCTAATACGCGACATTACAGGAATTCCTGCGAGAGCGCTCCGCGGTACGCCATTGGTAGACTTCACCGTTGCGGAGCGAGAAGCCTGGGCTCGCAATCGTCAAACCAAATGGGAGGAGGACATAGTATACTCTCTGCTTGGGATATTCGACGTGTAGATGCCGCTTATTTATGGCGAAGGGCGGGAAAGGGCACAGAACCGGTTACGAGAGGAGGTCGAGAAAGCCGTAAAAGGTACGTTGATCTTGGTCAACTGCTGATGGTAGGCACAGATCCTGACAAGACTAGGAACCCATACGAACGATTTCTCCGTTCCCTTCAGCCTTTCAGAAGTCCCGGAAACTCAATATTTTGTTGCGCGAGAGAGGGAAATAGATGAGATGCGCAGAAGGCTTAGCTCGGACGGAAGCCGCCGCGTCGTTGTTCTCCACGGTCTTGGTGGTATCGGCAAGACACAACTCGCTGTAGAATACACGAAGCGATACCGAGACGAACACACCGCCATATTCTGGGTGAATATCAAGGACGAAACGTCTATTCAACAAAGCTTCACCAGAGTTGCAAGGCAGATTCTGCAACGGCATCCTCATACCAGTGGCCTGCGTGCGCTAGACCTGCAGGGTGACAAAGAGGAGGTAATCGAAGCTGTCAAGGCGTGGCTCAGCTTACCAGACAATACCAGGTGGCTTGTCGTATACGACAACTATGACAACCCGAGGCTGCCCAATCACCCTAATAATTCTGGAATTGATATCAATCACTTTATCCCCACCTCCTACCAAGGCTCAATCATAATTACCACGCGATTGTCACAAGTCGACATAGGTCATCGCATTCGACTTAAGAAACTCGAATCGATAGATGATGGTCTTGAGATTCTGTCTGCGACCTCAGCCCGGGATGGTTTACCAAATGGTAAGGCCCTCATAGATTACTAGGCTTTACTAACCATGATTATTATAGATATGGATGCTCGAGGTCTGGTACAAGAACTCGACGGGCTCCCACTTGCTCTAACCGCAGCTGGAGCTTACCTAAGGCGCGTCTCCATTAGCGTGGCTGACTATCTTCGTCTTTACAGAGAGTCATGGGCGAGACTCCAATCAAGCACTCCAAGTTTGGGATCGTATCAAGACCGAACGCTCTCTTCTACATGGCAAATCTCATACGATCAAATGCAAGAACATGATCCACTTGCAGCTCATCTGCTCCGGTGGTGGGCCTACTTCGACAATGAAGACCTTTGGTTCGAGCTCCTACAGCCTTTGAGCGGCGATGGACCTGCGTGGGTATACGAGCTGAGCGACGAATTGAACTTCAACAAGGCAATGGGCATATTGCATGACTACGGATTCGTCGAGCCACATGATTTCAGTCCAGACCTGATTGAATCCAGGGGTTATAGCATTCACGGGTGCTTACATTCTTGGATCATTTACACATTAAACCGACCTTGGGATGGCTATCTTAACAAGCTCGCAATAGAATGCATAGCCTCAAAGGTTCCATCACAGACTTGCGCTCACACCTGGATAATTGAAAGACGACTTCTATCACATGCCGTGATGTCGTGTACCACAATCCTAGGTTATGAAGAAGACTTGTATTGGGCCTTTCACAACCTAGGGATCTTGTACATGGCCCAATGCAAGCCGCAAGAAGCTGAAAATGCGTACTTACGGGCGCTTCGAGGAATGGAAAAGGCGTTAGGGCGGGATCACAATCTTACATTAAGAACGGTTTATAACCTAGGTGTCTTTTATATAACCCAATACAAGCTGCAAAAGGCCGAGGATATGCTCCTACGGGCGCTTCGAGGGAACGAGAAGGTGTGGGGACCGGATTACCCATTAACACTAAACGCGGTTGATAACCTAGGTGTCCTTCTTTTAGAACAAGGCAAGATGAAAGAGGCCGAAAATATGGTTTTACGGGCGCTTCAAGGGTACGAGAAGATGTTAGGACCGGATTACCCGTCAACACTAGACGCGGTTTACAGCCTAGGTGTCCTTTCTTTAAAGCAAGGCAAGATAAAGGAGGCCGAGAGTATATTTTTACTAGCGCTTCGAGTGTACGAGAAGGTGTTAGGACCGGATCACCCGTCAACACTAGACGCGGCTAATAGCCTAGGTGTCCTTTATTCAAAGCAAGGCAAGATAAAGGAGGCCGAAAATATGCATTTACGGGCGCTTCAAGGGAACGAGAAGGTGTTAGAACCGGATCACCCGTCAACACTAGACGCGGTTTACAGCCTAGGTGTCCTTTACTCAGAGCAAGGCAAAATGAAAGAGGCCGAAGATATGTATTCATCGGCGCTTCGAGGGGCAAAAAAGGTATGGGGATCGGATCACCCGTTAACACTAAAGGTGGTTCACAGCCTAGATGTCCTTTCCTCAGAGCAAGGCAAGATGCAAGATGCCAAAGCCATATAATTACGGGTGCTTAATGGAAAGAGAAGGCGTAGGCGAATCTATTTTTACTGAGTCCTGAGTTGCCGGTCTAGATATCTGCAAATCCAAAAGTAGTCCTGGATGAAATGCAAATGAAATGAGACTGCTATTCTAAGAACTTTCTGTAGTATGAGAAGATGCATCGGTGTGACGAAACGAACTTCTTGAAATTGGTGAGTCAGAGCTGTGCTAGGGTGTTCACTAATAATATGCCCGTCGTCTCTCGAAGCAGCGCAGGCTATGGTGAGCCTGGAGTATATATCTAATGTAATTCGGAAGGGTGATATACTTATGTGAGTTGCCGTACAGTGAAGGAAGTCGAAAATGTCAGCAAGAAATGTAAGCAACAGGGTAGGTGGACCAGATCTGGTCAACTTCGCGACATGATGGCATTGGCAACAGTACTATGCTGAAGGTATTCGAACCCGGGACCCCTTATATATCTTATGTAGCTGAACCTGCGACACCCAATCCGCCTACTACTGTAACGTAGTGTATGGAGTTACAGCAATTGTCAAGAGACCTCGAGCCACGTCTCGAGGCTTTTGTATTCCATACTTTCAATAGGTACACTATCCTTCCACTACTTACTACTGGCACCACCCCGCCAGTGAAGTTAGAGCAACAGAAACGGGCGAGGTGTAAGATCCCCTAGGATCTGTCGCATGGCCTGTCCATTCATTGGGATGGCACCCGGTGTGGAACGACTCGTAGCTGCCATAGGCAAGGGTGACGCGTCGCCGACGTCCTCTTCATGGATATTTGGCGCCGATATTGACATCTTCATTTTCCATCAAGTTCAGTACCGCATCAATCTCCTGTCATCGTATCTGGTAGGGCGAATGCATCGTGCGCAGAGCCATCCACATCGACATGCAAGAGGAAAGGTCGGAAATGTCATTCTCGAACCCAGCAGATGGCCCAGCAGCTTGGGCCGCAGGAACTTCTACTTGTTCTTTATTGTACTCCGATGACGCTGGACTACATTCGTATATTGTCTAGTACTTAGGGTAGGCTTGTTTAACTGTGTTGTACAACAATTTCAGACTGCACCACTATGCCTCCGTCGTGGATACCGTCATTCGAGTCCCCTGAGCTAACAAAACTTCTACTGGGCTTGTTAGGCTTGGTCAACTCAAGTTCGTCTTCTTCCTGACCATGCTGGGAGTTGACCTTCACGTTACCGTGGGATCTGAGTTGTTGGAAGCGTCTCCGCGTCATGGGCCCCGGATCGGATCTCTTGGTGCTGCTACGACTGGCGTAGGAAGTGGAGCACTTCTTCCGGACCATGACATATAGTGGTCTCATGTTGGGCAGGCAAGCTGAAAGTATACCGATGGACGGTTCGATGGCGGACCAGACGCTGACGGGGCCCATCAGCGAAGTAATATCGGTAGCTGTCGAGAAGACGCGTAAGTAGTAGATTCGTACACAACTGGCGCCGCAGACACTGTTGTTGATTTAGTACATTGGAAGGTAGCGACGTATAAATTTTCCAATCTTACAAGCTTCCTAGCAGCATCAAGCCGCAGATGCTGATTTTCTTCCGAGTCGACATCTGGAGGTTCAAGATCTGTGGGATCGGGATGGTCAAAATGTATGCATCAAGAATAACATTGATGATGGCAAGGACCACGAAGAAGGTCCCTACGTCTAGCGGGCAAGAGTCCTCCGAGTTGCCCGCGAACCGTTCCCAATAGAAAGATACAGGTTTGCAACCTGGACAGGGGAAGATGTCAGCAACACTTTAGGCTTGATTGGGATTGATCGAGGCTTCGCAGCCGGGAACAACGCAAGTACTCACAATTAGCCATTCCGATTGCCAAAGTAAGTGGGTACAAGAGGGTGATCGTTCCGGCGATCCAAATGTTCAGGCGAAACGAGAACGTCGTGGCGGAAAAGATTCGCCTATATAACAGAAGGATCGAAACCTTGGTGAAAGTTACAGCCCAGGAAAAGACATAGGTATAAGCATATAGGAGCTATCCCAAGTCAGCATATGCACATCAGTACGAGCCAATGAAGTCGACTTCACTTGCCTTGGTGGCTGTCGACAGGCTTTCTCCTGTTACTGCCCATACGTGTTTCCCTGCGCCGTAAGAGCCGATTGCGAAGGACATCCCAGCACTACCAGCAGTGAAGAGCAGCGCCACCACGATGGCCCAATCATCCTTTTGCAACGGATTTCCCGTGATGCGTCGAGCGGCGAACCTCAGGAGCACTGCGCAGGCGGCAATCACCAACAGTACCGCAACAGCTGCATTGTTGCTGTGAACTGGGCTCTCGCTCAGGTCAACGCCTGTCGGTGCTGGGCCGAAAAGCGCGAGAATCACTGGATCAACGCTCATTCTGGACGATGCCCCAGACGTTGAAAATTGCCGTTGAGATTGAGCATAAGCATTGTCCAAAGCTATTGCAGAGAAAAACAATGATAATGCTGGAACACAGCTAGGCAGGATCGAACGAGCCGCACCTGATATCGTCGCCGCAGACTTTGGTACTCACCAGCGAGACCCGAAGTATTCCCTGCGCTATTCGACATAAAGTACTGTGTATACCGTGTACACTCATGGCGTGCAGGCATGGTCGGGCATGATGGTGGAGCCCGAAGCAACGGACCCGTATCCGCGCCGTGCCCCTGTTTTCCAACTGCCAGCCGATGCAGTGATGGCCTTATTACCGTGAGTGTTATAGGAAGACAACCATCGGTCGCCCCTGTCAAGTTCCCCGCCTGGTAATCGCGGATTCGTCGCTTTTCCATCAGGCCTTCATCTTGGCTAAACTTTAACATATGGCACCCCGGCTGGGAGCCAAATGCGTCACAACTAGAATTGGCACTATGTGGGTTTGCTGGCTGCCGGCAACCTTGCTTACCAGGGGGATGTTTTCCATCCCAGTCGCACCATTGCACAGGGAGTATTAAAAAACGCTGGCGTTTACCCCACGAAGAAACCAAGCCGTAGATCGGCAGGCCGCAATCACTAGGGGGTTGTGCGGGAATGCCCTCCGGTCACATTCAGCTATTGCACCCCTGGACCCAGGAAATAAAGAGCGCAATTGAGTCTCAGGTTGACATTGAGGGACTGCCTCGGTAACTACGTTTCCTCGCCCTTTTCCCTCTTGCTCGATACCTGTGATTATGCGCACTCTGTAACGTTTAGGGTAATCTTTGTTACATGACCATGAGTTCTCAACTGCATCCTGTCCCGGATTGGAAAGTGCTTTCGCCGATCGAGCAAATAAGCCCCAGAGGCTGGCCGCGATACGTAAGTGTTCCTCTTCAAGGTTATGAAGTCGGGGAGTGTTCTTGTGGTTTGTGGCTCATAGTATGTCTAGCTTTTCCCTTTTGAACTGAAAGAGGATTATGACATCAATGAAGTGGTGCGCGTCCTCACTGTAGGATGGAAAGCAGCCTGCGACCGCTTTCCCATCCTGAGAGCTGAAGCCATACCTGATCCGGATGGGCGTCAGGATGGCATGCTAAAGCTTCAGGAGCTGGACCAGCAGAGCTTGGACAGCATCCAGCCTATACTTGTGAAAGACCTGCGTACACCAGGGGTATTCCCAACCTTTACCGACCTCAAGGCGAGGCATTTCCCTGTGTCGGAATTCGATGGCGAAGTGTTGACACGACGATATACCTGGCCATCACCAGGGGATAGATTGCCAATCATCTTGATTCAGCTGAACTTCATCCAAGGGGGGATGATACTGAACTGGAACCCATATCATGCTGTCGGTGATGGCAAGACTTTTTTTACTTGGACCGCAGTTTGGGCCGAGGAATGCCGCCGAGCCCAGAACATCCCTATTACGAATCCCTTCGAGACACCAGCTTCCATTTTTGCCGATAGAGTGCATGTGCTGAACCCGAAGCCTCCTGGTGCTGGGAAAGGCGGGAACCTAGAGGATCTGCGTCAGTATCAGGTATTAACTGACCCGGCGAAGCAGCTAGAAAAGGTCCTGAAACGTGACGGACATGTTGGCCAGGTGTTCTACTTCTCCAAGGAATCACTAGAGAGACTGAAGCAGGACGCATATCCTGATGGACCAACTTACATCTCGACCAATGACGCGTTGTCGGCGCTGGCATGGAGATCGATTATGGCGGCGCAATTTCCGCTCGATGAGATCGAAGGAGACCCAACGTCCATCTTTAACATGGCCGTGGATGGTCGCTACCGAATCCAGCCACCTGTTGACCCTGGAACCCTCGGTAGTTTCGTGCTGTTTATTGAAATGACTATGTCTTTGCGGAAAATGCTCGGAACACAAGATCTTAAAGAGCTGTCAGCGTTGATCCGCAAAGCCGTCATTGAGACAAACAACTACCCAGGCGGCTTTACAAACGATGCTATCGCCCTCATAGGGAAGTTGCAACACGTTGCCCTTCTGACGCCGAATGCTTTCCTGGACTCGCCTGGACTCTCTTGCTCCCAGACCTCGTGGGCCAAATTTGAGCTTTACGGCCTCGAATGGGGTCCCCTACTTGGGGACAGGATCCAGGCCATTCGGAGTCCAAGCTGTGGAATCCTGAATGGCATGCAGATCATGATGCCCACCCTGCCAGACGGTGGTCGAGAGGTGCTGTGCGGGATCGAAGAACGATGCTTGGGCCGGCTCCTCGCTGACCCGCTGTGGAGAAAGTATGCTGAGCCAAGATGATTCTTGCCTGCAGGTACAGGTAGACCGAGACGTGATCAGGGGGAAGATAGATTCTGCATATATTTAGACACTTCTCCATGACAACTTTGTTCCATTACTATCCAAGCTATGCTTCTCTGTTATATGCCATTGGCTGAATGTTGCATCTCGCCTCCCTCATCCTCACGACCGCACGGCGGTCATGGACCTTGATACATATACGGTATCGAAACTTCTTAATCATACCAGAGTCGTTTGGCTCCGTGATCAAACCCCATATCAAACCCACACTTGCGCAGCAGTCGACTGCTATGGTAGTATATGATCACCTATTCAGCCCGGAGGCACTACGCCTCGAGGGCAGTGTTACTATTATCCATGGGCCAACGTGGTCGGCCCTAAGGTCTTGTCAAGCCTTGACATTAACACGGTCCGTTTGTTTTCTCTATTCTGATGAAGCCTGCTAGTTGTACAATCCTCCAAATAGGTGTGTATAGTTGTTTTGCCGAAGTGGGCATTAGGGTGTAGAGTCCAACTTAATATAGGTCTTTAGAGCCTGGCTTGCCTGGAAGATCCCTGTGGGCGTCGGGCCAATCACCTGCGCCCAGACAGGATCCACCTGACCCCACCTTTTTTTCAGCCTCGTCCATCGTCACGTCGTCGCCCAGCCCAAAAAGTTCGCGAGCTCCTGCCAACTTGTTTTAGCCTCAGCCTGTAGCTTCCCCGTTCCTCGACGTCCCGCCGCCTTGTCGCAGACCTTCCCGGCTCAACCCCATCGCCATCCACGTTTGCCAGGACACCTCGAGAGCGCAGTCATCGCCTGTGCTGCCGCTGCGTCTGGTTCTCTGGTCTGGTTGCCCTGCGACCAGCCATCGTCGATCTGTCCAGCAATCGGCAAGGTGCAGACACAGATGGCCAGCCGATCGCCTTCGCCGCGTCGCGGTGCCGCTGCCACCGACCGCCGCCGCCCTCCTCGCAATGGCGGCGACAGCTATCGCCCCGGCGCTCGCGAGCCCGGCCGCATGTCCCCAGCCCGCGACGGCCCCGACGACGACGAGCCCCGACGCGCCCGCTCACCACCGCCGCCTCAGCCGCGCCGCCGCTCGCCCGTTCCCGTGCCCACCGAGGAGGAGAAGCAGGCCGCCGCCAAAGCTGAGTACCAGAAGCTGCTCAACATGCGCTCGGGCGGTACCTACATCCCCCCTGCGCGCCTGCGCGCCCTCCAGGCCCAGATCACCGACAAGACCTCCAAGGAGTACCAGCGCATGGCCTGGGAGGCCCTCAAGAAATCCATCAACGGTCTGATCAACAAGGTCAATGTCGCCAACATCAAGCACATCGTTCCCGAGCTGTTCAACGAGAACCTCGTACGCGGCCGCGGCCTCTTCTGCCGTAGCATCATGAAGGCCCAGGCCGCTTCCCTACCATTCACCCCCATCTACGCTGCCTTCGCCGCCATCGTCAACACCAAGCTGCCTCAGGTCGGCGAGCTGCTTGTCAAGAGGCTGGTCATGCAGTTCCGCAAGGCCTTCAAGAGGAATGACAAGGCTGTTTGTCTGTCGAGTGTTATGTTCATCGCCCACCTCGTCAACCAGCAGGTCGTGCACGAGATGCTGGCCGCCCAGATCCTGCTCCTCCTGCTCCAGAAGCCGACCGACGACTCAGTCGAGATCGCTGTGGGGCTCACCAAGGAGGTCGGCCATCACCTGGAGGAGATGAGCCCGCCTATTGCCATGGCCGTCTTCGATCAGTTCAGAAATATTCTGCACGAGGCCGATATCGACAAGCGTGTCCAATACATGGTCGAAGTGCTTTTCCAGGTTCGAAAGGACAAGTTCAAGGATAACCCCGCCGTCAAGGAAGAGCTCGACCTTATCGAGGAAGAGGACCAGATTACACACCGAGTCGAGCTTGACGCCAGCATTGACGTGCAGGATGGTCTGAACATCTTCAAGTTCGACGCCGACTGGGAGGACAATGAGGCTGCTTACAAGAAATTGAAGGCAGATATTCTCGGCGAGGGCAGTGATTACGAGGATGACGACGACGAAGACGAGAGCTCGGACGACGAGGACCACGAGGAGAAGGCCATGGAAATCAAGGACCAGTCCAACACGGACCTCGTCAACCTCCGAAAAACCATCTACCTGACGATCCAGTCTGCGATTGACCCCGAGGAAGCAGTCCACAAACTTCTGAAGATCAACTTGCCCGCCGGCTTGGAAGGGGAGTTGCCATCCATGGTGGTCGAGTGCTGCTCGCAGGAGAAGGCATACACCAAATTCTTTGGCCTGATCGCCGAAAGGCTGGCCAAGATCAACCGAAAATGGACCGAGCTCTTCGAAGAGTCGTTCAGAAAATACTACGAGACGTGCCATCGGTACGAAACAAACAGATTACGAAATATTGCTCGTCTGTTCGGTCACATGTTCGGTTCTGATGCCATGGGCTGGTACATCCTGTCTGTCATTCATCTGAATGAAGAGGAGACGACTAGTTCCTCCCGTATTTTCATTAAGATCATGTTCCAGGAGATTTCTGAGGAGCTTGGCATGCCGAAGCTACAAGCAAGAATGAAGGACGACGTTCTCCAGCCCGACCTCGAGGGACTCTTCCCTCGTGACAACGCCAAGAACATCCGTTTCTCGATCAACTACTTTACTAGTATTGGCATGGGTCCTCTCACTGAAGAGATGAGAGAGCGCCTCGCCAACCTCCCGAAACCGGCCCTGCCAGCCCCCGCAGCAGCTGCCCACTCCGATTCCGACTCGGTATCTAGCTACTCATCCTATACTGGATCCTCCTACTCGTCCCGATCAAGATCGCGGACACCTCCCCGCCGAGCCATCGACAAGAGGGGACGCTCGTTGTCACGAACCCCATCCAGACGTGGCAGATCATACTCGGACAGTCGCAGCAGAAGCTATTCGCGCTCCCGTTCTCGATCATACAGCGCGTCTCGGAGCCCGCCACGCAATGCGGCAAGACGGGACGGCTCGTACTCGAGGAGCCCCCCGCCACGTGGAGCACGCCGATACTCGAGCGTCTCGAGATCTCGTAGTCCCGTACGACAGAACGGCGGCGCTAAGCTACGAGCACGCTCCTACAGCAGCCGTGGTCGTAGTATGACGCGATCTCGATCTCGGTCGTTCACACCATCTCGCTCACGCAGCCCGCCGCGCAAAGTGCCTGTGAGAGCAAAGCGTACTTCATACTCGCGAAGCCCATCTCCGCCTCGGCGACCAGCCGCTGCTCGTGGCAACAGCTACTCCCGCTCTCCATCACCCCCGCCCAGGCGTGGCAGACCCGCGTCCAGGTCTGTGAGCCCACCGCCCCGGAGACGAAGAAACACGAGCAGCATCAGCAGTGCGCCCCGTAAGCGAGCGAGGTACACCGAGAGCCGGTCGCCCAGCTCGGACGGCGGCGCACCTCTGAAGCGCAGACGCTACAGCAGTGTGAGTCGGGGTGGCAGTCCGGGGGTCAGCAGGCAGGCGGCAAGATAAGGCTCGGACGACGGAGGAGCACCGGGCAGATTGTACACTGTAGTCTAGTAGTTACCGAGGAAGAATGATACCAAAAATGATAGTGCACAATGGGTTGGCGCAGAGTTAGGCAATTGGGTCTACGAATTGATATAATCAACCACTAAATGACTGCCTCGTGTCTTGCTACTTGCTTGTCGTGATATGATGACATTTTGACGCCCATGATAATCAAAGTCAAAGAATCCAAGTAATCAAACTGCAGTGTTGTATCATAGCTACCGACTTCTATCTATTCCCATCAATCTCGCAGAGTATGCGGGATCCCTGGGTTGTGCTTCGTTCAGCGTGGGGTTGAAAAAAGTGAGCACAGGAATCTAGCTTCCGGGGACTCGGGCATCCTGATATATATTTCGGCCCCCTTTCACTGCAAAATTAGCCCTTCGTGAGCTTCTGGGGACTCGGGCATCCTTATACGTATTTCGGCCCCCTTTCACTGCAAAATTAATCCTCACGAAGGGCATGAGAGGGGGACCGCAATACCCTCAGCCCCCAAACCCCACACGCAAGTGTGCGAGGCTGTGGTGCACGATGCCGGATAGGGGAGGAGGGGTCGCGGGCTGTGCAGGTGAGACTGCATATTGGGCAGCACTGCAGGTAAGCAGGAGAAAGAAAAGGGGACCAGAGAAGGAAAGGGACAGGCGGGTGGTCTGGGGCATTGATATCACTAGATGAGTGTCTCTCTCAAAAGGATAGAGGAGTTGAGGCAAGTCACCAGCACTAGCATGTACGCAGGATTCAATTCCATTTTATGCCGGCTCGGTCGGTCCATGGTAACAATTCGAAGTGCAATCACACATGAGGGATGCAAGAGCCATCCGGCACTATGATGACTTCGATCAGGAGAAACCATTGCAAGTTTTGGAATTATGGTCCCTGTTGAGGCAGCTGTGGCTCGCTCGGGAGGTTCTTCGGGAGGATAAAGAGGGGACTACAAGAAGTTGATATAGCCACTTCCGAATTGAAATCCATGAGAGCGTGGATTCGCTCTACCAGTACAGGTAGGTAGTCACGAGGAGAGGAGCAAAAAGAAGATTTGGTGAGAAAGGAAAGGGAAGTTTGCCAGCTACTATTGGGAACGGAAGTCCATCAAAAGGGGCACCCGTAGGAATGATGTTTCAATTCTCTGACGAGAAATCGATGGCGGTAGAAATGGTAGCTCAGAAAGCTGTTCCTGACTCAATTGATCTTCTTCCACAAGTTGGAGCTATTCGCAGGTGTCAAATCCACATCTCAATGGTTGTCCACGAGGTGGAGCGAGAGCGATTGATCTTGCACAAACGAACAAAAGGATGTTGAGTTGAAGGTGGCTTCAGGTCTTGTTGTCCGGGGATTGTTGCCCTTGATATAAACGACAGAGCTTCACTGCAATCTTAACGCTCGCGAAGGGGTTGAATTCAAGAGTGGAGGGAGCCGGCACTGCCCCAACGGTAAAAGACATTGGAATGCGGCTGTGCTGGCTGCTGCATATGCATTGTTGCATTATAGGTTAGTGGCATGGGGTCCACGCTTTGCCAACAAACTGGTTGTAGCATGCGACTGCACATGGAGACAATCTTCTTTTGAATATGAGTTGTGAGTCTACGAAAATTTACCCTGCCTCTCACAAGAATCACGAGAGCCATTCAGCAGGCTCTTGGAGGACACTGAGAACAACGTGGCGCGTCGCTCTAGCTTGACTGTATTCTCATTCTATCAAAGCCACCCTACTGGCCCTCCATTCTGTTGGCATTGGTAGATGACACTGTGCTTCTCATACCAAAGAAAAGTCTTCCAACTCAGACGTAACTACTGGGTCCTCAAGAACCTCGCTCCAGAGATGTGAAAGTTCCGGGCTTGTATAACTCACGTTTTGTGCCTTCTTGATGAGCAGCTGATCGTCAGTCCACCGTGACCAAAGACCGTCACTGTCGCGTTTGATGCTCTCAATGGGGGAGGTCGGGAAGTGAGTCGTGGGACACACAAGATGATACTCGGTATTCCCGTGTTTGCGAAGCAGGAACGGAAGAGGTGAGCCTTGGAGCAACACGATTTCGTCGCCTCTCGAAACGATAGGGTGAACGAAAGCTATGGAGGTGAAAAATACTACCAAACTATCTGCCTTGAGATATCTCTTGAACAGTTCAAGGATTCGTAAACCCTGGGCAGTGATTGTTGCTTTCCTGTTGACCATTGGAGAGTCGGATGGCTCAAAAGTCTCGTCGAACCACCTGTTGATCGCTCGTGAAATTCGACGAAAGTGGGTTGTCTTGCACTCCTCGTCGCTAAAATATACCTCGTATTGACGCCAACCCTCGGAAGCTTCAATGGCCACGTCGATGGCCGCCATTCGTATCCCCTTCAGCTTGAGAACACCATTCGTGTTCCAGTGTGGGTTTGGCCGCCATACGGCGCCAGCCTCGCCCAGACGACTGGATCTACTGGATTGGAATGAGTTAGAAAGCGCTTTGGTTCTCATCCGGAAAGTTTCCACCGGGCCGTTGTCTATATAATCCCTGTCGCAGATCTGGTGAAGACGTCGCCAGTCAGGGGTCCAGGAGGGGAAGTCCACAGAAGCTGTTCGAATATTGGGGTCATCAAGATATAAGATGTCCAGGTTCAAGTCTCTGCGCATTATATAGACCACCGCACTTTGGAAGACCTGGGATATTGTGCGGGAATAGTCTATAGCCAAGGTGGGCGACTCTGTTCCGAACCCACCGTCGACGTCCTTCGTATCTGTCCTTACGTCTGTAATACCTAACACACCATACACTAGATCGCGAGGGTCTGTTGCTTTGAAGTAGCCGTTGCTTAGCAATGCCGCGGTTAATGTCGTAGGCTCGCGCGCCGAAGGGTCCTCGAACAAGTCACTAGCATGGAACAGCAACTTGGCAGCGAGACTGGGCTGCTGTAGCCAATGAAGCTGTGTTGGGTAACATTTACGGACGGCTTGCGTATGACTTTCAATTTCCTGGACCTTTTCCAAGACCTCCCGGTGTTGAAAGACTAGCGTGCCGTATTGCACATGAACGTTTTGAGCAGCGAACATCTCTTGCCTGACCCAAGTCCGCTCGAAAAGCCGTGCGCTCATAGCTACATCAAGAAACTGTTGGCAAAATGTTAAACAGTCCTGGCTGTGGGTTCTGTTGACGAAATCGCATTTGAGGACCGTTCTGAGGACTGCTGTCCTATCGTCGTCCCAGTCCGGGTTCCATGCCACCACGCGGCTAGCCTTTTGGTAGATGTTCTTCATGCGACGCACTTGTATGGATTTTTCGATCTGGTCATGTTGGTTTATACACAAGGCATCGACCCACAAGTAGGTTGCATCGGTTAACGATTGGAGAGCTTTCAGAGCCCCGAAGAGGTTGGCCGTGATTGGGTACGTAACGTTATTTACGATGACTGATTCTGAGAAGTCTGGACTGCCCCATTCATAGGAAAGGGCAATGTAAGAGACCTCTTGTAGCACATCATCGTCATCGATGCCCATACCATCCCAATGGAGAATGTCGGCAACCAGCAGTCGGCATTCGACAGGATTCGCTGAGTTTGGACCCGGTTTGATGCGTAGTAGGCGGGTCTGCCAGGGTTTGATGGGTACATGTGTGTAGAGTCGTTCTGCCGCCGATTGTTGACCAAAGTGCCCCGGCTCCGCGTGCGTGACTGGAATCGATGTTTGCCGATTGATTACCCGCCCGACCAGCTCACGATCAGGCCAACAGCCTGCGGGGCATTCTGGTATCGAAAGGTCCGCATAACCCATACGATGAGTCTCTCCCGTCTTGAGATGGTGTCCTTTGATTGTAGACATCTTCAAATCGGTGCTGACAGTGTAGATGGCAAAAGCGATAAATGTACGAGTTAAGACAGATCGTTTTGAGGCCGGGGCTGTCAATGCCAAGATAACCAATCCAAAAAGGACCTTGGTGAAGCCTGGAGTTGCCTATTCTGCCCCCACGCAGCACCTCGAGACAAGAACTACATGGAAAATACTATGCCCGTAGGCGTATTTTGCAGGATGGTGCACATTCCTTGTAGTTGATTAATTCGATTGATTGGTGTTGGTCGTGGTAATCTCTGCTACCTCACATACGTTAATGCAGATTGCTCGATGCCTTGGCGAAGTAGAAGCTGCCTAAGCCGTCGGAGGGCCATCGTGAACTCCATCTGTACTAGGCAAGTATGATGAGAATTATAAATAGACTTCAAGTTGATGATCTACAAACTATGCTTGCTGTCCATTTGACATTTGGACAATCAAAACGATCGATCCTCCCCTTTCAAATGAAATATCTCCCTATCCCACTGTATTTGAGTTGTCAGCGCAACTGAAAGCAGAGCCGATGGCCCCAGTCGCGTAAGCATCTTTGATTGCCAAGGCAGTACCGTAACTAGTCAAAGTTCAAGTCAGTATACGTATGTTCGATTGTTACATATACCACGGATAATAGACTCACGTTCCGCCGATGAGAAGGAGCCCTCCGACCAGTGCAATTAGAACGTGAAGTGCATAGAAAGCGACCTGCTTCGGCGTTCCAGATCTGTAGTGGCCAAAGTCATACATCCAGAACAAGGGTGGGAAGATCAAGCTCATTGGTGCAAAGCATATAGAGCCTGCGAGAGCAATGAGGTAGTTGAATATAGGTATAGCTTCTGCTAAAACCCACGATAGAACGCCCAGGCCTATGTTAATACTGATCCAGGTACCCCAATGGATAACGGTGTTGGCCTGTAGATGTGGTGAGTCACGCAAAATACGTACGAAGACGTACTTGGCACCGGTGTGATTAAAGAGAGCCGCGCTGATGATCAGACTCGGGAGGGCCAGCCCAAAGGCAACCTTCTTCAGCAGGGGACCGGCACTACCGAGAGAAGGGGATGCGACCCAAGCGCCGCACCACCGATAAATCACTTCCGAGAATGATAGATAGACTGCGCCCACGACAAAGCCGCAAATGACTACAGCCCGCTTGTAGTCCTTCGGGTTCTTCATCTCGGCGATGACAGGTAGAAAGCCGGGACCCCCGGCACTAGAAATGAATATAGTAGCACTGGCAGTCATGCCGGCGGCGAACGTTGGGTAGGCGATGGCGGACCAGCCGAGTTCGTAAGGCCCAGTCTGCGGTGCTGCTGCCGGACGGTCCCGCAGTGTTACACCTATGACCACTACCAAGACACCCGACATGACGGAGACGAAGCCAGCAGTGAGCGGCCATGTCATCCTGCCCCACGTCCGGATACATGAGACAATTATAACCATGAGTGTAGCAACGAAACCGAACAATACGGAACACGCGCCGTGCTCGGAAAGGGCGTTGAATGCGATCGAGGTACCCAGAATGCCGCTCCCGGTGCAGAAGATGTAGGCGATGATGAACATGATGCCAACGAGTTCCTTTCCAATCGGCCCCCAGAGTTTGCCACACATGTCCACGATCGCTACATATATTTGTCAGCCTGAAGTTCGGCAAAATCCCAAGAGTGTACTTACTGTGGCATTCCGGGTGTCGGTTTCGGAACTCACCCATGAGTATGGCCGTCCCTGACAAAGACTTAGTAACAGAGCCCGAGTGCTTATGATGGCGCATGAAGACTAACATGAGTTCGCGAGCTGCCAACCAACAATCGAAAACCCGCCGCCAACAGCACCAAGAGAGTATAAGGCTGTGGGAATACCGAGGATACCAGTGGAGATTTGGATCTTTAGGAAAATGAGGGTGGCCCGTTGCCAGGTGACTGTGCGAAAGTCGACACCGCCCTCGATCTTTTTGAAGACCTCGTGCTTCTCTCTCTCCACATCCGCTTCGAAGACGGCTCCATCATGGATGCTTGCTTCGCTGGAGTGAGGCTCCAGGACCGTAGCCTTGGACTCAAGGGCCTGCTTCTCCGCCTTGGCGTCCATACCAGGAAGAGGTCTATACGTGTCAAGAGAAGTGAGAATTGGATGAAAATAGTAGTGGACGCCCTACACTATATGATCTTAAGGAATCTACTGCGAGTAATGTATCCATGCAATATGACATGTTGGCGAGGCGGAGGCAATGGATGTTAAATAACTTCCAGCGACCGTGCAGCTCGCCTGCATGTCTCCATACCCGGGATTCTGGGTCGGCTGGGGGGTTCCTACGAGAACATCCTTATCTTCAACCAGACTCGTAGACATGATATCTGGAAAGAGTACTCCTCGGTGGCGTGGGCAGTGTGGCTGGCTGTTATCTGGTGGTATCTATGGGCGGCAGTTCTCTCGAGTGTGTATGATAGGCAAACAGGTTGGACAACAACTATGTCCCAGCCAAAATAAGGGTACTGGAGGAGCCCTATTCAACTTCCATTCAGCCCATCCGCGAATCAGTACGGATTTAGGTTTGATCTGGGAGCAGACGATGGTGGATGCTGGCTCGAAAGCCGGCCAATCGACAGCTCCTGGTTTCTTGTGCCTTCGGAAGCTAGTGTCGAACCCGCGGCATTGTCCGCAACCTCGCCGTCCCGATAGATAAGACAACTGATTCGGGATCTGATCAACATTACCCGCATCTGATTGGTCCGACGTCGAGCCATGGTCCTGTAAACCGCTGTATAGTCCCGCTTTGCTTATACCTCTGGGTTACCTTCGGGTCTAAGGGGGAAGCATACCACCCCCGCCCTTTTATTCCCAGGTCCGATGCATTGGAAGACGAGAGGCTCGAGAACTTCTTGGCAATGATACGGGCACCTGCTATGACCTGGCCCAAAGAAATGGTAGCAAAAAACGAGTTGGGATGCAAAATAAGAGATTGTCAATTAGCGATTTATCCTTTGAGATTTGCTTCTCTCAACAGCAGCAACCAGGATTGTACAAAACTCAGGCTATTTCTTGTATCCCTAAAGCATGGGTCCAATAACAAGAAAGAAGGTTCACTTAAACTTTTTCGAAACAGCATGCACAGGGAATCACGAATGTGCTGGGCAATGGTCGCGACCAGGGGATAACTCAAAGTCCAAGGACACACTTGAGTATTACATTAAAATGGCCAGAATGGGGGAGGAAGCAGGTATCACTGCAATATTCTTTGCCGACACCTATGCTGGCCACGACGTTTACGGAGGAAACATGGATGCAGTCTTTCGAGCTGGTGTGCAGGTAGCTCAACTCGACCCTCTTGTCATCATATCAGCTATGGCGGTTTGTGATTCGCAACTTACAGTCTCTAACAGTAGCTGACAATGGTAGGCCGTAACCAAATCTATATCCTTTGGAGTCACAGGCAGCACAAGCTACATTCCTCCATTCCCACTAGCGCGGACATTCAGTACCTTGGATCACCTCACCAAAGGGCGTATAGCATGGAATGTTGTAACAAGCTGGTCACAGGCTGCAGCAGACGCTTTTGGCAAGGAGCTCGTCCCTCATGACCAGAGGTACGAGATCGCGGACGAGTACATGGATGTCATCTATCGACTGTGGAACGCTTCGTGGGCAGACGGGGCCCAAGTCTGGGACCGTCAAAACCACATTGCATATGAGCCGTCAAAGATCAAGAAGATCGAGCATAGTGGTAAGCACATTAAACTCCGCGCCCGGCATCAGACGCATCCGTCACCCCAGAGAACGCCGTAAGTAATAACAAAACACGAAAGATCCATTGGTTATGCATTGACGAACGCGCAGTGTCATTTTTCAAGCTGGTACATCCAAGGTTGGCCAGGCCTTTGCAGCCAAGCATGCAGAGGCGGTGTACATTGGCGGCCTGGTACCCAGCCAAGCTGCCTACCAGATCAAAGCGGCTCGAGAGATCGCGATGGCAGCGGGCCGTGATCCCACCACCATCAAGTTCTTCGCAGCCATCAATCCGATCATTGGACGAACAGTAGAAGAAGCCGAAGCAAAATTCAAGGAGGCCCAGGAGCATGCCGACGTCGTTGGCGCTCTGGCTCAGTTCTCAGGTTATACTGGGATTGACATGAGCAAGTATCCGTTAGATGAAGAGCTAAAGTTAGATACGTCCAAGCCCAAAGAAAGCGCTGTGCAAGGTTTCCTTGGAAACTACGGCGATAGCCAGAAAGATGGCGATGTATGGACTCCAAGGAAGCTCGGCTTGAAGATTGCGATTGGGGGCTTTCACCCGTCGCCGGTCGGGACGCCGGAAATGATAGCTGATATCATGGAGCAGGTAGGTCTGTGGAAACAGTGCTGCAGATGGATGTCGTTTGCTGATTGCGTTCGGACTCAGTGGGTTGATGAAGCTGACGTCGATGGCTTCAACATGGCCTATATCAGCAACCCGGGATCCTTTGAGGATATCGTCGAGCTGCTGGTACCGGAGATGAAGAAACGCGGTCTAATGTTTGAGGACTATGCTGTGCCGGGAGGAACATTCCGAGAAAACTTGTTGAGGCAGCCAGGCCAGAAGACACTGAGAAGCGACCACTATGGAAGCACCTTCAAGTTTGAGGATGAACCTGTTGAGGCTCAACGGACGACAGACGGACTAGATACTTAGACAACCTCAAAAACGGATTCTACTCCCGTAATGACATTGAAGATGACATTGCCCTGTAATATACCAGAGAATACTGTTAGCTCTATCAGATCACAATCTCATCTCGAGCCACCATGCACTTCGACAATGCTCCCGTTCATAAATTTGCTCTCTTCGCTGAAGAGGAAGACGACTACATCGGCAACATCATCTGGCTGGCCTAGGCGGCCCAGTGCAATACTAGCTATCAGCTCATCATTGGCATTGCCACCTGCGACGTTTCCCGCCATGGTTGGCGTGTCAATCGGGCCAGGGGCCACAGCATTGATCCTGATGCCCTTCGGCCCAAGTTCCAGGGCCATGGCTTTCGTAAAGCCGATGATGCCGAACTTGGTCGCGCAGTACTGCCATAGATATTAGCCTTTTGGCTCAAGCATTGTGGACCTACTACTCACGATAGAGAACCCCTTCGTCGCCCTTAAGCCTGCTGTACTAGATACATTGACTATGGCCCCGCCCTCTTTGAGATGCGGCACGACAGCCCGGGTGATGTTATACGGTCCCCGGAGATTCGTATTCACGAGCTTATCGAAATACTCATCCGTAGTCTCGGTGATCTCCAGAGCGGTCGGATTGACGCCGGCGCAGTTGAATACGAAGTCGATCTTGCCCAGCGACGCCAGCGTATGCTGCACGGCGGCCTCGCAGCGAGCGCTGACCCCGACGTCGCACTTGAGATACATGTGCTTCTTGGCCGTGGGTAGTTCTTTGACAACCTGCGACAGCGCATCTTCGTTGATGTCGCACAGTGAAAGCGATGCGCCTTGCTCGGCTAGCTTGATGGCGGTTGCACGACTACACGGTTCATCAGAAGCAGGAAAGACAATATCACCCATTGGACGTACCCGATGCCACTGGCGGCGCCAGTAATGAGAACCACTATACCCTCGAACTTTGCTGTCATGGTGACCCAACGGTGCAACTGATACTTGAATACTAGATACAGGCCTGCCACAGTAACTTGGGTGCTCTGATATCAGGATTGCGGAGTATTGCTTCCACACTTGCTGGGATCCGAAGACGTGCGGCTAAGCAGGGGGCATCCCGAAAGCTATAAGCTTATCTTCGGATAACCGTGAACTCAGAACGGCAGCTACCGCTGCTGGTATTTATCTCTGGACTATCTCTGAGTAGGTGAGCACCAGTAATGGGAGCAGATTTGCCGTCCAGAGGAAAGACGCCATCAGGAATGCTTCATTACCATCTCCCTCGATGAGGCGTTCCGCCTGCAACAAGGACCTATGTGCAATATGCAGAGGAGTATACTGCATCATACTGCAGCAGCTGGCTACAGAAGGACAAGGAGCTAACTATTCCTTGGTGGACCCTGTCGACACGGCCCCTCAGGAGCTTCTGGGTAGCTCCGAGCGAGCTCAGGGGGGCAGGGTAGGTAGCTTCCGAACTATAGCAACCACAGCTGTGCGGAAACTCGGGACACCTTGAACAGGTTATTTTTGGATTCCTTGCCTTCACCCGCAAGAAAGAGAGAGTGAGGATGCTTGGATATGTTTCGCATCTAGTGGCTGTAACCCTCCCGACGCTGTCAGCACATACGAGTCAAACCGAGGCCCCGCACAAATACCACAACGGTTCTGTCGGCCTCCGGCAGGGGTCCAAAAGCTTGTTACTCAGCAGGCTGAGCATTGCTGCCAAGCAGGAAAGATTTCTTTTTGAAACTCCTTAAAGGATGGCTTCATGATCAGCCGTTGCGTTTTCTCGTTCTTAGCGAAGCAATTATCCGCGGGGTTGAGGCCAAGTCCCAGACCATCTTAATCCAATCCTCTAGCACCACAGCAAACGCCGGCGACCACCAGCAGCGATCGACATAAGCTGCCACCATCACCATGGTATAGCTCCCACAAGCTCGAACCTCGTACCACCCGGGCCGCCGTGTCGTTTGCTAACCGTGCCTCGCAGGCGCCCTACATCAAGTATGCCCTCGTCCCCCTCTTCGTAGGCTGCAGCGTCTTCGGCGCGTACGCGACCATCGGCAGCCTCAAGCACAACGGCCTGGGCGCCGTGCTCCGGGGCGTGGCCTCGGGCGACCGGTCGAGCCTGCTGGGCGCCCCGGAGCCCTTCAAGCGCAGCTACACGGGCGTCGCCGCCATCGACGGCCAGCTGCGCATCCTGGTCCTCTTCTTCTCGGCCCTGCTCGACGGCGCCGTGCCCCCCGAGACCCGCCTCTTCTACCTCTGGGGCATGGGCCAGTTCGTCGCCGGCTGGACCCTGGTGCTGCTCGAGAGCCTGCGCGCCGGCAACCGCGGCCGCGCCGTCAGCTGGATCGCCACCTTCGGCCTCATCTTCCAGAACATCAGCTGGACCGTCGCGCTGCCCATCTGGCTGGCCATGCACCTGCTGACCTCGCCCGTCGCCAAGCTGCGCAACGGCGACGGCGACGCCGCCCGCAAGACCCTGTTCGTGCTGCTCTGGGACATGGCGCTCATCCCGTCCTCGGTCACGGTGGGCTTCATCGCGCCGGCCATCCTGATGCCCATGTCGGAGCTGCTGCACCAGAGCGCCGCGACGCACTACAACTGGATCGCCATCTGGCAGGCGTTCCCGCTCTGGAACGCGCTGATGCTGCAGGCCTTGCACCAGGCCCTGCTGTTCGTCGTCGGCTCGCTCGAGCTGCGGGACGAGAAGGGCGAGAAGACGACCCCGGGCAAGGGCTACGTGACGGCCGCGGCCGATGTCTACGGCTTCGCGCTCACCGTCGCCACCTTCTCCCACGTGCCCGTCCTGGCCCTGTCCGTCCTCCCGCCGCCCCTGCGCAAGCTCCTCGCGTCCTTCTTCCCCAGCTACGCGACGTACATCGAGCGCGGGACCTTTGCCAACATCTTCGTGCCCCACTCGCCCTCCTCGCCCCCTAGCGTCGTCCCGACGGCCTACGCGAGCGGTGATCTGGCGCCCGTGGCCATCCAATTCCTGCAGTACGACCTGTTCGTGGCCAGCGTGCCGTTCCTGCTGTGGGCTCTGTACCTCTACCAGACCACGGTCAAGAACCCGAGCCTGGTCACTGCGCTGAAGAACGTGGGGTACTGGACCCTGATCGGCGGCCCTCACGCCGCCGTGGCCGTCCTGCTGCGGGAGCGGGACGATACGGTACTGGAGGGCGAGGCTCCTCTGGAGAAGAAGAAGAACTAGAGTCTCGGACACCGGGAGCCTCTATCCAGGAAGTCTGTGGGCCTGACGTGTCGGGGTCTTCTTATAGTCGTATCACAGAGACTCTGGTATTACTTGTCCGCATTAGCCAGACTGTGACACTGCGCATATAGTCTGAGTTTTAGTTCAAATCATCTGCATAGTGTCACAATGTAAAACGGAAGTCGTACTCTGAAAGGAGTTTCAATGGTGGAAAAGATGAAAAGGGAAGGGGAAGGTAGACACGCTGTCTGAAAGCTAAGGACAAGTTAGTCATTGAGAACAGGCATAGTCCTAAACAAGAGAAAGCACAGCAGAGAACTATTGAATCTGTGTAGCAGCACAAAGTTTCCATTGACCTATCTAGCCTGAATAGCAGGATGGAAAGATGCATCATCTGAACGCCTAGAGATGCTGAATATTTTGGGCCGCAATCCTGCAATGTAACAACTGAAAAATAGTAAACCAACAGAACCGAGAAGTAAGCCAGAAGACACCTCGAGACCGCATCGAGCTATAAAAGCGGATCTCCATTGGCTTCTCTCTTAAAATCACAAGCCCTCTCAAACTTCCGCTGCTGCGTAAGCCCCCTCAACCTGTAAACATGGGGGTCTGATGCCTGCCGTTCCTGATATCTAGTCCAACACGCCTTGCGCCCGCCGTATGTCGAAAACGCGTCTGGGCAAGTTACTGGCTTGCCTGGAACACGCGCTGCATCGACTCGATATCGTTGATGGACTCGTTGAAGACGCGAGTCACCGCCTGAAGAACCTTGGTGCGGTTGTGCTCGCCCTTCGTTCGCCAGATCTCCGCCATCATCTCTCTGGTCAGCTGCTCCAACTGCTCGATCGTACAGCCTGATGTGCGCTTGGTGAGCTCGTCGAGGAACAAGTCGCCCGACAGTCTATCGAGTTCAACGTGCTGCTGGGAGGCTGACGAGCCACCGGATTGCCGCTGGGATTGAGACGTTTCCTCGGGCAGTGGGTCGTTAAGCAGGTTAGCCATGCTAGGGGCGTGCGACGATCTTGTTGCTCCCGACGAAGCGTTGCCGCGTGAACTCGATGAGTAGTCTGGCGCCTGCAGAATACCGCGCGCTAGACCGTGGGCTTGAGAATGAGGCCATTGCTCGTCGCTCGATGTCCCTTGGCTCGCAAGAGGTAGAGTGTCCGGGAGCTGGTCTACTGGGCTAGATTGCTCATTGTGCACACCATTCGTGACCTGAGTGCTCCAATTGGAGGATCGGTTGGAAGGGTCCGATGTCTTGGTGGTCGAGGCATCGTTCGCAAGAGCGGATGGTGACATGCCTGCCGGGAGGGACTGCACAGCAGACACTTGGGAAAGCTGAGTTGTGCCACCTGTAGTCGCCCTCGTGGAGAGGTTGAGAGGAGGCCGAGGTCCCATTCGAGGCCATTGAGAAGGCGGCTGCATGGGGGATGCATTGCTGTCGGGCTGGGTCTCTGCATCGGTCATTTGCACATCCTCTCCGGCTCCTTTGGACACGTCGGATGTACCATTGGTGTGGCTGTGGGTTGCAGAAGCCTCGCCGTATCCGTTTGCAAGGGGGCTCATAACCTGGAATCGTGCACTTGTGGTGTGAAGAGCCGGAGGCTGCTGATCATCGGGGTCGACAGTGCCGTCGCCAGCCTCTGAAGTGACTTGATCAACGACAGACTGCATGGCCTTCTTCTTGCGCGACCTCTCCGCCTTCGCAGCTCGGCGACGCTTCTCCTTCTCGTATAGTTCATCCCAATCAACACTAGGAAGTCGGAGCTTTTCGATATCCAGGACATCGACTTCAACATTAGTCAAGAGTTCGCTGGCCTTAAGAATTCTTTGTCGATCACCGCTGGCCTTGGCATCCTTTTCCAGGGCCCGGACATCCCGCAAGAACTCAGAGGGTCTGATGTAATAACCATTGGCAAGCCGCTCTTCTATAGTCTGAATGTCAAGGTTGTAAAAGAATCTGCCGGTTTCGGTGTGTCGAAGGCCTTGAATGCCGTCCTTATCCTTCGCAATCTCATATGGGCGAGGGAGCGCTCCTTCGATATCGGGGACAACGTAGTTGGGGTCTTGCTCGTCAAAGAGATACTGATAGAGAGCGTGCGGAATAGGTGCCTGCCGAAAGATCCTGTACTTCCTGTTGATTTGTTCCATGATGGGTTGTAAATGGACTTTGAGAAGGTTGAGTAGCTGACGATATCTCAACCATTCCGCCTTTTCTTCCTCTTTGGTGAGGACTTTAGGCGGCGGTGGAGGGGCGACCTCAAGTTGCTCGAGCACACGCCTCTTACGGTTGGCCGGGTCGGGGAATTCGCCAGGCGATCGCCTGATGTGTGCTATGATCATGGAGAAGTATTCCTGGCGATTGTCCTGGATGCAGTTAGAAAATGGAGTTCTGAGTAAAGTGGTATGGAAAACATACCTTGGTAGTTCGGGCAATTGGAATGTTGTTCTTCCGCGAGAATCCAAAGAGGTCTCTCGTCAAATCGAAAGAGAGGTTTGCCACTTCGGTTTCAGCCGTACCCAGGACCATAATGGGTTCTGTTGGTTGAATTGACCGCAGCATACTAAGGAAAGCAGTGAGAGCCGGTCCGTCCAGTGTCGAGTACCAGGTATCAACATTTGGAATGAAAATGACACTGGGCTTCTGACGCTTCACCTCCGTGAAGAGCCCAACCAGAACCTGCTCGGCAGACTACAATATGTTAGCAGTGACTCAGTTATCCTATTTCAGCCAAATGATATAAGACTTACTCGTTGGTCGCCAAGTATGGTAGGAAGGTCGAAGTTCTGGACGTGAACACCTTCGAGATAGTGCAGAATCGAGGAGGCCAGATATGAATGGCCCATACCCGGCTCGCCGCAGATGAGAAGTCGGGGCCGGAATACACGAGACCTCTCGAACTCCTCGTTCAGTGCTTCTCTTCCGAATCCGAAATCCTCATCCTCGTAAGGCTCAAACATTGCCTCTTCTAAAGCTGTGACTTTCTTCTTGCGAGGCAAAACATCGTCCAGCACTGCTTTGATGTTTTCTAGCTGGTTGCGAAGTAGGGGCTCGATCGCCTTGGGTAACGGTGCTGCTCCGGAAGTTGATGCTCGCTCTGAAGACGGCACGATCTTCTTTTTCGACAAAACGAAATCTGTCATGTGGATACTGATCTTGTCCGGGTTGACGATCAACTTGTCCTTAGAAGAGTAGATCTGGGGGTATGTGCGTTGTATCGCGTTCATTGCAGCCTCTGTGCACAGGGCTCTTAGGTCAGCACCTCCATATCCTTTCGCATCACGGGCGAGAGATCTCTTGAATGCGTCAGAGATACCCCAGTCCTTGGTATGGATGTCAATGATGGCCTTGCGGGCGTCCACATCGGGTAAGGGGAAGTAGAATTCTCTGTCGAAGCGTCCGGGACGGCGAAGAGCAGGGTCGATGTTGTCCGGGCGATTGGTGGCACCAATGACGATGACCTGGCCACGGCCATCCATTCCGTCCATCAGAGCGAGTAGGGTTGAGACGATCGATGCGTGGATCTGTTCTTGTTTACTAGAGCGAACAGGTGCGAGTCCGTCGATCTCGTCGAAGAAGATGATGCTTGGCTGGGTCCGTCTGGCCTCTTCAAAAAGCAGCCGGAGCTGCTTCTCGGCTTCACCTACCCATTTGCTGAGGGCATCTGCACCTTTCCGCATGTAAAAGGTAATCTTCTTGCCACCGATACCAACTGAGTTTGCGAGGGCACGCGCCAGTAGCGTTTTACCTGTGCCAGGTGGACCATGGAACAGAACACCCCGGGGCGGAGTGACGTGGAACTTCATGAAAAGTTCCGGGTACAGAAGCGGTAGCTGAACCATCTCCTTGAGCTGATCGATGTGACCCTCAAGACCACCGACCTTGCTGAAGTCAACAGTCAAGTCGACTCCAAGGGGATCAGCGTCCGCGTAAGCCTTCTGATTCTTGACCTTTCCAACGTTGGGAGCAGCGGTGGGAGGACCGCCAGGGCCATCAGGGTTGAGCGCCTGTCCAGGACCACTGAGCATGCCCGGAGGAATAGCTGAGGTTGGGGTCATGCCAACAGTGCCAGCAACGCCGGAACGTCCACCCATCTCATCATCGCTGCTATCCGAATCGACGCCTCCGGCGGCGCCAGTGCCCCAAGGACCGCCAAACAGAGCACCGGGGCCGGTGATGTTTGCACCACCAAAGGGACCCGCGATGGTATGGAGGGTACGATCCCAGCCAGAGGTAGCACCGCCCCGGCGACCACGCCGAGCGGGGCTAGGCGCCGGCACCTGAGGTTCTTCTTCTTCAAGTTCCAGGACGGGCAATTTAATGCTATAATCAACCTTGTTACGCACGCGCTTTCCTCGAACAATCTCCTCTTGGAAAGACGGTGAGCGCTGGCGACGGCGTCGAGGTCGGCGGGATTGAGAACTCCCCCGAAGGTCCTCGAGCTCCTCAGCCATCTCGTCACGATCGAGCTCTACTTCATCGCCAGAGTCGTTGCGTTGACGGGATCTTTTGGCGGTCCCCCCTCTGCCCCTACCGGTCCTGCGTCCACGCGATGGAGTCGACTCGGTTCCATCACCGTCATCATTCTTCTCTTGTTCCGAGTGGGACTCGTTATCGTCGCCAGAGTCATTCCCAGGCTCGAAATCGCTACTCGGCTCTTGAAGTGACTTCTTGTTAGAGGACTTTCGAGCCAGGCGGCCCCTGCGGCCGGTGGGTTCCACTCCAGCCGCTTCCTCTTCATCCTGGCCAGTGACGATCTGTCTTGCACCGCGAGTTCTGCGCGTGATTGGCATGTCGTCTTCGTCGTCAGCCTCGTCGGGTTCTACCGTGTCCATCGGCTGATCCTCAGCCTTGACATCACCGTCAACAGGGTCGAAATTGTCGTCTTGGTTGGCGGCTAGCTCGTCTTGGTCTTCGTCCATGGCGTCCGAGTCGGCGGCTTCCTCGGTCTCGTTCTTGCGAGGGCTACTTTCTTGTGTTGCCTCCTCGATCGGAGGCGGCGGTGACCTCATGATACCCTTGGCACCTCTCGTGGCGCGGGTGTTGCGTGCGGCTGCTTCGGGGCTGACGCTCTTGGAGCCACGGGCGGGCATGGCGTGCTTGCCCGAGTTGGAAAGCTCAACAAGCTCTTCGTCGGCATCAGCGGTACGCGCTCGGGTGGATCTTCGGGCCGCGGCGGGCGCAGTTGTCGAGTTGGCGCGCGTCTTGCGCAGCGATGCACCCACGTTCAGCACCACAATCTTGGTTTGTCGTGGGGTTTTCTTCTGGGGGGTGTCGCCTATCAATTCATCCTTATCGTCGGAAGTCTCTGGCGAGCTATCGTCCGAGCTTTCCTTGTAGCTCGGACGTTTATTGGCAGCTTTTCTAACGCGACGGCCGGTGTTCTCGTTGATGGGCGGGTCGTCTTCTTCCTCCTCTTCATCGTCGTCATCGTCGCGGCCACCGAAGGAACCGTCTTGCTCGCTTTCGGACAGGTCTTCATCATCGTCCTCGATGTCTGAGCCGCGGTACTTGGTCTTCCTGGAGCGAGGCGGTGCCTTGCCAGTTTTTGCCGAGCGCGACTTCTTGCGAGATCGAGTGGGCTCGCCTTCGTCGGGCTCGAAGTTCTCGTCCTCCGAGTCAGACTTGGTAGGATCAAAGTTTTCGAGGATGTCCCGCTTCCGTTTAGAAGGCATCCTTGCGGGTTGGCCACCGGCGTATCTCGATGGTGTCTAGGCGGACTAGAATTGGTCAGCAGCAACGTTCAATGCTCCCAGTCCTGAATAGCGAGCAAGGTGAAAACCCGCGAGCGGAATGCTTGGTGAAAAGCTACAGATGGGAATCTCCACGGACCGGCGGGCCCGCGTCCACAATGCATCGTGAGAGGGTGTAAGCCACGGGCAAAATGCGGAGACGGACGGCCATGTAACCATGGCGATAACCAACTCCCAGCAGGATTATCACGAACCGAAACGCGGAGGGGCCTGTGGTCAATGGCTCGCCGTTGATCAATTCTATGATCGCCAGGCCCGCCGCATGCATGGGCAAGGACTGCGGGGAGTATGGGGAGTAACGACAGGGCACCAGTTGTAATCATATACCAGCCCAACATACCTTTAGGAAGCCAGTATAGGCGCACTTTTCACCTAGGAAAGTCTATATCGACTGGACCCCAGCAATGTGATCGACTACCATGCACGAACTGCACGGGATCGTCGCGCACGCACGCACGCACGCACTGCTCAAACGGAGCGGCTAAGAGGATAGCTAGGGCATGTAAAGTATCGGTATTCGGGGGATAACTCCGGTGTTATCGCAGTCTGGTGACGGCTGGCTGGTGGTAAGCTGGGCTATAGGTCTATAGGAGTTGGCGCCTCGATATGATGGCGTCGCACAGTTGAGCGTGTGTTAATGTTTGTGAACGAGGTCCCGCGTGGAGCGTGGGAGGCGGGCGTGGAGCGGCAGGTCGACTCGGCGAAAGCACGTCAATGTGCAGCGACAGGGCCGGGCTTCTCGGGTTGGAATATGGCTGGGGAGCAAGATTCCATGAATCGCCGTTGGGAATCGATGGCTGCACCAGTCGCCGAGCAGGTGGATGTGGATGTGGATGAGGACAGCAGCTGGGAGCCTGCGCGTCTTTCACTGTCGTGCCTGTGCCCATCCTTTCTTAGCTCAGCGGGCAGGCTGGTAGGCTGGCAGGCAGAGGGAGGGCACCCAGCACCCAGCACCCAGCACGCGCCAGGGCCGGCACGGGCCACCGAGACCGCCGCTGCAGCCAATCATAGCGCCCATACGGCCAGCCGCGCTAGCTCTTCCGAGCGATTTCGTGTTTCGCATCCGCTTTCCACCACCGCCCGGAGCCTGGCAACTCCAAAAATTCACCGCGACCCCGAATCACAGATGCTTCCGTGGATTAAACATCAAGTTACCATGTCTGCCAACGTCCGCATTTGCAGCGATTCCGATATGAAATCGGCTCCCTCGGTGCATCCGCCGCGGTCGCCAACTTTTACACATTTCAATTGACTATTCTGAGACCGTGTACCGTCCACACCACGCCCTGCACCACGGCCACCAGAAATTCGAAGCTCCTCAACTTCGATCGCCATCATCCACCATGAGCTCCCCGGACTCCATCGTCATCGCCGACGCTATGCCATGCGGCTCAAAGGCTAAGGTCAGCCCTACAGGATCCGGGGAACGGCAAGGCGGGTGCCAAGTCATGGATTGTGGACACTGAATCCGCCCGATCACCTCATCACTGCCTGCCAGCTGGTGCCAGCTCTTCGGGGTGTGAACTGCCTTTGGGTCGCTCCCAGCTCAGCGTGGCTACAGGACGTAAGCTATGTTACGGCACCTAGTTAACTAGTGATGAACTTACTGTGGTTACTCGGGCAGGCTGGCATGCCAGATGAGGCAAGTCGTTGCCGTTGCCTGAATGCCAGTGCGAACCATATGCGGCCCCCAAGGCAACCCCATCCTGATGCCGCTCTGCCGGCCGCTCCATCCGCCTGCATTGAGTCTTTAACGCTCCCTCGGAACCTCCATGACACGTGAGTCGTTGGTTCGCGAATTGCAGATCCGGACCCATTCACCGTTGCTTCTGTCGGTCCAAGCTGCAAAACGCGACCGACACTCTGCACTTCTCCAAACGTTGACTTCGGCGTCGTCCGTACATGACATGGCGGAGACGTCAGCAGCAATCAATACTGCATACCGTAGGGCGAGCTCCACAGTAGCAGGGCATTAAGTGAATCACGGTCTCGGCAGTCATCGTGTCCACCGCCATTTGGTAATCCTCGGGAGCTGGTTGGCAGCGCCTCTGCTGACATGCCTCCGGCTTGTGCATGCCACCGTTGTGATAACCCTGTTTGCGTGGGCATGTGCCTTCAGCCCCCAACTGCAATCCATCGGACATGGTGATGCCTCCGTAGGATTATTTCCCGCAACGACCAATACCCCCAGGCCAATGCCGGTAGAGGCCACCTCATCTGTCCACATATCTCTCTGGCCACAGCTCTCCCCGGATGGCGTAGGGCTGTTGACGTGGGACCACCCCCCTGGTAGATCACCAGCAGTAGCTAGTTAGGGGGCCCCTAGTGTTACCGTGGTCTCGACTGTCCTCCACGACCCTCCGTGTCTCCACGCGACCATTGTGCATGTGGCATTTACGCCCCCGAAGGCTTATTGGCCGAGATCCCGGATAACGATGCAGTCCACCACTAGATTTCTGGCTGCCTTGCGCTGGGAACCTCCGTCGTTGCACAGATGCTAGTCGACGGCCCAATATGATCCCAACACCCGGCAAGGATATGTGGCTCCTCGTCAGCAGGCATGGATGGGAGCTCCTCCTTGGGAACAGCTAAGTCTACCGAGTATATATCATGGGCCGGGCAGCCAGGATTCCTTTCCACCACCCTCTTGCCTTTGTGATAGCAGCGCCTCAGGAGCCTAGCACTACTCAGTCGCATCAGCATCGTAGCACCAGGTGTGCCTCAATATAACACCCTGGAGGGCATTCGTTCCATCGATCTTTGATAGACGATTTACATAACCTACGCTATAAAGGTTGCTTTGCGAGACATTTGCACCTAATCCCTTGCGACTGGAAAAACAGCGCAAATATCACTGTCTGCTGTGCAGGAGATCTTTGCCTTTCTTCGAAACCGACGATCACCAGGCAATTATTGCTTTGCACAAAACGCCTCCCGCCGTAATGGGTTCGGGTCGCTCTTCGAAGAAAGCAGGGAAGGTGCCGGCCCCGCTCTCCACCAGCACCTCCAGAAATACGAACGCAAGACACGAATCCTTCGGCTCTACCTCTGTAAGTGAGAATCTCTCTAAGCTCCATCCGGGAAATAGCTCAAACTAATACCCAAAAGTCGGGCTCGACCTTTGATTGGGCCATGGAAAGAAGCAACACGGCAGATAGTTGGAACAGTTCAACGGCCTTCATCCGCCACGACTCGTCCTCGGCTAAAGCCGTTAAGCCGGTCTCACCAACCGCAAACGTCTACACTCATTGCGGCCGCCACTCTGACCAGTGGTTGTTCGGTGGCACCTCGATGTCGAGCATGATCAAGTCTGCCTGGAAGAAGGAATAGGGTCCAAGATCCGCGAACTCAATGTGGTTGCAGGCACCAAGGAGGCAATAGGTTTTATTTGAGTGATATTGGTAAACTAATAGGAACACCGTTTCGTTTGGAAATGCAGTGTGTCATAATACCGATGAGTCGAGAATGCGCATTACAAGCAGGAGTTCAAGTGGTTGTTTTGCTAGATACCCAGATACACAGATGATCACATACTCAACGATGATCTTCATTAATACTGATACGTTCTATTTACAAACCCGTGCAAAGACCACCCTGCCTCAAGAGTCATTCTTTTCAAAGCATCAACACGACGATACTGTCTCGACCAGATCGAGGTACGTGACTGCAGACTGCCATCGACTTTGGTGCCTTTCGTAGTCATATTCCCTGGCCATGATAACCAACATATGTTGCTCACTGTCAATAACGAACGCCAAACCATTTGGATATACTCCTAGAAGTTCGCCATGTTGCCCATCCCAGATACGCAACGCCTCAAAGTAGGGCGCCTTTGAAAATCACCAACACCCCAAAAAGGAATCGCTGTCCAATCCGATGCGCCGAATCAAAGATGTTCGTAAGAGCCCGCTAGGAACTCCCCAGGGGCGCCTGCGCTTACATGTATTACGCAAGATGACGCCCCCAACCCACGTGGTAGCCCAGGGGCAAGACATGATGACATTGGGGGCTCAAGTCAAGCGGCAGCCTTGGCCCTCCTGGCGCGCTTCCTGGGCTGTCCCTCGGCTTCCGCCCCCTCGGCCGCGGCGCCCTTTCTCTTGCTGCCCCGGCCCTCCTGCTTGAGCGCCCGGCTGTGCCGCCGCAACAGCCGGTCGCGCGTGCGGTCGTAGTCGCGCTGCAGCCGGCGCCACCGCGCCTGCAGGGCCTGGCTCGTGAGGACGTGCTCGCCCAGGGCCTTGATGTCGTTGGGCGGCGGCATGGCGTCGATTTCGTCCAGCGCCGCCTGCACCAGGGCGCTGGGCACCTCGAGGTTCGACCACGCGGCCGAGGCCCGCATGGCCAGCAGCGTGCTGTCGTAGTAGCATCGGAAGAGGTCGAGCCCGTCCCGCGTCATGAGGTTCCGGGCCTCCTCCCTTGCCTTCGGCTCCTCGTCGCCGGTGGTCGCCCAGCGCACCTTGCAGGTGAAGTTGGAGTCTGTGGCACCAGTGATGCTCTCGATCGCGCCCACATTCCAGAGAAGAAGGCCCTGTTGGTTGTATTTCGGCAAGGGGCTGCTTTTGAACGTCCCCAGCCTGTAGTCCATCGTGCTGTCGAGTTTCTTCTGCCTAACGACCGGGCTGAAACCACACGCCCGCTCGTCGCCGTTGAGGTCGAGTTTGGCGGACTCGATGGCACTCCGTAGTAACCGGTCAGGCACGGGAGTCATGGCGCTTGTTCTCAGAGACGCCCTCGCACTCTCGAAATCGCTGATGGCAGCCCAAACCATGGGTTCATTGTTCCAGTCGCCAGTACCACGACCCAAGAACCAGTCCTTTCCAATGCGATACCCTTTGCTGCTTTTGGACATCACATCGAGTCTTGGTAGTGCGTGGATCGATGGTTTCGTGGCAGGGGCTTGCGATATGAAAGACTTGAACCACTCGTGAAGAATCTTCAATTCATCTACTACCCCTGACTCCAGGGCATGGTGCAGGGTGATCAGAAACGTCAGTGTGCGCAGGTCATCGCAGTGCGACAGCAAGGCCAGAGCATGTCTGCCATCTCTCTCGAGTCGGCTCATGTAGGGCGTCTGTCGGGCGAGGTAGATCCTCTCATCATTGACCAGGAGTGGGAATTTGAAGCCTTCGACAACAATGTTTCGAATCGCCTTGCGGCGCTCGGGTGTGATTGCGGCAAGATAGCGTATGAGTTCCTCCAAGTCCGGGAAGCAGAAAAGATTCACCCTATAGAAGACAGGGGTGTCTCTGAGCTCCTCGTAGAACTGCTTGCACGTCAAGGACAGAGACACGACTGATAGGCGCTCTCCCGCTGGAGGGATATAGGCCCAGGCATTGTTTCCCGGATGATAATGCACCGGGACTTGCTCTCGCGTTCCCCATGTGAATTTGTTGGAGCCCTTCACGACCTGTTGCGGAACCACGACATTGTCCAGTCTCACGGCGTGCTCAAATATCATGAGCCGGATCTTGGTGCCATCAGCGAGTGAAGACCGACGCAGAGGGCGTGTCCATTGCTTACCTCGAGTGGAAGGGCGCACAGATACGGCTCGCGCTTGTCTAGGTGTGATTGAGCCATGATGAAACGCAGTCAGCGCAGTTGCACATCCGGCTTGCGTCGCCCATGGGTGATGGTTTGGATGAGGTGTTCAAATGCCTCCCCACGAAAAGCCGCCCATGGCAATCTATTCGGAACGAGACTGGGCGAATCGAGTTTTTACGCCCAGCCGGGGAAGCCGGACGCTTGGCTGACGACAAACTCGGAAATAGACCCTTCGTGCTTCAGCACCGGGACAGCGCTGGGTAGATCGTTCTGGCCAAAGCTTAAAAGCGCTTTGATGCTACCCAGGCTAGCCAAGTGTTAGTCGGCGATCTGGCGGCCGGGCTTGTGGGTGCCCATAGACGGCGAGGATATAATTAGATGCCAGTGAAAATCGCGCAGCGGTAGCCCTTGGCGTTTGATGTCAAAAAAACGAGGCTTTCCGCTGAAGATTCTGAAACGAAGCTATGAGACTGCCGAAATCCGGAGTGAATCATGTGAGTATACAATTGCCAGCATTGCATATGGTGCATACCCCGCCTGCTTTCAATGTAAGCATTAGATTGCAACTAGCAATGTTACAGAGCAACTTCCTGAATTAGCCTAGGCCCCGACGCGCGTCCACCACGGATATCGTACTCGACAGTCCTATAGGACAGAGCCTGGATTCCTCGTTTCTTTGAGAATGTTTAAATAGCTAAGGGGCTCAGTCAACTACCTTTCACCGCTTGCTTCACTACTTCGAAGAGCGGTCTTGGCAGCGAGGTCTCCATCGCTGAAATGACAATTGGCACATGCGCCCAGCACGACGTGGTACCTTACCTCGACTTTGCGTTAAGCCATCTACCAAGGCAAGCTGGTTCCTGCGTGTCTGTGCCTTTGTGATCTTCATAGCCGGTGAGCCCTTGATATCTTCCATGAAGATCGTCCACGTTGGCATATGATTTGAAAGTTTGAGCGCATTGGCCACAAACTTACTGGTACAAAATTTGGCAAGCCGGTATAGCCTTCTGCGATATTCGTTCAAGACGGCTAGAGACTGGGAAGTACCTTACACTAACAAGTCCGCTAGAGATTGAGTATGGCATGATCTGCACATTGATATTGTAGAATTTAGCATCTAGTACCTCTTCGAAAACAAGAACCCTTAGCCTCGCTGAGGCTAGAGTTTATTTTTGAGTCGCATGATCCTGCCCCTTAACATACAGCTAGGTGCCTTTCAATACCAAACACTGGAAACTATTGTTTGACGAGTATATTTATTGAACCAGAGTTGAGAAGCGTACGGTAGCTTGACTCTCTCATTGTTAGCGCTGTGTGGGCAGCACGAATGATCAGGTCGCTATCCAAATCGACACCCAACAAGTCCTCGGGAGGTTGGGACATAATGGGCGGTAACGGTTACGAGATCACAGAAATTGAGGTGAAGCTCTTCACCGCCTCGCCTTGATTCACAGTGCATCAACGTAACAACGGAGCCTCCGTAACATGATCAGCGCGGGCCTAATTAGCCTCCCTATTCTGAACCTTGTGTACCGTACTATCGTGTCTAGTCTCCTCCCAGAGACGTACTTCGGGAGGTGATTCAAATGATCAGGTAGTAACTCGAAAAGCCCGGATAGTTCAATAGTAGCCCTTGAGCTCGCTGTCGTTTTCATTTGAGTTCTACGAAAGGTGAATGTCGTGCGGCACACGCATCTACATAGCCTGACGCCCTATAATCTCTCCAGATCAAAAGGCCCCTCCTCATCGACTTCTTCCCATATCCCATTCAGGATGCTTTGACTTCGCTTGACGAACTGTCCATACCCCTTACCGCCAACGATTCCCTCGCCATCTCTGTCCCAGACAACTTTGCCCCTTAGAATAGTATAACGTGGCCAATTCCGTATTCCCCGTCCTTCATAAGGCGTGTAGTCCACATCATGGTGAAGCATGCTATTCGTGACCTCCAAGTCCCCTAGTTTGCCATCTGGATACCACACGACCAGGTCCGCATCTGAGACTCCTGGGATCAAGCTTCCTTTTCTGGGATACAGACCGTAGAGCTTTGCGGCATTCGTACTGCTGACCTCTACGAACTTGGTCAGGGCCAGTTTGTTCGCCGAGAATGCGAGTGGCATTCTTGTCTCAATCCCTGGAAGACCGTTGGGGATGTACTTGAACTTGCCTACCGGATGTTCAGGCGTAATACAAGTCTTCTTGCCCCTTTCCGAGTCCTCGAACCGGAAAGGGCAATGGTCAGAGCTGAGGACAGAAAACGTTCCATTCTTCAGGCCAGTCCATATCTTCAGCTGGTCCTCCGCATTCCGAGGCGGAGGCGAGCACACACACTTTGCACCCTCGAAGCCAGGTTTATCAAGGTCATCGCGAGTGAGGAAAAGATACTGCGGGCACGTCTCAGCGAAGATAGGCTGTCCTGTTGTTTGAGCCTGGCGAATACGGAGAGCGGCGGCTGGGTCGCTGACGTGAACCAGCAAGATGGGAGTATTGGCAATTAGTGAAGACAATGCTATCGCCCGATTGGTAGCTTCCGACTCCAGGACCGGTGGCCGAGAATTGGAGTGGTACTTCGGGGCGAACTTCCCCTGCGCCTCCAGCTGGTCGGTGAGCCAGTCGAGAACGTCTCCATTCTCGGCGTGAACCATAGTCAGTATGTGGTTTTGGCGAGCGGCCAGCAAAACGGATAGGATCTCGTTGTCGCGAAGTTGTAATGCCGCGTAGGTCATGTAGATCTTCAGTGAGGTCACCCCCTCTGTCGTGACCAGCTGCTTGAACTCAGAGAGAGCTTTTGCGCATGGGTTTGACACGAGAAGATGGAAGCCATAGTCGCAATAGCAGTTGCCCTTTGCCAATTTATGGGTGTTTTCCAGGGCTGTCAAAACGGAGTCCAAATTTTTCTGCTGCGGAGCAAACGCTACTATGGTAGTATTGCCTCCAGCGATGGCCGACCTCGTGCCTGTCTCGAAGCTGTCTGCTGAGGACCCTTTTCCAAACATAGATGGCTCTTGAAGGTGAACATGGCAATCGATGCCCCCAGGCTACTTCTTTTTAGCTGACAGTTATACGCGTCGTAAGGGCCGCATGTAGTACGTACCATAACGTAACCGCCTTCCGCATCAATTAGCTGCTTGGTTTTGGCGCCCTTCAGCGAGCCGGCAGGGGCCAAGAGAGCAATCTTTCCGTCCTTGATGCCGACATCGTAGGCAGCAATATCGGCAGCAGTAACGCAGACGCCATTGGTGACTACCAGGTCGTAGTCATACATGGCAACAGTATTCGATGTTGATGATATTGAGTGCCTGAAGTGGCGTGGCCTGCCGCATGGACTGATCTGATTGCTTGTCAAATCTCAGTGGGTGGTATGCGGGATTGGGTGGTGGAGCATATAGCCCTACTCGGGACCGTTTCCGATGGAACCGCAAAGTGACGGCATGACTGGTTCCCCGCGTCGATTGCATGTCGTTCGGCGCAAAGGTTTGGAAACGGGAGATAAGGGACCTGCCGAGCCTCCGAGATAGGGGCTGCCGTTCGGGTCATGCACTATTCAGCTGTGCAACGATCGACTTGCCACTTTAGGTGGTGTATGAGCATTGATTGGCTCGGATAAGCATCATGCACGCTCGCAGTGGAGCATCCTGATCGTATAGTAATTTCAGCTCCATCGTCGCATTTAGAAACTTGGGTGGTCATGATAGCTTCGTCGGCAGATACATCATGGCGCTCTGATTGCGAGAAGCGGCAGATAATTCTACCAAAGAAAATGCTTTCTATAGCCAACCAAGCAGTTTAAACTTAGTGTAATAATCCTAATACTAAGTGCTGTCGAGTCTATAGAGACATAGAATTCATGTCTAAATCTCGCCTTGCTTCATCCTGTGGAAAGTAAGATAAGATTACTTTAAGGCACACATGAACTCACCCTTATAGATATCCTTATCTCCGCTT